AGTCCGGACGACCTGGATGACTCTCGGGCGGCCCGCGTCTGAAGTCTCTGAGTAGAAGTTCCAGGCTGAGAGATTCCAAGCTGTGTAACCTTCTTGTGTTTCGACGGTTCAAACGTTCCAATAAACTCTCTCAATCAAGATTTGATTCTTAATCACTTTATGCTCGTTCCGCATGCGAGCAGTCGGAAACAACGTTAGATAGAGCTCCCGAACTCTATTCTTGTTCGTCAGAACCCTCCGAACCATGTTATCGAAGCAGCTGCTGAATAGACAAAATCAGCTACTTTCCTAGTCCAGCGACCAAGATGTAAAACTCAGGGAATCCCGGATGCGAAGTGCGCATATTCACTCTCTGCTCTGTGACCCAAGAGGGCGTCCTCGTCATTCTGAAGCCTGGATTCTGTCCTCCTCCTGGTACTCCGACTGATCTAGGGAAGCTCCCCCTCACGGAAATCCCCATCAATCGTTATCAAAGCATGACACCCTAGAATACCAAGGAGGATCTTCAATCAACGCGAGTAACGACATACTCCCTCGCGAAACATGGACGTCGCAGAACAACTGGCGGCACTCCAGGAAGCCGACGACCCTAAGCGAGGGCCAGCACCGAAGCCAGAACCAGCTCCCCAGTCTGTCCAACATCGGAGCCTGAGAGAATACGTTCGCGATTCACTCCTCCCAAACTACTGCAGGATGGATCGAACTAACCCACATGGAAATCTCTGATCAAGGTAACTCTACAAACCGAACCGTTCGCTCGGGACGTTGTCGACTCACAGCTGACACCAAGTCACGGAGACAGTGAAGCGGACAAACAGCAACAAAAGAAATTCACCCGCGGAAACATCGCAGCCAGATACATTCTTTTGAATGCACTCGAAACCCCTCCCATCGAGGGTCTCTTCAGCGAAAATTCAACAACTGTGAGTGGCCCAACAATCTGGAAAAGACCTGAAGATCATTTTCTGCAGGAAGATGCAAGCAGGAAAATTATTGCTGTCAACAATTCTCAGCTTTCCAATACCGCGATGACCGAACCGCGTATGATAACTCAAGAGGATTCTAATGACTGGAGAAGGCGCGGGACGACGCTTCCGCGAAAATGGATGAGGACATCGTCAGCCTTACCCTGATCAACAAGCTGCCTCCAGTTTACAGCTGGATAAAACAAAATTTCACGCAGCTAGACGCCTCAGGAAGGAAGCTGGCAGACATCGGAAAACTCATCCTGTCCGACTTCGCGCACAGAGAGTTCAAACGAGAGTCCCAGAAAGCTATTCGTCAACCCTCCGACAGAAACGGAAAAACCGCTCTCGTTGCGGGATATAACCTTCGACGCTTCTCAAGAAGCAACCAGGTCTCATCTCCTCAGCAGAGCTCATCGAGCCGTCCAAATTACTCATCTCCTCAGCAGAGCTCATCGAGCCGTCCAAATTACTCATCGCCTCGATCAAACCAACCGCGATTCGGCCAAAAGCCACAAGGACAGTCATATGACTATGGACCCTAGAGGTAAGCCCGGCGTCCTCGTGGGGCTTGGCGACGATATTGATGGTATTTGCATCTGGATCCGAGGGACCACCCAGATCAAGCGAACCAAAGACGTTGTATTGCCGAAAAGAAGTCTCTTCGGATCCGCCGGTAAAGTACCACTCTCGAAACAAAGTACTAGTACTCATGAAACCAAGAAAACAACCCGATGAAGAGAGCTCAGATCCTACCAAATGGGGGGAGGGACGCCCCTACTTCAATCCCAGAAGGAGAATCCACGCCGGAATCGCGCGATGAAAATCATCAACCTTCACCTCAAGATGGAGATGCCACGCCTGAAGATTCCTCATATGCAAGAAAATAGGAGGAAGCCGCGATGGAATCACGCGAAGAAGAACCAACAACTCCAGAACAAAGTCAAGGAGTTTCTAACGAAGTAAATCCCTTGCAAGAAGTTGCCGGTCCGTCTGTCAGACCAAAGGTACCTCTAGCCCAGAGGTTCTTAACCTTTTTTGCCCTGCGGAACCCTGGTGGGATTCCGCGGAACCCTCATTATTGGTTTCGGACTCTATCTTTCCCCTTGATCACCTCAATACCTTCGACCACGATCGCATGAGGTATCCTGCATTCGAGCTTAGAAAATTCATTCCGATTCGATAAAATGAATAAAAGTCTGAGCAGCCGAGCAGGGGCTCGCGGAACCCAGGTTAGGAAGCGCTGCTCTAGCCAAACGGAATCAAGTTCCTGAACGCTATGAACCTAGGCGACTCCGTGACAGGAAGACTCTAAGAAAGGCTCCTGATAGATTCATCTCGTATCTGACCTCAACAGAAAAGCAAGCCATAATCGGCAACTCACAGGAACCATCAAACTTCGTCGACGCGATCAGCTCAAAACAGAGCAATCTGTGGCTCGAAGCTATGGAGGACGAACTCAGATCGATGGAAGACCGAAAGGTTTGGGAACTGGTTGAATTACCACCTGGTAGGAGAGCAATTTCCTGCCGATGGGTATTCAAACACAAAAAGGATCCCACTGGAAAAATCGTGAGATACAGAAGCAGTTGGGTTGCCAACGGCTTTTCACAGCGAGAAAACATTGATTACGCCGAGATATTCTCTCCCGTGAGTCGATTCGAATCTCTAAGAGTCATACTTAGCATCGCAGCAAGAGAGAAACAGCCAATCTATGTATCAACTGGACGTGGGGACTGCGTTCCTCTTCGGAGATCTCGAAGAAGAAACTAACCGAGTTTCAGATATGTATATGCAACAGAATAGCCAGGATCCATGCGTCTTCAATGGCAAGAACAAGCTCATAAGGAGCCTCCATAAGGACGACGCAATCCTGACTGCTGACTCAGAGCAAACAATCATCAATTTCTGTACATAATTGAAAAAGAAATTAGATATCACCTATAGACCTATAGAGCAGCAGAAATGACCATCCATCGAGAGAATTACAGCGGAAATCCTCGAAAGGTTCGGAATGAGCAACTGCCGACCTACGAAAATTCCAATCCAGCGAGACCGCTACCCGGAGGACACCACGGAAAACTTAGCTGATGTCCCTTATCGTGAACTCATCGGATGCTTGAATTATCTCACACTTTCAACAAGACCAGACATCTGTTTCGCCGTCAGTTTCCTGCCAAGGTTTCTAGACAAAGTAACGAAGGAGCGATGAAACGCAGCTGTGTCGCTGCTACGATACTTGCGAGGGAAGAGGAAATATGGTATTCTGTTCAGGTCGAGCGCACCTGACGTCTATGAATTTTTATCCGACGCAGACTACGCGAGCGATCCACTCTCCCGGAAACCTGTCTCGGGCTCAGTGACTTGCTCCGGTGAGAGCCCCGTCAGTTGGCATTGTCGAAGACAAACTTCAGTTCCTCTCTCATCTACAGAATCCGAATTGATTGCTGCACGTGAGACTGCGAGAGGGGCAGTCTACTTCAAGAAGTTTCTCAGTGAACTCGGAACGGATATTGTGCCTGAAATCCAAATCGGCAGCCAGTCCACGATCAAACTCGTGAAGGACAATCAATTTCATCGAAGGACCAAACACGTCGAAGTTAGATACTTATACATTACGAGAACAGCTGGAAGCAAAACAGCTTTCGGTAACCTTCGTTCCAACGTCTGATCAACTCGCGGATCTTTTCACTAAGCCGCTCAACAACACAATCTTCCCCAAACTGAGGAACCAACTCGTGAATAAGAACCCAAACTCCACGAAGTAGTAATCGAAATATCCCTCAACATGATCAGCTCAATCATATTCATCGTTCTACTCGAGCGCACAACAGCTGTCTTCTTCTTCTTTGGAGACTGCTTAGGCGACTGCGGACGACGAAACAAGAGAACGCAGGAGCCTTGGAGCGGGTTCGGATTGATTTTGGACTGATTGATTGTGACCTATAATCGTCGAGCTCATTTTCCCATGTGTGGCACTTCCTCAGAAGTCGATGGAGCGGACTCGTCTCTGTGAGGTCCCGGAGAAAGTTGTGCGCAAAGTGCTCTTGTGAACGGAGACTTCAGAAAATCCTCACGCTGAGCGAAACCAGAGAGATTATCTTGTATCCAGATGCCTTTATTGGAATTCATCCTGGACCTTTCTTATTTCCGGAATTCCTGCGGAGAGCTTCAATTTTTCCGGACATTTTGCTGGAAAAAATCGGACACGGGTCTTGACTCCGGGAGGAACTCTCATTCCCATCGGAAGTCTGCAGGAGGAAAGTTATTCACTCCTCCTCGCTGCGGATTATTTGGTAAGGATACCCTTGAGATTGAGCTCCAGGAACGGATGACGACGATCCCACGGATGTTATGGATAGGCGGATATGGCGCTCCGATCTCAGCTCAGGGCCTTCGACAAGAAATTTTCTAGAACTTATGACTGATACTCTTCCGTCGATCTTGGGATGGTACCCTTGCGACTTCTCCACCGCTCTCGCCTTGCGCGTGCTCTCTCGAGAGCGATTCGAGCCGGAATTTATTGTTATTAAGAACGAGTCATTTCTCCTTATTCTACTCTATATGGCCGTCCCTGAGACCGTCCATAGCTTAATTCTCCGACTACCCGAGCTTGATACCGGAACGCAGCCTTCCAATCCGCGAAATCGAATCTCTCCCCGTTGGTGCCATGACGCTGCTCCTAATCAGATGACGTGATCAGTTGAATGCAGGAGGCGCAATTGCTCGTAGATTTGTGATGAGGGACTCTTCGGTTCAAAGCTACCTTTGCTATCTGTCCATTGCGGAATCGATAGTCGAACGCGATTTATCCTGATGATTCTGGGATTCCGGCTGCGCGAGCAAAAAGTGTTTCGACCGCCTCGAAGGGAGGCACGATAGGTGAGCTCGGCTTGCGGGAGCATTGCTTAGGAGAAAGCGTACACTTTCCCTTCCTCGTGATATTGGAGAACCAGCAGACTCGCGCATGATCATGGCTACCGAGTCCTAGGTGCGGGCTGGAATAGAAGTGGCCGCATAGCTTACACAACTCACTTGTTTTCATTGTTGGCGAGTTCACCAAGTGACCTCGCTCGTTGGGCTCGGCATTGCGCTCATCGAAAAGAGCGGCGACATGTCGGTTCGTTCTGACTATAAAGAGCTACTTTTCACATTCGGCGTTCCTATACCGGAATACTTGGTCGGAGGATTAGGCGCGATAGGTACGGCGAGCCAGACTCCGTGACAGTGATACTTGTACTCGCCGGCTAGCGCATCGAGCCGCAATAACAGAGTCGCGTCTCGCTCAGTCGGGATTCGATTTCGACAGGAGTTCGGTGCTGCGCCTTGCCTCCTCGATGAAATGAACTTCGACTCGGATCATCCCGACTTCCATCACGTCCTTGACAACAGAGCGGGAATCCTCGAAACGTCAGACGAGCGAGTGAATCGAGAGACTGAGCCGCGAGACCCGTGAGTACTTGAGACGCGGACTACTCCCGTTTCTACCTTCCGAGAGCATGGAGACAGATAGGATCGAGTCGGGCTGGAGCGGAATTGAGGGATGAGATTCGACGTGAATTGGAGTTCTCGTATTGTTCCATAGGTATCATGTGGCGGCCGCGACACTGTTCCTTTTCGGCATCGCATCCTTGCTACCTTGGCATTTTTTCATCAGTGCTACCAGCGTAAGTGTTTCTCAGAATTCTGCGCAGATCATGACTAATCTCGATAAACATTTTTACCGCCTGGGTGAATCGGGAATTGCTTGAGCTCGCTCGCAGATCCGCATACGATGTTGTGTATTGTGGCCTTCTTTTGGAAGGAAGCGCTAGGAACTAATCATCTAACTGAGGGTAAATGCTTAGTGATGCTTGCACCGACAATTACCAGCAAATAAATTAGACAGGATCCAGCCTGAGTTGCTCACAAAGCGGACCGAAATCGGATAGTTCAGCTCGCAGGTCCGAGTTCGACTCTATTCTTCTTCACTCATTTCAGTATTGGGACTATAAATTCCGTGACTTGAACAACTGCACGGCGAGGAGCAGGCTCCAGGATGACTTCTACGTTTATCTGTCGATCGCATCTAAGGCAAGATCGAACTCGTTCAAATTGCAATACGTTCACCAAGTCTGCAGAATCTTCGAAGTCGTCGAATGCCCGGCGCGGATTCTCGAAAGAGGAACTCGGTGGGGAGGTTGACTGGATTCTATTCGATTCGATTCCAGGTGCCTTACATCATATTCCTTCTGGTCAACGCAAGGATCACTCAATACGTAGCACTTAGACATCGTCTGATCTGGCCACTGGTAGCGTGTATCATCTTATTCGCCGTGGTCGCAGCCCTTGCCGAAGTGGATACCGACGATGGTAATAGTGAATGATCGATGGACGAGCTCTCAGAGTTTTCGACCTGCGAGCTCGTGTCGTTCGACGATATGTGAAAAATGCTCGTAAACAAGGGAACCCCCAATAATTAGCCTCACTTCGCAGAACAGTTTGTCTTCCTCGGCGTGACCCTGGGATTGGTCGTCCTCATCAACGGTGAGTCGTATTCCTGAGATCGCTGAATTGAGGAGCCTGAATCCATAGCAGTAAAGCTTGGAGCTCTCATAGTCGAAGTCAACCGGGGACGGTTTCCAACTTGCAGTTTTCTGTGGGTTCCTGCAAGGCGCTGGCACTGGTCTTGCTGGATGTCTTCCATCTTTCTTCATGGTCATCATGACCAATGGTCAAGGTGTGGGCGGCATTTTCGCCACGGTCTGTCAATTGCTCTGCCTCCTTCTCAATGTCTCGCCGCAAACTACCGGGGTGCTGTACTTCTCCATTGCTGTCGGCATGCTGATCATGACTTTGATCATGTTCATCATTCAGCTCAATCTGGTGAGTCCTGGATCCCTCACATTCGTATTATGAGGCGGAACCTTTGTGTATGTGAGGTGCCAGTTTTCCGCTCTCCGAGGGTCGCTGGACGCCCATGATTCAAACGACTTTTGGCATTCCAGTCGTTCACAAAACACTACCTCTCGAAACAAGCGACAGCTACTTTGAATTCCACCCGGCGGGTTGAAATCGAAATCCCATATTGGAGAATCTTCTGCCAGGGCTGGGAGTTGTACATCGGAGTTGTTGTGATCTATTGGGTGACATTGGCTGCTTTCCCCGCCCTTTGCGGTCTCATACAGTCTCCCTTGATATCTTCTGACAGCATTCACGCTAGTGAGTTCAGCCAGCCCCCCCTATCCATGTAGTCGTTCTTCTGCGGCGAGCGGCGCGCGTAGAGATAATATAATCATTCATTGCTAGACAACGTCTTCAAAAACCTGGCTTGCTTCATGAATTTCAACCTCTTCAGTGTAATTGGGAGAGTCGCATCATCGTACTTGCCGGTGGTAAGTTTGAACCAAACAAATCACTCCTCGGACGGAAGATTTTTACGAGTCCGTGCGTAAATATTCCTCGAGACTCGACGCTTGGGACCGAAGACTATGGAAAGCATATTCATTATCACGATCTCGGAGATTCCGTATACGTGTCATCCATGATCGTGGGGGATTGCCGTATCATGACTGCTTCTTGAATTTGGCGAGAATCCGAAGGAATCTGAGTCTTGTAGCTGCCACGTTATGATTTTCCAGGGATCATCGCGGAAGCGTCTGATTCTGATGCTGTGCATCTCGAGAGTCGTTTTCATTCCTCTCCTAATGTTGTGCAATCTTTCGCCGGATAAACGGCGTGCGATTCCCGTGCTATTCCCTGAAGATTGGGAATACGTTGTGATAACCGCGATGTTCGCGTTCACGAATGGATACACAACCAACTTGGTTATGGTTTTCGCTTGCAAGTGAGTTCCCTTTCTCACATTGCGCGCCTGAACTTCGGCGGCGATTGATAAGCCGGCCCAGCCTCTAATCAGAGTCAGAAATTTGAATTGTGAACTTTCCAGGACTACTAGCCCGGAATACGAGGAAGTGGCCGGTTCACTCTCAGCAGTGTTCTTGGGTGTCGGGCTCTGCGTCGGTGCCCTCACGGGATTCCCGCTGGTGAAATTGCTTCATCTGTGAATTCCGTGGAATCCCGCGATCAGGCTCCGGACCTCCTGCTGCCTCGGCATCGATGGCACTTGGCCCGGTTTCGAAGCGTCCCGGTCGCTCGAAAAACTGAATTCCATTGTCTTTCGGAGACTGCCCTCGCTAATGGAGCCACCTCCGATACGACTCGCCCCGAAACACGGACAGGAGCTCCGCGACGGCCAATGTGGTGAATCGAGGAGCGAGGAATCGACTGGAGACGAGTTTGGCATAATGACCCTCATCGCCCCCTCCTGCCCTTCGCTTTGCGGCGCAGCGCCGTGGAAAAAAGCGGAGCGAAGTTTTTGAATAATAATTGCACTCGGCGCTATTTTTATTGCATCAGTCTGAGTGAAAAACCTGCTTAGACACGATAATCAAGTCTGTAGGACATGTTTGAGATAATTTATATAGCAGATCGCGAGACGGAGTATTTCTATTTTCGAGAGCTTCTTGTCCGGTGGCAAGGTGGGCAGAAGTGTTCGGAGTTTGGCAAAAGCCATGTTGAAAGCTTCGACTCTGATTCGTTCTCTCGTGGCGTGTGCGAGTCGATATTTTTGTGTCGCTCGTCTCCTCCTTCGTTTATCGTCTCGTGTGGAAAGTGATCGCCGACTCGGGGTCGTCGAGGTGACATCACACTGGAGTGAGCCGACGGGCGAAGTGTCCATGTACATCTGGAAAGAGACGAGCCCTCAATTTACATTCACAAGCTCACGAGAGCCCTATACCTAGACTTCGTGCGCTGTTCCTTGTTTTGTTTAGCTCGAATCACCGTGTTTCGACAGGGCTGTCCAGCTCATTCATTCAAAGCAATCCCCAGCAGCCTCCTCCGATCGGCTCTGTGTCGACCGTAATCTCGGCCATAACATTTTTCAAAAGGCAGATTGTTACTCCGGCGGTCTAGTGTGAGCTCTGTAGGTAGATGGGTATTCTATGTGAGGAGGATGACATCTTAAGCCCGCTATCTCCCGGGTCTCTCGGGAGCGGAGCTTAGCCACCTGGCTAAGTGATTCAGCATTGCTCATCTCGCTCCTCTCAACGGTGTAAGACTTCATGCGTAAAAATATATCTTAGGTTGCAATCGAGATCGCTCGAGCCGAATTTCAGAACTTCGTGAATTCGCGAGAGATCAGGCGTGATTAGGACGAGCATGTCATCAGAAATTTTCTGCTCAAGAGAATGTGCACGGAATCGTCGATGCTCGCCATGTCCGACACATTCGAGCGCAGTGTGGGCAGAGTACGGCAGGTTTCCCCGCGGGATATACTGCAGCCTGTTGTTGCTGCTGCTGCTCGGAGCACAACAACTCGTTGTGGGTGATATGTGGAACACTCAGTCCGCACTGAATGCCTATCTCTTATACCTGCCGGCCCGGATAGATTGTTGTTGGGGAGCCAATCGCGCATAGAAGAGAGATCGTCTGAAAGTGAACCTTTATTCGATTACTCGTTTCAACCCTTCCCGCCCAAGTGCCCTGGGGTCAGTCGAGTCGACAGTCTCCAGAGGAATTTCACTAGCAGACCATGAAATTGAGCTAGTTTGCTGCAACGATCCAATCACAGAAGCTGAGGAACTACTTTTTCCCTACTATTGATCATACTTCGCACTGCTCCATGGTCTGCCATCATTTCTTCGATCACTTTGTTTCTGTTCCGCCAACGGGTTACGAGTAGGAATCCCTGTTCCCCGAAATTTTCCGTGTCAAAACTCATTTCTCTTCTCTAAGAGACTGCTGTCGACAGAGCAATGGGATCGTGGAGAAACTCTCAATACAGCTCGGGAATACAAGAATATGCTGCTGTGCGTCTCATATGCTTGAAGTTTTTGACGAGGTGGGGTAAATCGCTCTCAATGATTCGAAATCCGGTGACTACTCAAAGGGAAATTCTTGAGCAACTGTACAATTGATTGTTCGACAATTATTCAAATGATGCCCTCCGTTTGTCGATCTGAAGTGCTGTTTGCCAGCCTTTCCTCAGATAATCCTGTTTGGTTAAGAGCATGCACCCCTGCACCGACCCAACCTCGCTCACACCTCTGGGAGCCTGAGGAGGGAGCAAGAGCCGCGCAAGGCGAGCCACCGGCTCCTCGCTGAAACCAAGGACAGGGGTTGCCAGCCGCAATTCTTAAGTAATCGGAAACCGAGTTTGCACGATAGAAGCTAAACGATGCGTGAAAACGGAGGCTTCTGAAGATCAGGTGTCTTCAGTGGCTCGCTGGCTGGTATCGGTCGGAGAGAGAATGGGTAGCTGCTTTCGAATGTTACAAATTGTGCTCTATGACCTAATGCACGCTCTCTCTTGCGGAGGATACTAGCCTCGAAACCCTGCCCTGGTCGCCTATAGATTCAAGGCTTAAATACTTGGTGTAGACGTGGGTCGACGATAAAATCCTATTGAGATTGCGCTCGAATCCCGTTCCCACGGAAAACGTCACCGAGTCTTAGTCAGAGTGTCATAAACTGGGTACCTGGCTGGCTCTCCGAATTCACATTCAATGTGCGTTTCCGATGCCTTACGGGAACAGACAGATAAGGTGGAGGAAAACCTGGGAGTGTTCGATATGCCGAATTTTTAACCGATTTGCGTCTCGATAAGCAAGCAGGCGTCGTCGCAGCCATGCGGCCATCGACGCGTTCGTTGCCGTTCGTGGTGAACTACTTGATTCTAGCAATCGCGGGACTGGCCGGATTTGTGATTGTCACTCTGCTCATGTTAGGATTGTGGCGCTTGTGTGTGATGACCTACTCGAGGCAGCCCAGTTTTCCAGTGGTCATTGCTCCTGTTCCGAGGAGGCGGATCTCGATTCGAGCAGAGGGGAGCGATGTTCCCAATCGGGGTGCCTATCGCATGGAAGACGATTTGCCCCCCTCATACGACGAATGCATGGCAGCCTCAAAATGAAGTTCCCGGAGGATAGCTCTCGCAGCTCGGCGCTTTTCATCGATAATAATTTATACGAGCTCGGGTTTCGCAGTAGCTGCGATTCCTGGTGCGATTGAGGCACAAAGTTCTCGCTGGAGCGTTTCGTGCCTCAGGATGTACATCACGTGGTCATCGCGTCGACGCCGACTTCGATGGAGTCGATAATCTGCGTACAAGGGTCGGTCCAGCTAGCGGGAGGACGTGGGGAAGATGTTCATATGTTTCCGTCGAATACACTCCTTCTTGGTGAGCTCCGAGTCTATTTTCCCTGCCGCTTGAAATTCGGTCGCATGCGCTGCGTTTCGCGGAAGCCCGTCAAAGGATACATATCGGTCCATCGATACGGGTAACACTTGCCCCCACGCCAACACGTCTGCGAGCTCAAACGAATCGCTCCAATGCGAGTGCTCAAGGTACTGTCGTATTTTCGTGAATTTTGGGTATCAAACGAGAGCCAACGGATGAACTTCCTACACGTGTCCGTGCCAAATCATACAGCCTGGTCTTCAGGGGTTCTCCCGGCTCCGGGCTGGAATCCCCTGAACCCGCGTTCCTCCATGGAAAAATTCTTGTCGAGCACGCTCAGATCAACGTCAGCAGAAGCGATGCTACCGCGGGATCGCTTGGCCACTGTGACGTCTAAAATGTCAGGAGACAAAGCGACGGAACTTTGCCGCGTTGAGGATATCCGGCGCTCGGGCTGCGTTTGCTCGACAAATCACTGCACTGCGCACCGTCTCTGTTTTCTGCTCTCGCCCCGTATACGAGCCGGGGAAAATGTCTTCCGGAGCTTTTCCTTTCGACGAGCCTCCGGACCCTCTCGAGTTTGTTTTTACCTTATTTATTTGGTGTCTGTTCGTTGTGGCGTTCTGTGCGCTCATTCGTGTGCTCCTCCTTCGGCTCCGACCGCGTCCTGTGCCATCCGTTATGACGATCTATCCCGTAACGTCGCCGACATCGCTAGGCTCGCAATACGGTGGCCTAGCAATACCGTGTGGTCGACCACAGCGATCCTGCGGAAATCCGACACTATTCCCGACTTCTGGACTGATGCTCTACCCGTTTCAGCCTGCGAGCGTCGCCAGCCTGTACCAACAGTCCCGGCCACCGCCTTACCGTAGATGAAAGTCATCTGCCTTCATCGAAACGAAATATAGAATATGATGAATACAGAAATCAGGTCATTCTATCGAAGGCAAATCCCTCCGCGTCCATCCCTGCTGATCCTTGCGTCGTGCGACCACATGAACTGGGATTAAAAGCAGAGAATCCTCGGTTCGCGTCACAGACGATGACTCATGCATTCAAGACGCGCGTGGATACAGTCCAATGCTCAGGAGGCGCGGACGGTGCGGTGTTGGAAATCACGTGAGATCTCGATCGCTCTGCTCCGCGCATTGAAAAGTCGGGACAAATATCGACTGCGCCTGCGGTTCGGAGCTCGAGCCGCAATGCGTGGCGTGGTTTTCGGTGTCATCCATAATTCTATTGTACCGGAGCGTAACCCGACAGGAAAAGATGGACAGGGATTCTAGGATTCGGATTAGAGATCATGGATTACAGAGAAGGAAAATTCGGTGATAGTGCGCCGAACTTTGCTCTATCGAGCGAAATCTGTGAAACAGCCAAGCCGCAGAGACGCCGTTCCAATCGATCGGAAGTCTTTCAAGTCAGCATGGAACCATTTGAAGGATTCACTATAGCCACGGTGTTGAGTGCCATTTTCATAGCAGTTTGTCTCGTGTTCCTCTACCTATTCTGGAGGAGGGCATCGCGGCCCAGGAATCGACATCTGACGACGGTGGCTGTGCCCCGAATATCGCAACAGCTGCGGCATGCACCGATTATTTCCACAATCGAGACGCCTCATCCTCAGCCACGGGAACCTCCACCCTACCCAGGGAATGACAACCTACGCTTCTGAGGGAGATCGTGTTCGACGTCGTAGAGTAAGACTATAAGAAACTCAGTTGACTTGTTCACTGCGCTCACGCACCGCGCGACAAGGAATGTCTCGATTAGCGGACCGTCGAGCTAGGAGGCAGCTATGGAATTAAATCAATAATAAACTTGTACAGTGAGTCGTTGGTCTGCACCAGAAGTGGAATCGCTCTTTTGATGGCATGCCGGCATCTACGTTTGTGTCTCCGAGATTCACAGAGTTTCCTCTCGAGAACTGAGACGTGTGGGGATGGAGAGGCTACGGATCGACGTTCCTAGCGGGCTTACGAGAACGATTCAGATACTGTCCGCAGGTTTTCCGGGAATAAGCAATCGAAATACTCCGGAGTTGAATGTCGGGAGAGCGAACTTTCCAACATCAAATGACAAATAATTTCGTTCAGACCCTAGATGCAGGAGACAACCGTGTAATTCACGCTTCACAGGGCAATGGAACAGCTCACCATCCAGCGAGAGCTACGTGTAGGTAAGTGGGACGAGAACGAAGCGACAGATAACCCAATGATAATAATAATAACCCAATCGAGACAGATCTTTTGTAAAGTGTCGAAGGGTCGATGGAACCGATTTTTAGCCTCTGACGGAGCGTCGAGAAGAAAAGATCTCATTTTCGAATCGAGTGGCGAGCGGAATCTTCCAGTGGTGCGAGGCGCTCAGTTCAGTATTTGCGCGCACCCATCAGCCGCTGACTATCGTGGAGCGTACAATCCCCAAAATCAATGGAGGAGACCCGGAAGATTGTTGGCGCTGAATCGAATAGATTAGAATCGTCATTCAGGTTTTCGAGGCGTCATTTCAGGTTTTTGAGGCGGAATGGAGTCGGCAGAACGATTCAATTTCCGAGGGAAGCGCCTGTTTCTCCCGAATCGCTCATTATCGTTACAGATATCGCAGGAATCACGGTACTCACGGTGAACGTATCCCGTCCTTAGCACGTTGACTTAACAGCAAAATATCCGTGGTTTTGTTCTGGGGTTTTTGCTTTCGAAATAAACGGAGCAAACAGGGAGTGCTGTAGAGTCAGGGACTGGGTAGCAGGTGGCGAAAAGAGTTTCCTTCTCGCAAAGCTGATTGCACCCCTCAGCCGCAGCTGGTACCACTTGTGCAAAAGAGGGCGGTGATACGCTTCGCTCCTCCCCCTGATGGACACTTGGGCGGAGCCGCGCTCCCAACCTCCGATGCACCGAGTGAGCCCGATGCACGATGAGAAGCTCCGAATCCAGAGTCTTCCCGGGAATTTCAAGAAGAAGTTCACGTTCATCGGAACAGAATTCCGACTTGATATTCTTCCCGGATTAGACCTCGATCGGCCCCGATGCTGCATTCGCTGAAGAACTCTTGCGCTCCATGCAATGAGTCCCGAATACCGCTCTTCCGATACCAGATCTGAGGAAATTCGATACCACACGAGACTAGAGACTAGAAGTAAGATCAGATCATAGCATAGTAAAGCTATAAGGGTCTCGTCTTAGATCGGCCTTAGATTCTCAAGTGGGCCACGGCTGCGACCTTGATTTCTTCCGAGATCATGAGCGCGGCAAGGCTATACTTTTCACACAGACGACGGCCTGCCTGGGGAAACCCTACGACCTGTGATGTAGCCGACGCTCGGTTGAACAGCGCTGCCGTGGGATGAGGGACCTGTCGCCTTCCAAGATACCCTGTTGCGGTTTCTTGCCCCTCCGGCCACCACCCCGGTCCCAGACGGGAGAATCTGAGCCACGAGCCTGAAATCCCGCTAGAGCGTCCTTTGCTTGAGGTGTCATCCGCATATACGAATGGAGGAGCAAATCTTTGTCGATGAGTAATTAATTCCATTTCTCATCCCGCGTGTCGATTCTTCTTTCCGAATCCCTCTCTCCTGGTGCTACGATCCTCCGCTACGATCGTTACGCAAAAAATGTGGAAATCCCCAGAACAGGCGGAAAACTCGATTAGTGTTTACCTAAGAGATCTGAGCTAAGTGAGAACACCCTCCGACGCGTACACATCGTAGCGAATCGCGCGAGCATACCATACCGAGTCTTCTCCAGAAACTACGCGTTGTCTCTCTCCGTAGGTGCTTTGAGTTCCAAACACAGGTCGCTTCCAGTACACCGCCGAGCTGTCTGCTTCGTAGTACACCAATTATTTTCCCGAATATGCAGTGGGCCATTGAATCGGATATGCTCCATGATCTTTGACTGGGAAAAATCGGACTCGTCGGTTCGGTCGTCATGTGTTAACAGCTCGCCGGGACGCCTCGAAGCCCACAAAGTGTGAAGAGATGAGCAAAGGCAACATTCTGAGTGTGACCCGCTTCCTGAACCGGTCGTTTTCGAGGCTCGCTCAGCCGCTGCTAGAGCACCCGGGCAGCCCTCTCTCAGTCGGCGGCACTTACTGACCAGTCGGTATCTGACTTTCTACCCGAAACGATACCTCGCCACTACCGGAGAACTTGTGCATCATCATGTGTAAATTGTGAAAAGGTTAGAGTTCCTCCAGGGAAGCACTGCTCTTGACCTTCACGGCAAGCTCGACATCTACTAGAGAAGCGCTTCAATCAGCGATGGCATCGTGGAAGAATAGCAGGTACCGCTCACCTGTGCGATCCACTTATACGAGCTCGCTGTCATCGGGAACCCCATTGTCGCTCTATGGATTCTCGCCTGGATCTTACGCTGTTTCTTCGGCATATTCTTCTCGCTCTCGCCTGTATAGTCCTTCATCCGGGAGCTACATTCCAAGATATTCGTCGAGTAGTTATATCGGCCCATCATCGACGTACTCATACGTCAGCCGGTACCGGGACACTCCTTGGTCTTCGTACTATACGAGCGCGCCTCGTAACAATTGGTACGAGGCGTACAGACCTACCGTGAGGCAGAGACCGAGGTTCCCGTCGGAATATACGCCAACAAGCTCGCGGCGATCGAGTGCCGCCGCAATTTCGCCGAGCCAGTCCATTTCGAAGCGCGGAACCATAAACCGACAGCGAAAAACCATAAAGTTTGTGGATCCTAAACGGAAAGATTCGATACCTCTGGATTTGACTCGTATCCGTAGACTGAGCGACGCGATTACTGATTCGCAAAACGACGAAACTGGTGGAAAGGAAGCCGACCGAGAAGTCGCTCCGACGCAGACGAGCGATGTCTCTGGGCTCATACCGAGCTCGAACACCAGTTGTTCAACAGAGGTGAGAATCCTTCCTTCCGAGAATGCCGGTTCCGCAGATAAATGTGAAGAACGTCAAAGCCGACCGAGGCGAAGATCACGAGACTCAGCCGCCATTTGCAACGAAAAGAGAGGGAAGCGCGTGTCGATAGATATGAATGATGTCATCTGTGAAGAGGATGAAAAACTCAGAAAGTGCGATCTCTGCTCTACGGAAAACACGGAAACCCATCCCCAGGTCTTGGTAGCGGTGTCGAAAATCTGTGATAAAAAGTTTGAGTTGGAAACGAAGAAATTCCCTCAGCATTCGGCGGATGCAGCTCACGATGATTCAATGCCATCGCAGACCCTCAGAACAGTTGAAATCTCCCGAGACGAAAAGGCGAACGGTGGAAAAGTCGCGGTTGAAAACCAACGTACTCAGGGAAATAATGAAACGAAAAAAGAGACTAAGCCTCAGTCGACGACCAACAAACGGGTGAGAGCTCGTCAGCCTGCGGAGCAGGGGAAGAAAACTCAATGTGGGACGATCCCAGAGAAACTCACGAATGAGTCTCCAGCGCCTTCTTCCGCAGCCGGGATCATCGATGCTCCCGAAAGAGCTGCCGGGCGAGTTTCCGACATGAAAGATGGAAATAAGGAGAGACAAGGGAGAAAACATACAGCGGATTTTCCAGATGAGAGGCCTTCTCTTCCAGGAGGTTCCTCCTCAGAAGGGGAACACACCCGGAGACCTACGATTGAGAGATCGGGCTGTCCAGTCGAATCAGGAAAGATGAGAGACCGTGAGCTCGATACGTCAGCGGAGGCTCCGGGGAAGATCGTCGATTCGTCTCGAATTCCGAAAGACGATTCGAAGACATCAGTCGAATCAGGTGAAGGCACCATGAAGGGAGATGAATCCGACGCGAGTGAATTTGCGACTGAAGTGCTTCGCTTGCCTGCCGTAGAATTATCTGGCGAGCCGGCGGGACCCGGACCTGGACCTAATGTTGAGAAAGAGGCTCCAAAGGAGAATGTCGTGACTCTATCGAAGGATTCGGAAATTCCCCTGAGCAGCAGGAGGAAGGAGCCCAAGAAGAAGAAAGACACGAAATCGGAGATGTCAACGCCTTCAGGGAGTTCGGTGCTCTCCGCTGGCGAAACAGGAACGGATCAAAGTACTGCGACTGGTCAGACATCGGAGGTAGGGCCTGGCGTTGACAAGAAGAAAGGTCACGCTCCTTTACCCCGGCTTATAGCCGAGACTGCAAGTGCCGCAGAAATCGTTGGAGCGATGCCGTCTGGGTCCAACAAGGCGGCGAATGACTCTTCCGGAAAAGGATCGAAATCAGATATCGGAATGAAAGCCACCGTTACGCTTCAAGGGAGTCCACAGCCTGTAGAGGAAGCGAAATGTTCCGCGCAAGAACATTCGACTAGTAGAGCAGCGCCCGAGTCTGATGTGGAATCCTTAGCGGGTGGAACGACTCGGGTTAACAAGAATCAAGGGAAGAAGGTCTTGAATGAAACCAAGCCGGATCCTGCTTTCGACACCGGACTCAAACACAAGAAGAATAAGGCAGCTAAAGTGATAAGTCAAAACGATACCACGGCGGCGAGTCTCGAACCAGGCCACATTGGAAACCGTCCTAGGCCACCAGGAGACCAGCAGGTCCGCAGCGGATGCGAGGGCATCGGGTCCTCTGGCGGGAAGCTCGGACCAGAGGAACATGCAGTTCTCGATCGAAGAGAGTCGCAAGTGGGAGCAGGCCCGATCCCCATCGAGATGCCTGCGCAGATGGGGACTCGAGCACCGGAGCAAGGGATCGTAGAAGACCGCTCTCGCGAGCTTGTGGAAAGGAGAGGGGGAGCGAAGAGCTCTGAATCGAGGGAGAGGGGCAGACTTGCTGATAACGATGAGCGACATAAATCCGACCCTCCAAAGGAGCTTCTGCGACCAGAGACTGCGGCGAAATCCATCGGATCTGGCGACGGCGATTCGCGCCCAGCTAACGAAATAGAATCCGTTCAAGTTCACGACGGGGTCAGAGCCATTTCTAAGGCAGCCGACTTGTTGCTCCAAACCGAGGAGCCGGGCGCTCCCCCGAGCAGAGTCCATGAGAACGTCACGGGAACAGCGAAGAAACTTACGGCAGCCGGAAAACTCGAGACTGAACACGATCAAGTTCCGGGTGATCTCGACAAGGTCAGCGTCAAACCGCGGGGAGCTGTAGGGAAGGCGAAGAAGATCGATGTCAAAACTCCGCATGCCGCAGCAGATCTGAATGAGTGCAGAAAGTTTGAGGCTTACGGGAAGCCATCAGAGGCGAAGGATCTCACTAAACCCAGAAGGCAGCCAGGGGGGAGAGCCGAACTTTCGGAAACCTCGACGGGACGGAGTGGTTCCTCGGCGCAAATGAAGCCTGCGGCTCGTCTTTCGGAAGAAGCAATGTCGCCGCCGGAACTCCCCCAGTCAGACCCATCCGCACAGAAACCTTTGATTACTCCCGTCAGATCTAAGAAGCAATATAAGAACCTGGAGAATGCTCCCGGAAATGGAGAAGGGTCTTCGGAGAATCCTCGGGAGGCAGTCGTGCCTCTGAAACCACGGGGATCCGGAGAAGCGATTCATGACGCCAGAAAGAAGCCTGAGAACGAAAATGACCCCCACCGTGGAGAAGAAGAGCGAACGGACCCATCCGTGAGAAAATCAATGCTAAGAGGGACCAGAGGCAGACCTAAATCCGAAGAGAGGAATATTGTCGAGAAATGTGAAGCACCTCTCGCTGCCTCCACAGGGGAAGGTAAAACCAGGTTTAAAGGGGATCCGGGGAAACCGGAAGAACAGTCACAGAACCCGGAGAAATCGGTAAAAATTCCGAGAAATCAAGCGGCAGGAGAGAAAACGAAAATAGGTGTAAAAGAAGACGAGCTGGAAGAAACACGTCAGCTTCCCGGAAGAACGGAGAGAATCCCAGAGACCGGAGCGACAGGGAACAAACGGGAAATCGGAGGAAAATCTGGAAAACCGGGGTATGTTTCCGGAGGCGTCGAGAAATCGCCAAAGATGGCTGGAAGCTCAGCTGCAGAGACGAAGAAAAAAACCGGAGAGCATATCAAAAAGTCCGAGGGAGCAATCATCAAGGCTTCCGAGAAACAGGAATCAACTCCCAATTCTCGAGAGTTCGTCAAGGACGGTGTGGGGAATAGCGAAAGAGACCGCGAATCTCTCGCAGACTCCCAGCAAACCGAGAAAAATGCGGAACGCTCCGACGCTGAGGTCCCGTCAAGAATGGCTGCCGTCCCATTGAGCTCTGACTTGAAATCGGCAACCGCGAGTAGTGTCGCTTCGGCTGGAGGGAACGAACAAATAGAACACCCAAATGAAGTCCAGAATGCTGGGGGAAGAACAAACCCTACGAAGAAGAAAGGTAAAAAAGCGAAGGACAATATCGAAGCGAAACCTGTGTCTGACGGCAGACTTGAGAGCTCACAGATTTCTGCTACCAAAGAAAGTCCTGTACCTGCTTCTGGAGAGCCCAGAAAAACTGATGATGCGTCGGCTCACTCCGAATCGGTTGGAGCCGATCCGGATTCGGCCCCTGTCTCGCGAAAAAATCTCGAAGGAGTCGTCGCGCAGAAACAGCATTGCGAACCAAAAGAAGTCCATGCGAAAAACGGCGAACAGATAATCCAGGGGGGATCGTCGATGCTCGTCGGAGCATCCGGTAAAGATTCCGGGACCCCAGGTTTTCAAGCCGATGTGATTGAAACGATTCCCGTTCCCGTGGACATTATCGCACAGGCATCACTCGGAGCGACGAATGACGGGAAGACCGCGCTGCCGGTCGAACAAGAGGCTAATGAAAACCGGTGGACGTCAGGTATCGTGAGGAATGAGATCGTCCACTCGGCGAGTATAGACTGCCTGCTGCCAGTCCACGACGATGATGCGACCCTATCCGGGACGAAGGGTAAATCTCCTCCCGAAATTCCTAAGAAGCCGTCAATGACCCCTGAAATTAGAGCCAATATCCAGGACCGGGACAAGCAACCTGTCGGCTGCGATGCGCGGAACATTCCACTGTCCCAGAATGGTTCAAGGAAGACACACAGTGAGGTTGAGAGCTTTGATGACGACGAAGACGCCAAATCCCTCAAGGACTCGCTCTGCGACAGAGTTAAAGCGGTGAAACCGCCGAAAGCGATTCCGGTTCCCGATCTGCAAGCTTCGCATCTTGGAACTCTCCCCAAGGATCAGCAAATGGCCCTAGAATCCCGTTTGCCAAGAGGTGAGTAGATTTCCTCTTGAACCTCTGTCTTTATTCCAGTCCATCAGTCAGCTCCTCAGTGAGTCGATCATCGCCCCTGATGGGAGAATAGAGCAAGTGAGGGGAGTGAATCATCCTGCGTGATTGCGAGTGATTTACTCCCTTACCTCCCCTTCCCTTCGAGGCGAGCGCGAACAAATAACTCATTGCGCAACGATCATTGCGAACACTATGTTTGGAAGTCAAACAACAGGCGCATACCGTCGGTAAAAAGGTGGTTTTATGGGAACTCTTTCCCCAGCCGCCCGCGACCTGGCTGCTGTTACATAAGAGATTCTTTAGCAGGCTGCCAGCGGTAGAATGTCGCTGCTGTAGAGTGTCTCCCACATAGAGAGCAAGACAAGGAGCTCTTTGACGAGAGGCGCTTCAGACAATCAACTCGAGTAACAAAGGAAAATCTTTGATTCGCTCCCAGTATACTTGCTTCGATTTCATTCATCTGCCGCTCCGTATTTAGGACTCGTCGGAAATGCGGCTCGCTGCTCGCTATATGTTAGTCCGGGGCTGGATCGATTCTGGAACACGAATCGAAGCCTAGTGTCTATGCGCTACGATCGTACAATAACTGAATGACCTAGACGACAAAAATTTCATGGCGTCTCTCCGTCTAATTCTCACGTTGCTCTTCGCTCCGAAAGTCTCTGGTGAATATCAGCGAGTCTAACAAAAATGCTCCTGCTGAAGACACCGTGAGAGTGGAAACACGCGACAGTTATTAATAATGGGCCTACGCAGCCTCTCAGGGTGCTCCGCCCTTGTGGGCCTTTCGGTACGAGGTGAAGCGTCGAGTTCAAATTAGTCAGTCTTCGACTCTTTACTACTGACGAAATGTTTTGCCTCGACTGCCGATACGCGGAGCGAAAGCTGAGCTCTTTGCGTTGAGCTGAACGGGTCAGAGGGCTTAGCGCCAACAGTTTATTCTCTATGGAGGATCGATAATAATCATTCGAAATTCCCCCTAGCGCATGCGAGCGACAAAGCTGTCGTGGAGCGCAGGGCCACGGACGAGATTCTTAGACCAAGGACCGTCGATCAACCGGTGGTGATTCGCTTCAGGAAGTATTCCCTCTTAGATTTTCACTTGCTCAAGGTACTCGGGAAAGGAAGCTTCGGGAAAGTAAGTCAATTAGATTTTTGCATCGACGTGTTTTCTGAGAGGCGTTCCCCCCGAATCGAACTCTGCGAGGAATTGTGTTTCTCTCCTTCATCGGAGTGGAACAGTAAGGCGGCGGCATCATCCATACGTTCCAGGTGTTCCTGGTCGAGCTCAGAGACGTGCCGATTTACTTTGCTATGAAGTGCCTCAAGAAGGACGTGGTCCTGGAAGACGATGACGTGGAATGCACGCTCGTCGAACGTCAAGTTCTCTCACTGGGATCGCACAATCCTTTCATTTGCAAATTATTCTGTACTTTCCAAACGGAGTCGCATCTCTTCTTCGTGATGGAATTCCTCCGGGGCGGGGATCTCATGTTCCACGTCCAGAACGAAGGTAGTTTCACAGAGGATCGAGCAAGGTGAGTCGCTGAAGTCGCCCCGTACTGATCGGAATGTTCACCAAGGAAGGGCGTATGACGAATCCGAGCGACCTCGGCAGCGACCATTGAGACGAGCCTACGCCTATGGTAGGATGAACAAAAGCGGCTCCTGCATCCTTTCCAGGTTCTACGGTGCGGAAATCGTCTGCGCTTTGAAATTCTTGCATCGACGAGGAATCGTTTATCGGGATCTCAAATTGGACAATGTTTGCTTGGATGGAGAGGGTCACATTCGACTCATCGATTTCGGGATGTGTGTGCCGCGAGTGTATCGTTACGAACCGACAGCTTTCTGCGGCACCCCAGAATACATGGCACCGGAGGTGAGGTCCGGGCTGACCGTGACTCTTATGCGGATCGTGTCCTCTGGCTCAGATTACCGATTGTTGAGAACTCAGTCGGAAAGTTATTATTTTGAACGTAATCCCCATTTGTGGATCTATCCCTCCCAAGGTAATCGAGGGCAAGCACTACAATTACGCGGTCGATTGGTGGTCTTTCGGCGTCGTGATGTACGAAATGCTCCGTGGTCGGTCCCCGTACACCGGTTGCGATGAGGACGAGCTCTTCTGGAATGTTATGAACACCGAGGTCGAGTACCCAAAGTACTTCACTCGCGAAGCCAAAGATCTCATAAAGAATGTAAGCGGAAAAGACCGGGATTCGATTTATTATATCAATGCATATCGAGAAGGGCTGGGTGACGATTCCGATGCCGCGGAAGCAGCGTCGCGTCGGTCACTACTTTCTCTGTCATTCACAACCGCGAGGCTTTCCTAATCGCTGCGACGGAATGGTCTGCTGGGCTTCAGCAGGGCCGCGATCGAGAACAAAACTCTTCCGGGGCGATAACGCAGTGAACGAGCGTCGCAGCGTAACAAACATCGAGCCCTGGTGATGGGCTCATGCACGCCCGCAAATGGCTGCGAGGGATGCGCCGATATCTCGTCTAGGGCCACGGGACTCAAAGATTTCTCTCCGTTGAAGCTGCTGCAAAAGGAACCCGAACGACGACTTGGAGTCCCGGAGAGCGGTCAGGGTGATATCAAAGATCACGGCTTTTTTTACGGGATTAGCTGGAGCCACGTAGAGAAGAAACAGCTCACACCCCAGTTCCGGCCCTTCAACGTAAGATTCGTGGAAAATATCGAATATAACTCTAGGTTCGAATTTGAAGTCAGAGATCCGAATCTGATCCTATTGGAATTGTATTTTCAGCACGGAGCGAATGACGTCTCGAACTTCGACGAAGATTTCACGAGGGAACCTGCGGTTCTGACTCCAGTCGCCGAGGATGTGCTCGCGACGATGGATCAAGAACTCTTCAAGGAATTCAGCTACACCAATCCAAATATGACCACATGAGGCGACGAGCGCTCCGCGAAGCGTCCAGATCCTTGCGTGGATTATTTTTTCGTCAAACCTATCACCGTTGCACCCACGACCTTTCCTCAATGAGACTTGTGAGAAAATGCGCTCTCCATCGAGGGGCACACTCGGTACACCGGGGATTCCCCACCAAGGCCGTCCAATTTTATTTTTCGCTCGTTCCGCTACCCTCCCGACATTCACCTCGTGAGAGACCATTGTAAAAATATCATTTAGGATGCACTAAGCTTACGGGATGATTGTCAACCCGTGTGTCCGCTTGTGGAATATAGTCGAGGAGTTTCGTGGAAAACCGATGGATTTATTCAGGGAATGAAGCTTCTTGATGACTGTATTTCCATTGCTATCTAGATTCCGATTCGCGACGCCCCAATCATCATTCTTATCATTATTTGTTCCATAGTAAAAGATTCGGGAAGAAGACAATCCGACATCCACGATGGGAAACGAAGATAAATCATCCAAGTGCACGAACTCTCACTCCCATCTCTCAAACTCATATCCAGATATTTAAACGTATGTATAAATAAATCTTCTCCATACGCTTCGGTGAACGGACAGTGGCTGTCATTGGTAGAAACATTTCCGTCAACTCCGCGTAAAGCTACATAGTAGTTACTAATGTGGTCCCATTGTTGTTTTGGACTTCCACCGATTGACGCCACGTTCGAAGTTGGCATGAAAACACGGTTGTTTCCGTGTTTATCAAGAATGATTTGTTCCGGTCAACCTCTTCGACTTTGGAGAGCAATGCGAGATTGCATCAAGATCGAGGTGTCAAGATTCTAGGAAACGACTAGGTACACATTTTTAGGAAAAAACCTGCGCAAAAGAGACCTCAAGATATCTCCAAACAGACTTCAGCAGAGCGCATTCCATACGCTCTCGATAGTCAGACCATGAAGGTAAACATTTGATTCATAAAACAGTTCAGAGCTTATAACTAGAGACACGAATGATATCATAACCTTGAACGCGCTTTATCATAATTAAATAGTAATGCTCGGAGTTCGGGACAGCTATCCGTGCGAGAAGCCGAACGCTCTCTCATTGACTGTTGTACTGACCGACCGACTGACTGACTGACTTTCTGCCAGCCGGTCGGTATTACCCTCGATACATACAACCAGTGCTAATTCAAGACTTGAGATCGTACTGATCTTTCTAGTCCTCTCTGATCGACCACAATCACTTCACAACCAGTACCGGTTGAATGAATTGTTTCTTCTCCAGTGAAATAATGGCGATGCCCTCGATGTCATGCAGCGAATTGATACGTATTCACCACAATATGTGATGCTTCGCGAATTTCGAATTTATAAGCGCTAGGCGTCTACAGTTCCGGAATCTGAACTCAGATTCACGTCCATTCAGCATGCCAAGTACACTGCCCCTGGGTTCGCTGGCCTGGCGTCGACGAAGTTCACCGAATACCGCAATAGATTTTCCAACGAGTAGATGTCGCTTGACGATCACTCAAACCCGAGTTCGAGGTCGTCAACGAACCGGGCGCGCCGCCATTAGACACGATTGCTTATCGACCTCCGATTCCGAGCGCGTCGCGTCGAGGGAGCTGCTGCGAATTGGTTACACTCGGTTTTCGGGACCAGCGGAATTTCAGTGAACTGCAGGCACAGTCACTCTAACGCTTCATGCCGCCGCTGTCGGATCGTTTAGAGGAAAGAAAATTCTCCGAGAGAGTAAAGAGCCTCGAACGATTTGATTACACGAACGGTATGCATCTCAGTTAGCCTGAACAGGGCTCTAAACAGAGAGTCTACAAAGTTCTACCAACAGCTCGACGGTTTCCACCATGAGTAAGCGATTAGAGAACATTTCACGGGAAGACAGGTGCTGTGAACGGTGCCGATGACGTCAATAGAAGATTACAGCTAACAGAGTCGATCTCTCCTGAGCCCATAGGGTACATTATAAGAACGTTTACGTTACGACGTAGAAAGACTGAGCTCTGCACATTTCCTTACTGGATTGCAGAGCTCGCAGAGCACACGACTCAATCGGAGTCGAACACTCGGGATCGCTAACATTGTTTTGGTCAAAAGTCCGCCACGGGGGTGTGGCGTGGATTGCATGACGGTGTATTTCGACTAGCATAGAAGTGATTCGAACGAGAGATGATTCTTGCATACCACATTCGCTGGATGTGGGAGAGAATTTCATTATGACTTATGACTCGTTTCGGTGATTTCTGAGGACTTCATTTTGTCACGCAGGGTGTGACGTCGTCGAGACTCGTAGTCTGCGTCACACGCCTATTCGGTGGCTCCACGGGGAAGTCTCCGAATCCTCCTCGGATCACCAGGCATCTGTGTAGCGAACATCGCAGATTTCCATATCGGGGAATCGCTCCTGCAACGCAAATAGATCTTGAGCCGAAGAACGTGAAAGCGACACGCTGGTTTGGGCGCGACTGCTCGAAATCTTCTTCCGCGACCACGGCATTGCGGCTCCTCGAGGCCCTCGATAGTTCTCGGCTCAGAATCCCCTTCAGAACTCGACCAGAAGCTGTGGCCTACCTTCAACTTGCAGTATGCATCCATGGTGACTTTTGTAGAATTGAGATTTACGATTCGAAGTTTATCAAGCGATGTGAGCGCCTCGACCCCACGTTCTCCGATAGGAGTCTCACAAAGATTCACATCTTCGAGATCCTTGAGGCTATAGCAGATAGCTTCCAGACCTACATCGCTTATCTACAGAGAAGAACACTTTGAGTCAAAGTTCTCATTGGAACTTTCAATCGGATAGGCTGTCTAGGTCCTCCGGCTTCCTCCTTGTACATCGATGTATGAGTAGAAGTCCACTTGCTAAAAGAAGTCATACCTTGGAGGCCCAAAGATTGAGTTTCTTGAGACCTCTCAATTGCGTTATGGCATCGATGCTCCGGTCGGTGATCTCGGTGAAGGCTAAGGTCAGAGTGTGAACTTTGACCAGATCGTGTACGCCACTCAAATTACTCAGGAGTAGATGAAAGTCATTGTCATTGGATTTCGGAGGGAGCGAGATTGTACTCAACGATCTCACACGACTAGAACCGGACTGCAATAAGAACAGATGGATTCATTCGGATGTCTATTTTTCACTCGGAGAGTTGCCATTGACGTCATAATTGACAGAGAGAATCGGCGGGGCGTCTCATGCGCAGCAAGGGATCCGAAAACTTTCTCGCGGCTGCCGGGCTGCCAGCCGACGGGCTGGAGCCGCTACCGCGAGTCCCCCGATCACGCATTACGAAGCGCGCCGCAGGCGCCGCGCCGAGTCGATCGAACGTCCGATGCGTGAATACTCAACGCATGCTCGTCCCGACTCACCTGCTCGAAATTTCTTGTGTACATCTGCTTTTTGGCTTGGATTGTCTCGAAAAGCCTCCGTCCGAATACACTGGATTGCAGGGCTGCTTGTGCCGAACTTCTGAGGTCTTCGCCCTTTATGAGATCGTTTTCGAGAAGGATGGCTAAACATTGCACCGCGACAGCCTGATGCCGTAGAGAACTGAGAATCAGCGGCTCGAGAGCCCATGAGCTGGTGAACGTGTCGCTCAAGAAGGCTTTCCGCAGGCAGTTGCATTTCAAAAGCGCATGGCACTGGAAAAGAACAGCGGTTTAGACACTCGGGCGAGACTTTCCGATACGGGAAGTGCTGCTGCATATTTTTGGAGAGAACTGTCGAATTCTCGGACACATGAGAACGACTAAGTGAATAATGGCCGCGGGAGCCCAGTGGTGCTCACCATTTTACTGTACATCTCACTATCGTGGCCGGCGGCAAAAATCTGCAGCCAGCCATTTTTGTTCTGGCGGACTCCAACGAGGCATTGGTGCACCTCGCATCGGGAATCGCTGGCGAACTGCCAAACGATCGTCGACATTTTTTCAGCGAAGAGTATCGTGGCCTCAATGAAAATACTAGGGAAAGGGATGGGTTGAAGGATTTGCGATAGCGGTAATCGCCAATCTTCAAACTCGGAAAGAACCGAGAGGATCTGAATAAAGCACAATACGTCCGGATCATCACATTTCGTCCTGAGATCCTTGCTGAAAAGCGGAATAACGTTGAATCATAAAATAATAATTTCGGTTGGGTAGCTGCGAACTACCGGTATATTCTCCGTTCTATTTCGAACTCGGTAGCGCGAGATAATTATGAGTGGGTGGGTACTAATTTAGCCGTCGTTTCCCTGGAGCTTACGTTTGACTAAACGCTCTGTAGAGAGCCGAGAGACAAACTGCCACGAGATTGGGGAGTATGCGCGGATGAGGGCACGCACTGGAGTTGCCGTGCATTTGCCTCGTGAACGCTTCGACGGCGCAGGCTGATTTGTGCCGCAGGTTGGTCCGTACGTTTTCTTCACAGCAGAATACCTCGTCTTCTAAAGCCGACGGCACATCGAGCCTGTTGTTCTCGACCTCAGCGGTCTTCCCGTCGTCGTTTTGTCCACCCTCGACTTCGTCCGTCGAGTCCGGGCAGAGTTGTACGTTGATGATGCTCCCACTCGAATTGATCGTGGCTATCATTTGATCGTGGCTCAGTTGGCTCTCGGTCCGAAATGCGTCACTGCTAAGGTTGCTGAAAGTGGGAGTTTCGAGGTGTTGACCTTCGGACGAAAGTCCGCTGACGTTGAACACGCTCAACGAACTCGTGCCTTGATAGTGACCACCGGCGCATTGCTCGTGAATCGTCGCCGGTCGGTAGTTGGACGTCACTACCGACAATGAGCTGCCGCTTTTATTGCTGCGCTCCTTTTCGAAATGGCAGTCGAATGAATCGAGACAGCGTTCTGCCGATCGGCTGCGCGCTCTCTTCCTAGGACTCTGGCCGAGGTTCCGCCGCGAGTGCTTGTTCAGCCGAGACAATGCCTTCAAATAGCATTCGACGAGACGTCGAGATCCAGGATACTTTCCGAAATCCGTGTTTCGTTTGATGATCCGTTCGATAACGGAGGCCAGTTGGCCTGTGACCAGGGGCAAATCGCTGTCGCATAACTGTAAAACGATCGCGATTCAATTTATTGAGTTTCTTGCAAAGCTCACGATCTTAGAGATCCGAATTCTAACGACTTCACAAAAGCTGTCGTTATTCAGCCTCCGCGAAGAGAGAAATCCTCCATCAGACGTCGGGGCCATGGCTCTCGCTCGTGACATCCGCACTGCGACCAATGCTCGCACCCGAAGTCAAAAGAGAAAAACTTCTTTTTTGAAGCTCGAATATTCGATTACAGCTCGTGCGGACTTCTAAGGTTCGACAATCCCGAGAAAAAAAATCTCCAAACTGAATTGCCTCGAGCGTTTGAAGTAGAATTCCAACGACGACGAGGGCGTCGACGACCACCACAGAGGAGGTGTTTCGGAGCTCGGCTCTTCCGGCCTGGCGCTTTCCCTCGTCCTCATTTGAGACGTTTCCCTGGTTTTTCTCTCCCCCATTGCCGCTATTCCCTCTCGCCGGTTCTTTCACCTCCGACTCCCTGAGAGCTCCTTGAAGGTGCTCGTCGCTTCCGCGTGCTTGGAGCAGAAAAAAAACGGGAAAAAATTGATCCCCTCGAAAACTCACCTTACAAAGATATTCGCAGATGGGTTGGGTTGGAGTACACCTCTCGAGGAGCGGCGACATCACAGCGATCACCTGATTTCCATAGCAGCCGCTCAAATCGTCCGAATTCGCGTTATCAATATTATGTAGATAGTCGCACAAAATGTCAAGAGTCGTCTGATATATGCTCGTGTCCTGAAGCGGCGTCGTTAACGAAAGGTCGACCATCGTCTGCAAAGGAGGGACATCACGACTCGTTAATTAATTCCCTCCGAATTCGCCGAATCGATAATTAATGGATCCGCTCATTCAGATGTATTGATTGCTACATAAATTTCAGTCCTCATACGTAAATATATCTACCTAACAAAGAGGGCAGAGAGGGGTAGATAATAATTGGATAGCTTGACGGGGACGTCTTGATGGATGTTTCGACCGGAGAAGAACACTCCGCAGTGACCCACATTTGGGTCCAATATCTACAGGGTCCTCCCCATCATGAGCTTGAACGGCCTCTGGACTCGTTCATCAGCTTTCGTATACAGCAGGCTTCCTCCGTCTACTTTCCTTCTATTTATCCTGAATCACTCAGAGCGCCCCCAATGAGGGCCCGCAACTCTTCCGCATGGTGCTCACACAGCGGAGGAAAGGAACGGCGAATTCTCTGTTCGCTCTACTCCACCGGTACCTGGCGGCTTCTCCGCGGCGGGATACGGCCGAACATATAGGGAGACCGATGCTTCCGGCCGTTACCTCATAGTCGTGTTAGTTGAGCGAGACAAGAGGCCAAGCTTGTCTCTCTGGAACATTGTATTACCGGCCAGAGGAAGAGGAGCGAAATAACTACAACGCCGGATTGGCGAGATGGAGGAGGAGGTAGCATTCATGCCCCGGTTGAGGTAGGGAACTTATTCTCCTCCTCGCGGAGTCTTCTGCTAATGCTACGCCGACAAACTCGATCTGGCTCACGGTGATGAGTACGCCGCTGCCGTCACCACGGTCGCTATAAGCTCCTCTTCCTCTTTCGTCTGTCCCACCGTTCCGGTCTCCCCTTCCCCCCAGTCCTCAGTTCCCGCGGACTGCCTCTTCCTAGTCGTCCGCTACGCTCGCTCAGCGACGGGCTGAGTGACCATCCCTACTGGAGAGAACAACAGCTGTACCTTAAGCAGCAGGGAAATAGGGAACCCAGCAGGCCGATCAATGGCCTCCCGGTCGGTCGACCAGTCGATCGGACGGCCCGCTACGCTTCATGAGACGATTCGACGTTCTCTATTCCAGGGGAGGGAGGTATATATGCAGCTGGGGAAGTTGATTGGCGCTGACTAATGCGCGGATGTTGTACCGCGAGAGGAGAGAGCAGACCTGAGGATTCCAGGGTGATGGTCTCAAAAACGAAGCTCCTTCTGCGCATATTTGGACGGCTATTCTTGTATTTTGGGTAATTTAGTTTGCTGTCTGGAAACGACGGGTGGAGAGATAGTAGCAGCGACACAAAGGTGAATCTGATGTTTCTGATGATGACTGGCACGCGACGCTGAGGACGGGACATCAAAGTAGCTCATGGTAGTCGTCTGACAAGTCGTCACTGTTGTCAGTGACAAGGAGATAAGTTACTAGACCGTGTCGTCTGTGCTCCATCGGCGACGCGAACGTAACACGACGGTGAAGCCATTGACCATTCTGATATCGGTCTCTGCAGGATGTCTGAGAGTCTCTCCACAAATGCTCACGCATGCTCTCACGCACGCAAGACCTTGCTCACAGGATGGCAGCGAGGAAGATTTCGGGGGAGTCTCATTAGCGTTTTCTTTTTTTTTTTCTCAGACTGAGAGCTGTCACTGTTTGCTTAGCCGGCGGCACGCTCGACTGCGGCTTGAAAGACTCGTAGTCTGATGCTTCCGAGAATGGAGCGCTCTCCAGGTACGTCAGACTTCAGAGGAAAACAATCGGAGAAGCTCGGGGTGAGCCAGTTTTCGGAGTCCTCCACTGCGGTAATCATCACCCAACCGAACTGTCATGATTCGGTCCAAGGCATCGCACATTGTTGAGCTTACGAGCTAGACACGGTCCGATCCGTTACCACGGGAAGCTCTACAATTGAGCGAACATAACGCGAGCCTCGCTATGAGGGACATGGGGGCGGCAAGTTCCGAATTTAACTCGATTCTCGGAGCTCGATCTGCAGGCATTAGGCAAAGAGGTGCTTTCCAGCAAACGGTCGGGCTCATTCGAGAACGTTCCCGGTTGGGACTCCTTCTACCACGGCCGGTCTGAGACGAAAGACTCCGGACCCGGACCGAGTTGGACGAAGCTGTCCGAGATGATCGGAGGGCAGCATGGTTTCGAATATTTCCACACAGTCGTAGATCGATACCGGAGGAGCACAATGGAGCGAAGGTTGAAGAGAAGGTTGCGGCCCTGAGCTCGAACCTCCTCGGGCAAGTGCGTGAAGTCTAACGATTGTTTGGAATTGCTCTCAGTCAGATCTACGAAGCGCATCGGATGTCCGTTGCATCTGGATTAGACGAGGTCATATCTGATACGCAGTAAGGCAGTCGCGGCTGGGCGAGAGAAGCATCTGGGATGGCAACGGCTGCAACATTCTTCCTTGCTCGTAGGATTAGTACATAGGAACGAACTACATGAGCAGTGCGATGTATTTTTAGCAACAGGACAGCCAGCGACTGAGCAAGCGGCCGAGGCAGGCGTAAAGAAGCGAGGGAGCGATCATTCGAACCACGTGGAGAAGGCAATCGGGAACGCAACCAGCGAACACGAGTTTTCCCCAACTGCAGAAAGACTGGTCGTTCCTTCGTCGTTTTTGTCCCGCAGGGGTTCCGCTGTTCTATCATCCGTGATGACCTTCCGAGAAAGCGGAACCCGGGTCCGGCTCCCATTCTGGGAGCGACTCCCCGAAAGAAGAGAATTCTCCCCGGACCACCGACCGGGAATTCAAATCCTGGACGTGAATGATCGCCGTACGCAACGAAGAGCTCGATTGAGACGGATTTTTTCTTGGCACGGAAAGCGGGATCGCAAAGCCTTTCTCCGGGCAGTCCCTTGATTTCCGAGCTGCTCATGTCTTACGTTCCTTCACGCTTAGCTATTGTTTGCACTTAGCAAACTTCTGCGCAGTAATCTCCTTCTACTCTATGCGGTGAGACACAGCGTGGAACTCCGGCAGCGGCCGCCGTCGTCGCTGCGGCTGGAAATCCCGCAGCGGTCAATCTTGCTCGTTGTTGGAGAGGGGGCAGGCTGGCTGCGCGTGCGTGCCACTGTGCTTGCCAGTCTGCCCGCTCGTTCGCCTACCCAAGGCGCTCCTCTTTCAGGTCTGTTTGACGGGAAATAGAATGCCTCGCTGAACCTCGACAATACTAAGCGGCTTCCAGCAGAAAATGAGGAGAATGAGAATCCTAGCGGACGCAAACACCTGCATACAGAGGCAAGGGAATAAGAAACAGCGGGGTGGTTTCCTTTCTCCGGGCAGCCGAGTAACATTCCAGTCCTGACCAGGGCACTGGCTCCGGCGATGGCCGGTGGGCCCGGTTTCAGAATTCCCTCAATTATTTGGCTTCCCCTCCGAGACGGCAATGGAAAGCGAAGCTTCCCGCGTACGGGAGTGGAGAATTACGACCATCCTTCTCCCACGGGCTCGAAATCGCTGATGCTCACAACCTTCTCCGGAATTTTATTTCTTCGCCCCCTGGAAGCCCCATGAATGGCCAATCGAGCCCATCGAACACCGGGGCCACTGAATTCTACGGTCGAGAATTTCGCAGGCGAGACGATCAAAACTGAACTGGGAGCCTAAGCGATTCCCTGAACCATGAATCGTCACCTTGAGACAACGTGAGAATTCGAATAAGCATTTCATAGAAGCACGATGTCGGCAAAGGAATGCGATACGGAATGGAAAGCTCGACCCGAGAGTAAGGTCACCATCATCGTCAATTGCCGAGAGGAACACAAAGCTCCCACGGAGGAATGCAGACACTCCTGTTGCGGGCGCTAGGCAACATCGTTCCCCAACCAGGTACGCTCGAATGAGAATATTGTAAAGACAGAATATCGGTGATCGCCCTTCCCCTCCTTCCAACCGGGATTCCGACACAGCGAGATTCCCTCTGCGCACATTTTGACGAGCAAAAGCTTCCATGTCGATTTCGTACTCGTGTCGAGCTTTCCTCGACGAGGATCTCATTTTCCGAGGAAAACTCGTTCATCCCGTAGAATGATAAATGAAACTCACCTTCATGTTTTTGAGGATCACACCGAAATCGTTCTCCCGATTTCTGACTGCATCGAGCGAGAATTTCGAAATCTGCTTCAGCCACAGGATCGAATGGAGCCATTGGTCCCGAAGGTAGGAGCTGGGTGCCTGGACAAAGACGGAGAATTGAGCATCGTTATGAAAAAGTTGCGTGGAGCACGCCTAATGAGGCCGTCATCGCCGCCTCGTCTAACGTTCCCTCTACTTTCGGTCCGACAGATGGTTTCTCCCGATTTCGGAAATATTTCTCGGCATCTCGAAGACCTGCCTGCTGAAGACCGAAAACTGAAAGCTTCGTCTAGTTGTTTTCACTTCGCCACTCAAATCCCCTCCTCTCCGTCGTCTCCGCTCGAATGCGGCCAGCTCTCGATTCGTCTCGAAAGGCAACAGAGAATGTTTTCATTGGCCGGCGTTCGCAATGGAATCAACCGCCCTTCACGAATCTAACGGAAGACACGCCGCACCCTCCCGCGGCTCCAGACGGGGGAGATAATGAAATGCTTTGTCGACGCAAGCTCAAGCTCGGCGAATCTATTCTACTAAGCTGACTACTAGTTGCTTGAACCGACGACGAAAGGGGGGAGGACTCTCTTTCCTCGGTCGGAGTTTGGATGAGCGACGGCGGAAAGAGGCGATTCCCCACCTATCCATGTGATGGATGAGGGCGGCATTTACCGGCGAAGTTTTTCGAGTTCACGTCACCGCGTACAGCTCCGACGCCTTTGAAATTACTCTCGCAGCCACCTGCTGTTTGGCGAACTCCGCCGAAAGGGGCATTCCGACCGGTCGCCTGCGGAACTCAGTTCGGTTCGAGGGGGGTTCCGCCGAACTGGTGGATTCGTATGCCAGCTCGAATTCCATTGCGGGGCTCGGTTTGGAGCGATTATTCCACTGGCTCACAGAGCTTTCAACGTCTCAAATTCATTTGCCGGACGCAGCGAAAACGACGGATAAGCGCGCAGGGACTTACGCGACGATTTCGAAGCCGCAGCCGATTACCGGCGCGAACTCCTGACGGTCACTCGACGTTCGCTTACCTGAAGCAAAGCAGAAGTACCGTCCGCAAGAGCAATCCGCAAACAAAACTTGTGATGAGGATCCCAGCGCTTTGTCGCGTAAACCTCAGTAATGCTATCGTAGGGGATGGGCTCCGCCATGAAACCTGTGTTCTGCAACATAGAAGAATAACTTCCCATTAGTTCACTATTGACGTCGGACTGTAGCTTGAGAATTACAGAAGGCAGAGTTCTTTGTTCGTGAAATTTCCCCGGCGAAACATCGAGCAGCTGATAGGATTCATGCTACGTGGTTAAGATTGCTGCTCAGTAAACGAAATCGACACTCATGACTTATGACTAGGGGTGTGAATTTTTCGCGGACCGCCATTTTTCGGCGAATATTCGCGGAAATTTCCGGCTACTCCCCATAGAGTTTCAATGGAGGCCGCGAATTTCCGCGAATTCGGCGGATATTTTCCGCGAAAAATTTAAATCCCTACTTAGGTATGACTCATGACTCGCACACGATACAGAGGAAGCTCTAGCGAGCTCGGACGCGCAAGCTGGGATCCGGCGGCGCGGCGTTGGTACGCTGACTTTAACAAGGTGAAGAGTCGCTTCAGCTTCCCACGCTTAATGGAGTTTCCGCAAATCGGGGACGAGTGAGTGATCCGCGCATAGCGGAATAATCTATCGGCTCTTGTTTCTAGCGGAAACGCATGGTTCGCAAGTACAATCGCCAACAAACCGCAACCCTTGCGGGCTCTCCGAACGATTCTCTTTCTAGTCAAACAAGAGTTTGATGTGCATTCAAATGAAATCATGGATGACTGACGGCGACTGATGCTCAGGGTCTTCGCTCGCGGTTTCCCAGCAGACCCGTATGCAACCTTGGGAAGTTCGATTAAGACCATCGGTACCGCCACCCCGCAGGTTGGCCCGTCTGCATATCTGTGACGTGGGACAGCTGAAACGCTATTGTCACCTGGCACCAGCCAGGACGACCAGCGTTCCGAATTAATTCCGAATTCAGAAAAGGAGTCGCGCGTTCGATCGACCGCGAGTGTGCTCCACAGCGGCCGTTTGAGGGAAGGAACCCTTGACACCCTCTGTCAGCGAGCCACACGCTGCGTTCAGAATAAGAAGTGTCCGAACCCGAGTGGGAACACGGAGCACGAGCTGATTCCAGAGCCGTCTGTGCCCGAGTTTCGAAATTCTACCAGGGTGGCTCGCGAACTCGGTTTAGCTTGATCGGATGGGGATTGCCATTGTTTAAACAGTCTGGAGCTGTCGATACAATCGACCAATGGATCCATCGATCGATCGATGTGTCGGTCGGCTAGAATTCATAAACGTGTGGTTGAATAGAAGCTGCAATCATACTCGAGCGTGACGGTAGTCGCGACTTCGGCACGCGGAATTACGCTCTCACGGAATCAGACTCACGCATCGTATGACGCCAAAGGAAACGAGCGCTGGTTTGTGAGTCATGCGCAAAGCTTCCATCCTGCCAGCTGACTTAAACTCAGACTTCGATGACGAACGATAGTGACTGCGTTCTACAGAAAACACTTCTAGATCGCATTGGCAGGAAGGAGCGCGCTGAAGGGTGAGCGAAGTGCGTCACTGCGCTCAGGAGGACGCGTTGAGCGTTTTACGCAAAGCGTTCTAACGGCTCATGAACTGCTGAATGGATAAAGAGCTCATTGTCACGCCGCGTAGTGACGCTGACGCGAGCCAGTAATATGCCGGCTTCATCACCGTCGTCGTAGCGCAATATGTGTGTGTGTGTGAACGTGCTTGTGTGGGTTTGTGTGGGTTTGTGCGTGTAAGTCTGTGTGTCTGTACGAGCACGCGAGGCTGTCGCAATATACGAGCACCAAATCATTCAGTCCCTCATAAACATCCATAAGCTTCTTTTACGCGACCTCGAAGATGAGTCTTGCGATAATGAATTGCCGGCCATGTTGAGACGATTCACGGAGAAACATTCTCCTAATGATTCGACTCAGTATCTAGAGACCGAAAACGATCTGGGCACCGGCACGGACTCCACGGGAATTCTGGAATTCAGCTCTGATTCCAAGCCCAGTGGGGACTCCCCTTCGTAAGCCTCACAGTAAACCTCTCCAATTTGTCTCCGCGCGATTGGTATCCGCATCGTTTGGATTCCCGTTGGGATTAGAAGGAAGCATTGCGTAGGAGCGGCTCTGGTTTCAGACTCTTCAAGTTCAACTTGCCGGGAAGAACGCCATCCCAATCAGCCGTAGTCTATTGTTTTCTTGCGAGTCATCCTCTTGGGTTTTTGAGGATTTCGAGTCAATGGAAGAAGTCATCCGATTCCTGGGGAGCATCTAGAACACACGAGCTCCTATCGCGGGATTCTCTCAAAACAAAGGCCAGCGGGGGGCTTACGGAGGCTTTATCGAACCGTCGAGAATTCGCAGCGAGTTTCGGAGCTCAGACGGTGAAGCGCCTTAAAAAATCGATCCATTACGTCATGCCTCCGAGACGAGCCTGTGAACTATTTGCAGAAAGCGGCCAAAAGATCACGTAAGGCTCCAGGACGTGACGAGAGAGCTAAGGGTTGGTCTATTCCGATGTGGAACAAACTCGCGGAGAAGCCCTCGGCGGGAATCACTCATGAATTCCTGGAATCGTCTCTGTCGCAGCAGGTCATTCGAATGAGTGAGAAGCGGAGCCCTCGCTAATTCACCAATCCGGCTGAGTGGAGCGACAAGCGAGCGTCGAGCCCTCCAACTTGCAGGCCGAGGAGACTCCTCGCCCCAAGCCGCGAGGATCACATTGTCAATGAAAAACTCTGATGTTCATGCAAAATGTCTACGGAAGTACGATGAAACGTATTTGTACACGGACCGTCCCATTGTGATCGAACCATCCGCTCTCCCCGAAAGAAGAAGATCGTGAGGGTAAACACAGCCTGTACGCGGGGTCTCCTTCAAATTTCCCTTCCCAATTCTTGCCTCCGTGAAGGTCGAGCGATCCAACTCCGTCATCGAGCATCGTCGCCAGCGTTCTGTGCAACAAAAGCGCCAAGGCTGCGATAAATAATACAACCTTCTGATTTTGCCTTAATCCCTTCCTCATCCAGCTCTGGCCTGCCGCTAACCCCTGCCGCGTCCAACGAAGATTGAAGCGACGAGCGGCGGCGGCATATTCGGCTCGGACGTCAGAATTTTCCTTTCATCAGTTCCTGCTTCGGATACCTACTGTACGTCATTGTTACCGTAAACGCGTCCTGTGATATAAGGTGCGATCTCTTTCCAGCCGGACGCACTCTCTGCGTTTACGGCTGTCATTTCTGCTTGCACTGCATCTCCCACGTGAAACCCGTCGGGGGATCACTACGATGCGGCTCTTCCCGTCTCCACTTCATGCTCGTCAGGCTCCTCTTGGAGGAATCCGGGAGGGGCTCTCTCACTCTGCATAACACTCAAGCGCACGCGTGTCAGACATACTTCGCAGGTGGAGAATGCTGAGTGTCGTCGCGCCGCCTCAACTGCAGCCGCTCGAATGTTGCAGTTTCCTCGGGAGCCACTCAAGTTCGAAAGAACTTTTGAGTTATTCAATTTCGTAGAGAAGAAAGCTGGGTTTTTTCTGGTTCGCGAGTGTGCGAGAGTGCGGGCTCGGGCCTGCAGCCCGGAAACCCCTCTTCTGAATTCAGAATCCAGTCGGTCCTCCTCATTGTGACGTGGTTTCCCCGTCTGAACGCCAGTTGAAGAACGCCAATACGGCGTATATGCTCCTATATCTTTCGGTAGCCTTATAGGCTGTAAAGTCCCTGCGAGTGTGTTGCTGATATGATTGTACTCGTAAAAGCTGCGCGAGGAAACCGCTAGAACGGGGTTTGCGGCAGGCATGCTCACAGACAGTTTCATGACGTCTATACGAGGAATAACAGTCGAGGCGAAATTCATCGCAGGAAAACTTCACAAATTCTACGAACACCGATCAGAGCACTCTCTGACCCGGGGTTCTTAAGTTCCGCGTTCAAGTCCGGAGTCGAGCTACGGGATCGCCGGTAGCCTCCCCCGTCACCGAGATGCCTCAGCTCCCTCCTGAACGATTTCCGTTGACTTCTGTCGATTCCGCGAGAACATTCCAAGACTTCCGGCAGAAATTTCCAGATCAAGGAAACGATGTCCGCCCTTCAAGAATCGACGATTCGAATCGTCGCATCGCTGCTGGCGGAGGCGGCAAATCCGTCCTCCGCCAAACTCCGTGCTCCGGAGATATTCGCCCCAGCTCCCGCGGTACATCAGAAACAGGGGCGGATCCAGAATTTTTCATGAGGGGGGCTAAAGCCATTGTCTTGGTAGGGGCCAACCGCCGCTCATACTGGGCCTCAACATATTGCCCCATGGGCCGCAAAAAGATCTCGGAGGGGGGGAAAGGGAGACCCCTTGCCCCCCCCCTGGATCCGCCACCGATCAGAAACCCGTCGGTGGGATATTCCGAAATGCACGGAAAGTGTCGACCCTGCGAGGTGATGCCATTCAAAAATGCCAAGCCCGAACGATCCATGAATGAACGCAAAAGGGAGTTCCCCCCCCCATGGAGAGACCAGTAAACATACGAACACAAAGCTGCCGGGTGGCGCTGACCATCCTGCGAGGGCGTCCGCAAGGGCCGAATGACGTCAAGGGATTTCGAAGCCGGTGGCGGTGCAACACCCGTTGATGACTAGCGGCGGCATGCCAAGCTCGCGCAATAAGCTGACGGCTCCGCGTCTTCTCTGCATGAAAAAGTTTATTGCCCGAAATTCGCGAAAGAGGTCAGCAAAGCAAAGCAGGAGATAAACCCATGTTTCTATAAGGCAGTCGTCGTTTCTCTCGGAACGTGACGCTCTGGGAACGCTGTCCACGGCCCGGCCGGCGGACCTATCGCCGGTCTCGACGTTTAGGTACCAGGCAGGAGTCAGTGGAGCCGAAATTCGATCAAAACCCGTCTGATGTGCATCGAGAACGGCGTCGGCAATTGTGCTGCCGAAATGCACACGCCCGGACACCCGTCGGGCAAACTGCCCACTGAGCTCAGCTGGTTACCCCGCAGCTATCGTGTGCACAGTTGGAAGGGCCGGTCGACAAGTCTCCCGCTCCGGCTTTCATCTTAATACAAGTCACGACTCGCGGAACTTTCACTAGACTACGGAAACCCCAACGACATTTAGACTTGCCCACAATCCAGTCCGATGGTGACCGGGATGGAGAACGGCCCGACGACAAGCAGCGAATCGCTGCTTCTCGTTCCACTCGGGGGATCGACGGATAGCGGATTCAGCCTGCCTCAGGCTACGTAAATACCAGACTATAAACATTCCCAGATGATCGAACGAAGACCCACAACAGCAGCCGCTGCGGAACTGAGAACTTCTCCCCCGAAGCACTCCAGTCGACCTTCTGTTTCCATCTCAGACTGAACCTTTATCCAATTTGAGTAAGAACTGAGATGGCTCGGACAATGTTCTCCTCATGATCGTCAGCCCCGATCGGGGTCGGGACAATAGTTTTCACATAAACCGCATTTTCTACAGTCGGTCGGTAGATAATGTTGCGGCGAACCTTCTCCCTGGGGCTAACCCGTGAACGGATCCGTCGGCGTGAGCTCTCTCCTCAGCAGGCTCGAGCTTGATTCCCAGAGGCGTTGACATGAACGACGAGTGGGCTCTATGTATTCGTCAACGGTCGAGTTCCGTATTCATTCAGGCACGTAGGCACATTCTCCGCGAGTGACGTCAATCTCAGCTCGATACGCTGTGATGTAATAAGCTGCGAACCATATTTTATCTGGGGCATCGAAACGTGAATGAGTTTAGCGCCTCGTTCTAAGATCTTCCGCTTTCCTTCGATTCGACGCGGAAACAATGGTACTGTCGATGATTATCGTCCACGCGAGCGATGATGATGGTGGCATTCCGTAGCAGTTCGAGTTCTCCATAGTTTCCATGCACCACCTCGCGAATGAGCGAGGACTCTGGAGCTTGAAGCATTCAGCGGCGCCCTTCCCCGTGATCCGTTCCCGCTGTTCTACGGAAAGTCTAAACGTTCTCAGCTCGATCTACAGAAGCGACGACGGATCCAACAATAGGGAGAGCTTGACGTGAACGTTGGCGGCGGCGGCGGCGTCCCGAACCCAAGTGCTGAGTACTTTGAAGAATACAAATTAAGTTTGGTGACGCGAGTGGAAATTAGATTTGTGAGTGGCTCTCCTCCGATGCGGGGACCCAGCGCTTCTTGCTGCTTACTGCCGAACTAGCTCGGAGACGCGCCCTTAGTGAATATTCGGCCACGCGAGAAGTCTGCCGATGATATCGAGGTGTTCGAATGGCCGTTGACTTCGCCTTCGAGGGTTCACAGCGGACCTGCAGCGAGAAAAGCTTTCCTCGATGTTGGGATTGCGTGGTGCCGATGGGACGCGAAACTCCGAACCCGTCGGTGGTGCCTGGCTTCGATTCAGTATTATTCTGAAGTGGACCGATGTGTCGGATCGAAATTTATTTTTCACTATCGAAGCTGTTCAGCATAAAAGAGCGCTCACCGCAGTCGCGGTCCCGGCGGCGTCGAAGCAGAGCAGACTCGTAGAAGGTTTCTGTACAAAAGCTTGCTCGCGCTGCCGCTCAGCTGCCAATTTTCATACATACATACGTGCATGCATGCATGCGTTCCATCGGTCCATAGCTGCAGGTGTATACAGCGACCTTCTTTTGTCGATAAGGTCGCGAGCCCGGCCAGAACCGATGCCTAGAGATGGGATCGGCATAGACGAGCGAGAATCGGATGGATGCCACGTCTAGCAGAGCGGTTACCATCACTCAACGGAGAACATCTTCCGACACACCACCACCCACCCTCGCTCGCTCGCTCGCCTACCAGCGAGATGATCTAAACAGACGCCGAGACTCACAATGTTCGCGATTATCGATTTGCAGACTCGAATCATCGGACTTCTCCACCCGAGGGCAGCCGTCGGCTCCATTCTTCAGGAAACTTCTCGAAATACTCGCCCAAAATGGGCTGCCCCAGCTTGAGAGATTTTCCGACAGGAATAGCATATTATGTTCGGAGAAGTGTCCTAAGCGATCTCTTCGTTTCGAATCGCCCACATGGATGAGGCAGGACAGTCGATCATCTCGTGGAATACGAAAGCTTCGTGATCGCCGAGTGTTCGAGCCGTTGAAATTGAGCAAACAAGCGGCCAGCCACGACCGGCCACTGGACGCCGCCGATCGTAGAGCGAAGCCTTGACCTTTTGTTCCGGGTCCGGAAGAAAACGAACTGTGCATGATTTGCTTCACTCTTCGGTCAATGAATTCTCCGATTCTGTTTGAGCTTTGAGAAACTCTCTGCCAACGTCTGAGAGCGCTGTCTCGTCGAGTTTCGCTCTGGCGCGAAATTTGCTCCCTCTCTTTCTGGACTACTTGTCTCTCGGAACGAACACCTACAGGGTTGGACGCTCGCTCGAAGCGTGCCGATTCCCGGGGAATTTTCATTTGCCGAGTTCAGACGGCGAAAATCGGAAGAAAAGCATCACGTACCTGCACCGAATCGATCGAGAACTGATTCAGTCTCACAGAATGATTCTCCCACCGACGAAGGAATCGAGAGCTCAGTATCTTGGATACGAGCGTCTTGTGTTGATTCAGTCGACATACCGCGGCATCGAATTCTCGAGTCAACTTGAACTTTGGCCCTATGGGACTCGAAGGAGCTGCAATAGAAAGAAATAAGAGCTTTAGAGCCAGACTTCAATCAAGCTAAGCTTCCCGTCATCCGAATTACTTTGTTCCCGCCTCAATGCTCCCCTGGGAAGACTTGAGATTAAGTATAGCTCTCGCGTCGGGCCAAGTCGCCCCGCCCTACCCCCACGTAGCTATTGTGAGAGGGTACTTGATTTTTCTACATTTTTCAAGGGAGGAAATTATAGCGATAGAAGGCAGGTCTCAAGGGTATTACTTCAGCTTCAGCATGCGACTCGAAAACCTGGGAGATGACCTATCGGCAGTGCATTTTGCGAAGAAGTTCGAGGCGCCCCTCGCCGAAAATTTCTCGGTTCTCCCGCGTCCTGCATCGGGAGCAAGTCCACAGGAAAAAACGGTCCCACAAGCATTGGACGAGAGTACCTATCTCATTGTCCTATCAGGTTCGGGACTGGAGTCGCGGTTGGAGTCGCTTGCCGTGACCCTCGCTGTCACCTGTCGAGAAGCTTCCAGCCGATGAAAATTCTGCATCCGGCCCACAGCTAAAAGTCTGTATTTTCGATCGCCTGTCCATCGTATGTGGAGCGTCCTCGCGGTGAAATGTTCTTGCTGATAAAAATGACTGCGGCCTCTCTCAATTCAGATGACGACACCTGCTCTGGCCGAACTCGTTTACTTTTTCAAATAATAGACTCCATCTCTCTGGCTGACTGGGTCCGGCTCTGTCGATCGACTGTACTGGAAACGGCACGTGTTGGCCCCCTTACGCAAAAGGCATTGTGATAATGATGAGCTTCCATTCGCAACACTTTTGCACGTATTTGGAGGATCGTCGATGGATTTCGCTAGCGCCTACACTGATTTCGAAATCCGGGGCTCTCTCCACAAAGGAGACTCAAGCGACGTCCCTGCTCCGGTATCATGGGTTATCAGAGGCGGAAAATTGATACCGAAAACCCCGAATAAGCCCCCTTGTAGCGGTTCTTCTCATTGCTGCCCACCTGTCGCGAGCCAGACGCATTACGAGAGAATAACGCGGTCTTGCGTATTCTCCGGGAAGTGCGGCGAAGCTGAGGTCACGAACAGGCGAAAGGGGAGAGGATTCCGAGGAGCGAAACAAGCCAGAAACGGAGCTCCACTCTATTTAGATCGACGCAGCCCTTCGGGCAAAGATTTACCCCGTCTACATTGACGAAAGAAGAGACGTGTCATCTTCGAAATACCTTACTAGTTTAGAAATTATCGGGGACAGACATTCCACGAATAGCTCATACGCATGTTCCGAGGACCGCATGAACCGCTTTCGGCGGAACGTGTCAACAGGATGGATAGACTCATTCGCTCAAGAAACTATTCGAGACGAGTCCCGCGAGCTCGGGTGTTCAAATCATTACAAGCAAGCGAAACGAATGACGTTTACGTACGTCCATCGCAGCTTGTGTGAACAGCAGCGGCCGAGCCGACAACGCTAATGAAATATTCTGATAGCGGCTCATCGCGATAGGGAACCTGACCCAGCCCCGCCCCGTTTTCCTCCTCCTTCGACCCCCTGCCCCGGAGCTGAGCGTATTCCAAGGTCTGCTCTCACCGAGATCAAGGTCAGCTTTTCAATTCGAGCCCGTGGAGCTACGTTTGTTTGTCCAGACCGTAGAAGTACGGGTGTAGAGCATCATGCATGAGGAATAACACCACGACCTCGCTTCGCATGCAGTGAACGCAGGACTGATTCTCGCACCTGTCCGGAATCCCGAGCCGGACACGGGTTCCAGATAGCGTTGTCAAGCAGCGAATAATGAGCTCTGAGCTCTGACTCAAGCACACGGGCGCTCACAGATCGATTCCGACACAGGTAGATCAGGGATTGGTATGACAGACAAAGCTTCGAACAGACATATCTTACCCGAGCAAGATGACGGACAGCTCGGTGCCACGGACAGGAAGCCAGTTCCCGGACTAGAGCAGAGACCCGAGTCGGACGACAGAGTCGATTCGGAGCTATTCTGCCGATGGAGTTTGTGGGCCGGCAGCTCAAGGGTGCTCTGGCTCAAATTCAGATTTAGATTGGGCCCACCCCGGCGCGAGGCCAACACGGACTTTGCGCTGGGCATCACTTTCGATCACTGGCAGCAGCAGCTGCTGCGGTAGCAACAACAGTAAGCAATTCAACAAACGAAGCACAGGCCATTTAGGTGGCGGCAGCGGCACCTCCGCGCGAGAAGGATCGTCGTCTCTGTCGTGCTTGTTGTCGTCGTCGTCGTCGACTCTGCGGCCTACGTCGTTTCGCGCTTCGGAATCACCATCCTCTGAACGCCATCCGATGATGATGATGACGATGCTCGTTTCCTCACTAGTTGCTCATTGTCACCGTAAGTTCGTCGAATCGTCGCGAACCAGAGCACGAACACCGTTGGCAGCAGACACTATGGCGTCGGGCGCGCGCTTGCGAACTCTTTGCCTCTCGCGAAGCAAACTCTGATTCGAGCTGTTCGCCGGGAAGCGGCGAGGGACTTAGGAGCCCTCTCTTAAGGCCAACTTCTCGCCCGAATAAACGCGACCCGACTGACCGACAGACGGCTGCCAGCCGCACTCACTGCGCGGCCAGGAGCCTCCTACGGATGAATGACAGGATGGATGAACGCACGGAAACACGCTTGCAGGGTAGCACGGGTTTCGAGTTGAGCATCTGCTTGACCACTGGCCCGCAGGGACCCTCTCCATGGAATCAGACGATCCCTTACCCACCGCAGGTCGCTTCACCCATCTACTCGGTAGAATGCGTGCGTGCGTGCTCGAGCGAGTGAGCGAGCGACCGACCGACCAACCGGTCGACCAGAAGACCAATCCACTGACTCACGGGTGAGCTCGCTGTCAGTCCGAGACTCGCCCAGGATCGAGCGCGGGAACGACCGAACGTCAGATTATCGCGAGGGTCGTCTCCGAGTCAATTGAAGTCAACGTGACAGCCGTTCCGAGTCTCGTTTCGACTGTTGGAGGAGCTGGTGGTGGTGGTGGTGCCGCCGCTGTGTCTGGTTCCGCTCCGGTTTCCCGGGAGGACTTCCCTCCGAGCAGGCCAGCTTCACTCTCCGAACTGAACTAGGCCTGACCGTACAACGAGCCGGGGCTCAGTGCGCCGTCGAACGATCTCTGAGTGTACAAGAAGCTCCCATACACTCCAGCACCTCGCGCATGCGCTCCATTGCATCATTGCACACAAGTTCAAACACAAGGCGAGGGCTCTTCCGCAAGGAGGCCCACCAGACAGACAGACTTGGCGGCTGCTTAGCTGCTCGCTCGCTTGCTTGCTTGCCCGTTTGTCGACGTGCCCGACCGATCGGCGGAAAAAAAGACACTCATCAGACGTACAGACGAACAGGCATTTGGACAGAGTAAGACGAGGCGAAGGCAACGAATCCACTTCAAGTCGGATGAGTGACGTAGAAGGAGTTTCCGGCAGTCCCGCTCACCTGCCGTTACGTCGTACGAGGATCCTTCCTGGCTGGGACATTCCGCAGGGGGAAAGCTATTACCACGAAGGTCATCATCAAGACAGGAAGCGACTTGAAAGTATTACGATTCCTCGACGGATAGATGAGCGTTCGCACTTACGGATCGTATTCAGGATCGCGAAATGCAAGCAGAATGGACGAATGCAACGTCAAACGCTTATCGCTTATCGGAAACAATACGCGATGAGCTCCTCATCACGAGGGTCTCCCTCTCGACAGAAATCAGACGGGACCTGCCTGTCGTCGATCACCGACCGGCGTTCATTGGTCAATTGACAGTATCGATCCGAGCTCCTCGGTATAATCGATTCCCGGGTGAATTGAATTAGCATCCAAAGACAAACACGGTAGGAGATTCGAACCCAGAGGCTATGATACACAATTTGGAAACACGCTACCTGCCACGTGGAGTCTGAAGCGATTTTTTCTGTGGTCGGTGTCGTCGTTGTTGTTGCGGCTACTGACGGCGCCGCCGTGACTGCAGAAGACGAAATTCGGAGAACTATTGCAGAAACGATACGCCGCGAGCTCGTATTTCTGTGTCATGTGGGAGAATATACAGCAGCGAGAAAGGAGCTCGCCGCCGGCTAGCGGCCAGGAATTGCGACCCATCGTCGACGCTAGCGTGCCCGCCTGCCTGCCCGCCTGTCTGCCCGGCGCCTGTCAGTCAGCTTAGACTGTCAGCCCGATCAGATTTGAAGCAGCGGCAAGTGACGGTTAGCACCACCACCACCACAAACAAACTGATGCTCGACCGCTCTACCACCACAACCGTGACCACCGATGGCACCGCAAGCGAACCGAGAATCGCACCAGGTCACACCAAAGACGAAAGATTCGTATCACCAGCGAGTGTCGGTCATAGCTCGACTTCCAGATGTGCGACAATTGCAAATCCATTGCCAAAGACATTCACGCTGGAGTCTGCTAGACGCCGCCCGCCGTTTCGAGCGAGGCGGCACAGTCTCTCAACTGCGGACTATAGAGATACATCGCTCCGTGACGTCAGCCGCGTTCCGTAGCCTGGAGCCGTGTGCGTGTCCGTGTGAGAGCTACCCTTCCGAAATCGAGAGGAAATTTTCGAAATGGAAACAAAGCGCCCTCGTATCTACCAGTTTCCGCTTCCGTCTCCCGGAGTCGTCATGAGAGAGTTCCGTCGAGAGCAGTCATCAAAAAACGCCATCGACCTTAAAAAACGTCGTCGATTCCTCGATCGCCGGCTGGACCGACACACGGTCTTTACGTTGAGCGTATTTGACGCATGGCGTAGTTCTCCTGAGCTCGCGCGGGATTCTGATGACGGCACGCTTTGTCATGTCCGTCGGAAAAAAGGTCTCGTAGTCTCGGAGTGTGAAATCCTCAGAACTGCAGGACATGTATCGCATGCTGAGCTCCGACAGCGATCGGATGACTGCTGGACTCTTCATATGGAACGACAGGCGCTCTCGGAGATTAAGTAGAAAGAGACCGAGCTCTCGGGCATGCGGAGAGGTGATCGGCGAAAATGGACGACTCTCGGCATTGGCGGCGATGTGTGCAATCGCGGAAATTGGAATCGCGGCCTGATTGAGGAACACGGGTCGTCTTCACGTTCAATTCACCGAATGAATCTCCCAGCTGCCATTTTGAGCGGCCTTGACAAGAGCACGAGTCGAACATTCAGGGGCATTTCTCAACTCGATCCCTCTATCAGCTAGTTGTCGAGCCTTTGTAAAAACGAGAGGTGCTTGGCGTTTTATTGCCGAAACAATTCACTGCTTGACGCTTGCGTGGGATCTACATCGCACCACGAATTTCAAATCCCAGACGTCATTTCCTCGTAAACAGAAGCTAGTCTTCCTTGATGTTTTTTTTTCTCGCTCTGAGGACCATTCTCGGATCGACGCTCGAGGCGAAAATACTCCCGTCAGTCTAGCCGGAAAAACGCTAGATCTTCAGCTGCCTCATGAGAAGCAACACGAAGAGAAACTCTATCCCGTTTTCGCACGTGGCCCACATCCTAGGAGTTGCTGTGGATCCTTTCGGATCAGGAGCACTTCAGGACTCGCATTTCGAGGGAGACTATTTCCACCACCTGATTCCAGCAAACACAATAACCCTCAACGTACCCGGAGCCGAGAGGTTCAGTCAAGATCGCATTCGACCCCTTGGTGCATTGGATAATCATTAGGTTTCGCTCGGAGCCACTTTCGTTTCCGCGAAGGCGGAGTATCCGGTCGGCGGACTCATTGCCGTACCTTTTGCCGACGGAAAGAATCGAGCCGGAGACGCACATTCCCTAAAATCAATTTTTGTATTTGCGTTCTGTCCTGTGTCTGCCTCTCAATGGGAGCACAAGAGTCGTCGGAGATCGTGAGTTCAGCCTGGAATCCTCCGAGTCCGCACGGGAACCGGGTGGGTGTGAAAATCGTTCCATGTGGTCTGCGGCCCTCCGTCAGCCCCGTGGTATAGATCAGAGGTTCCCAAACTTTTTCTTCCGCGGAACCCTTAGCGGAACCCCTAGTGTTCCGTGGAACCCGTCCTTATTTTTCAAAAAATTCAAAGTCCTGTCAATTGCTCTTTCCTTTCAGCTATTAGAGGAGAAAACACGCGTTTGTTCCGGAGCAGACCCGAATGTTTATTGCTTAAGTCAATTCTTGCGTAAATTAGGAATGCTCATCTAGTGGGAACGTGCCGTGTGCAACGACCTTCGCAGTGTGCACTCGATGCCGATCGATGCGCCAATTAGAACGATCCCCTTCGTATTGAGGAAGACATTTGGAATCAGGAAAAGAATTTGCCCACAGGGCTACGACACCTAGGGCCCGTATATGACCGTACATATGGAAGCAGAACCTCGTCGCGGAACCCCGATTTGCGCAAAGAGCAGCCCACGGAACACTGGGGTTCCGCAAAGATTTTTCCACGGAACCCCAAGGGTTCCGCGGAACCCAGTTTGGGAATCTCTGGTATAGATATCTGAGTCTTTCTGAGGACTCCACGGATGGTGTCTCGATACAATCAGACCGATAAGGACCGCACCGTGAAGGGGTCTCTCCGTTCTTATTCAAACTCGCAAGTCAATTCGGGTAGAGTTCGGCATCGGTTCGGAATGGGACCGGAATGTTCTCGGGAAGTAGAGCTTCGTCATGCGGAAAGTAATTCGTCTCGTTACTCGCACTAAGGATGACTTCCACCGATTTCATGCGGCAACGTATCATGCGCGCCGCTCCTGGCCACTTGAATCCGGAGAGCATCTCAAGCCATATGGGAGAACCCTCCATGGTGAGAGAATGCCTCCGCAGAGATAAGTCAAGGGACATTTGCAAGTTCCGCTACCGATAGGTTTCCCGAAACCGGAACTCATGACAAGACATTCTTCCAACTTTCCAGCATAATCCCTACCCGTCCATACGTCATGTCTTTCGATCCGCGACTCACCGTACGCATCGGCGAGAGCGGATCAAAGTGAGCTATCGCCCCGATATCCTTTGATGCTGGGAGCCTCTCCGCAAGGCCGAGCTCGGCTTAAGCAATTCGAGCGGCCCTCGCTTTCGGTGTACATCTCTAGTGACTTATGCCACGACATTGGATTACGGGTACATGTAGATCATACATCGGGGGAGGGGGAGGAGAATAAGACCCTCGAGAGTCTGTGTACGAAATACATATACGAGCGCTCAGAGCTCAGAGCTCAGAGGATCATCTTCGGAACATTGAGGCTAAGACATTCGGCAAATAATGAGCATTCTGCGTTGCAACAGAAAGCTGAGAGTCTAGGTCTGCCATCAGTCATGCAACTCGACTCGAATCACGATGATCCTCCCTCATTTTCATGCGTCGATACTCGATGGTGAGCCTCGTGGAAAGCCTCTATGGACAAGGGATGAAGGGAATCGTACGGTCTCGTCTCGGCAGTGTTAAATGCCTTCAATATATGGTCCAAGCGCCTTGATCATCCCTGCGCAAGGAGGGAAATATAGGATTGAGGAATTATCAACCACTGATCTTGAGAGTCGAGGGTGGTAGGATATGATACGATCATGACTCTGTGACCACGGACAAGGCGGAGAAACGCAAGACTTGATCCATTAATGGCCGAATCAGGAAGCGGAGTTGAAAACCACTTCGATCGACCACTTTCGGGAGAGAAACCCACTCAGGAACGGGACCATTCTCAATTTATTTTCATTTTTGTACTCCCTTGAGAAAATAACTAAGCGAACATCCTGCTCATATTCGTAGACAATTCATCCATTCTTGAAGGCAACGTCGAGCCTCTCGAGTTCGTCCCGATCCGAAATCGCGTCTAGGAATGGTGTGAAATCCACCACGGGAGGCACGAAGAACGATGGTCTCACAGCTTTCGCCATTTTCGCCGGCAAGTTCTCCATGACCTCGTCAAAAGTCGCCCACATGTGATCCTCGACGATTTTCTTGTTGCAAACTAGATCACCTTTTTGGTATCGGGCTCTAAAGAAGAAGATCTGTAAATGATCGAAAGCTTACTTAGACATGCGGATTTCGGAATACCATTCAGAGGATAGAATCACCAGATTCGGGAGTGCGCACGTGATTATTCAATATCGACTGCACCGTAGAACCAACCTTGGCTCCATGAAACCCTGTGGATTCCTGGACTTGCTTCGGATATTTGTACGAGTAAGCAGCACAAGGTGCGTTACCCAGAGTCACATACTGCAGCTTGTCTCCGACAGCCTCGGATATCGCTCGTTCGGCGGTCTGGAAGGAATCTCCGAGTCATTTCAATCGTTGGAAAGTGCTCTCCTCCTAGGAATGGCGATGCGCATCCGAACTTCCGGCTGCCCGCTCTCCACCTCCACAATATACTCGATCGCGACTTTGGACCTTCTCTGGAGGAATATTTTTGAAAGGATATGTCGCAGTTGAAAGTTGAACGCTGTGGGAAAGTCCGTCTAACCTGTCGGAGTGTCTCTCCCCTCTTGTGCGCCGATTCAGGAAAGCACCATAGCGAATCGTTCCCAATTTTCTGTTTCACCAACAACGTAACGGGCTGGTCTAAACATCTGCGAATATGGAGCGTGATCTCTCAACACATCAGGAGGGGAAAAGGACAGAGCTTGCTAGTAAACAAATTTCCAGAGAGAAGTCGTGTAATCACCTCTCGTGGCTCCTGACATCCGTCACTGGCGTGTACGAAAGTTTCGCTTTGATTCGTTCGGCTTCTTGTTTCCAGTCTGCGAGAAGATCCTCAGCTAGCTGAATTTTGACCTGAGCCGATCCTTCCTTTTTCTTCTCTCGGGATTTCCTGCGCGAGCGAAAGGAAGAGATGAGGAATTAGCTCACGACTCGGACTTGAGACCGTGATTTTCGAAAGAAAATATTCCGTGCTTCTGAGCAAGGCCGGCGGTGGCTAAACTCACTTCTCCGCACGGGCTCTGAGTTCGAAATCGCTCAGTAGCGAATTTTCATCTTCGGTCTGCGAAAGAATGTCGTAGTAGACTTTCTCCAGAGCTGAGAACTTTTTTACCGTAACTGCTTTCCGTTCGAGCACGGCGCTCCCGATCAGCTGCCAGGACGACATCCGCCGGAGGCCGAATCCCACTTGAAACGAGCAGATCCGTTGATTAGGATGGGACTACGAATTTTCCCGGGAACACGCTCCTCGAAACGGCACAGAAATCTATTCCAGCACACTTACTTAATTTCTTTGGAGCCAACATTGTCCCTCCTGAGGGATCGTCGCCGATTTCGCGGGACTGCGGACCGAAGAACCCTGCTCTCGGACCGGACTGGGGATCCTGAGGGCGAAATTGCCGCAGAATTCTCCACTATCAGGTCCACGGAGGAAGGAGATACTTCTCCGGTGCTGTGCGAACGGTGCGCGACCGAGCTCTGTGAGCGCGGCCATGTTTGTTTTGGACCTCATGGTAAATACTCGGCTTCTAGCAGACCTATGGTCGGGAAAATATCAGAGCCGCATCCGGAGATTCAAACTATGATTCGCCGGAGGCTGGCCGATGGAAGCGCTTCATTGTTCAGGAAACTTTTCCCATGCTTCCGTAGGACCATGGAACCGCCTTCGTCTGCATGCGCTGCTTGATCCGTTTGGAGGGAAGGAAACGATCCGTGCCGAGGCTGTCTGGGTCGCGCTCAGAACTCAGGAGAGAACTGAGTAAGAGCTCGGATTTTTTCGAGCTCCGACCTCTACCAGAGGAGCTCTCAGATGCGGAAGGTTTTGTTCGCCAATTTCTCTGCTCCCTACCAGAATGGAGAAAGAGGAAATTATCCCAGCGTCAATTGAGACGCAAGTCAATCCGAGCTTGGATACCGAATACCGACTGGCTCGTCTCGGGATTTCGAGAAGGCTTATTCACTAATAGGTCGTAGCGTCCTCGTCACACCCACGCGTTCCCTGAAGCCCGCGTCTATTCCCGGCGATCGAAAATTTCATTCCCCGCTGGGAAGGCGTTCTTCGCGAATGTCACGAAAGCCCGGGGCAAAGGCCGGCAGGTCTGGGTTGTTGAGCTTGAGAGCTAGCACAGACAGACGTGTCTTTTCAATAGTATTTAATTTCCCACGACTGATGTGGAATTCTCCAGTCCGTGATGCGCTCTCTGCATCCTTGCTAGCGAGAATTTTCGGGGCGTATGTTGTCAATGGTCGAAAGTCGCCAGGAATACTTCTTTCGGCGCTCTGGGGAGACAGATATTCGAGCCTCATAAGGAAAAGCCACTCCGGGACATCAGACGCATGACGAGCTGCAAGTTTGGGTGACCTGATCCGGATCATAAGAGCCGATATTGAACATTTTGATCTAATAACTTTCTGTCGTTTTGAAAAACTCCTTGCCGGATTGCGTACGATAACTCCAGTTTTCCCGCTAGCATGATCTCGGCAGATTACTGAAGCTGAATCCACGGTCTTGGACATCTGAGAGCTTCCCCCCTCGCGAAACGAGCAGGCCATACAGTACTTTCGTTGGTTGAGACCATAATTTCGGCTGCGCAGCCGGCGTGTAGCTGTCGTGTAGCCACGATTTTCCCGCAATGGGACGTCGAAGGCGGCCATCTTTGTTCTGAGACTGAATGAATCTTTGTCTACGTATCATAAGGAGGCGCTTCCTCGGAGAAGACATCGAGGGTTTCAACATTCACAATATCAACGGCACTCAAATCAAGAGAACGTTCTCGATTCGGTTCCGTATCGTCTCGTTCTGATCCGAACGAGCGAGACATCGGAGGATATAAAGTTGCGCGTTAGCAGACGTAGGCTTTCAGTTCTCTGTTTACTTCTATTCGCATTCGTTGTACAGTTGTGATCATCCGAACAACGAGAAAACTTTCTCCGTAGTTCTGTTGTGTAGAACTTGATTTCGTGTCCCAGACAACGATGGCGTACTACCAGAATCCCTACGGTGAGTGTGAGAATTTTCCTGAGCTCAGATCCCTTGTTCCGCATCCGAGTGGCTTCGCACCTTGTCAGCAACATGTGAGGATGGCGATGATGATGATGATGGAATGACAGATAACTGGACGGAGCGGATATTTTCCCGAATTCGAAATCGTGTCGGATACTGGTCACGCCACCGGACTCTAATCATCCCTCATCCTCAATTATCTGGAATGCGTTCCAGTATCGAGCAGCCGTCCCCAGGACGGGACTGACTCCAGATTACTCATCGTTCATCGCTCCTGACGTCGAGTCACAAAAAGGATGATCTCAAATTCGACGTGATCTCTGCCGGATTTCGTCATGAATCGCCATTGTATTTCTTGGTCCTTCGAGACCTTGATTGATTCTTGCGCTGTGAAACAGTAACGCTTACGAACTCGAGCTGACGGTGCACAAAGATTCAGCAATGCTGATGGTCAGCAACAGGTTTCAATAACCCTGATGACTAGAGTAGACGGTCCCATCGGAAGCCGCGATATTCCGGAATCAACTTCCTGGCGTTCGATTCTGAAAAAGCTCTCTCCATACTCCGAAACCTCAGGGGGGCGCAGGAGAGCAAGGGCTGTCCATGACTTTTACAAAAGCGGATAGCGATGGGATGTCGATATCCTGAAATTGCGTCGACCACATGGCTGAAATTCTTTCAAGGAGACCGTTCGCTCAAGGAACTGGTTATTTGATACGAGCTCGACGTGTCGAATAGAGATGTGTCGGCGCGAGCCACTTCCGGAACACGGAACGTTGTTTTTTCGTCATCAATTTCTTTCTTGAATGGCAGCTCGTGCCACGACGATATAGAAGTTGGTCCGGAACTCATATATATTCATCTATTTCAGCTCCTCCGGCAGCTAACCAGCAAGTGCTGAATATGTTTTACGCAGTGGACAGGGACCGGTCCGGTCAGATCACAGCGACTGAACTCCGCGAAGCTCTCATAAACTCTAATTGGAGTCCATTCAATGAAGTACGTATTATGTGAATATCTTGCAGTAGTCCCGAGTGGAGAGCCGCGGGGTGGATTCTCCCCGTGGTCAGAGATTCAAGGAGGAAAATACGGGGCGGGGAAATGCCGGCATATAGAATGGCATAATGGATGATGGTCGCGAGGGGAATACAACATCTTATTATCGTGACTCAATCGAGACCAGATTTATTGTTTACTTTCCCTCGGTTTTCTCGTACACGAAGGTCAGAGAACATTTTCCACAGTAGTGGCGATTCTGGTGGGACGCCATGAAGACTCCAGCACCGCAGTCGTTACACTCACGACGGAGACGAGTGATCTTGCCGGTATCATCGACCTGGAGTAGAGAATTCAAGGATCAGATCTACTTCATGTCTATCCGCGATCCACAAATCGAATAGCAGGCGGGAAATTATTCGGAGCTCGGTCTTCTCTTCGGGAATGTAGTGAACGTTTAAAACCAGGAATGCCAGTGAGGGGAGCAACCCGGCAGTTATCGACACGGATGCTTTCTGCGCATTATTAACTCCCCGGCTCTTGGAAAAAGCCAATGGAGCTGTTTATACGCAATAACGAAAAATTGAGGCGGTTTCCAAGGTTTCGATATCAACGAACCTTGTAGAACTTGAGAACAGCAAGCTTGACTTTCTTCTTCTTATGCTTGTTCTTCTTGGGGGTTGTGTAGTTCTTCTTCTTGCGCTTCTTTGCTCCTCCGAGCAGTCTGAGCGAGAGGTACAGACACGAGTCGTCGGTGACTCCGCTCTCCAGGAGTGTCGATGCGTCATCGAGGAGTTTACCGGACAGGGTCAGCAGCTGATCCGAAGATGGAATGCCCCCGGAAGCCTGAGAACAAGCATAAATAACGTTGAAAAATCCACCGGTCGCGGGAAGCAGACAGATTACACATAAGTGTAGGAGAGATGATCACCGCGCGTTCAACACTGACCTCGATAGCGTTCTTGACATCAGAGACGAGAGCAGAGCTCTGGAGGTTGAAGGTTTGAGTACCCGTGAGGGTCTTCACGAACAGTTGCATCTTGGCGCTCTCCTAGCCTGCAAGCGGAAGTTGAGAATGCATAATGGAAGTCTTCGTCGATCTCTCCGGTCCCGCGCATCTCGAACTTGCTGGAAACTTCATTAAACCCAAGAGAGTCACAACTCCGCTGTCGGGAGCGTCGAAATATGGACGTCGATTTCACTCGGCAACAAATGCGGAATTTATTCCTCAGAGAAGGCTCGATTGAACAAATTTGTACAGATTCCGTAAAAACTAGTTCGTGTCCGCGTTTAAACAAGGAGAACAGCATTGATGCATCCGTCGTTTTCGGGGTTGTTGGTCACCTGGGCGTATTTGCCCCAGACAACTTTGCCTCCGGTTGTGACGAGACCCAATTCCGAGACGTTGACTTCGATCACGGTTCCTTTCGTGATGACTCCGAGCTGAGTATAGAGAGGACTCGACGGATTCTTCTTGACGCCGATAATGGGTAGACAGAAAGTGGCTTTCAGTTCCGGATGGGTGACATGAGCTTTTTTGAAACGCAGCCCCATCGGTCGAATGAATCGTTCGAACTTGGGGGGCTTTCGTGTGAAACCCTCACCCACGTAGCAGACCTTAGTCACCATACGTTTCCACGCTTTCTTAGCACGTTTGCCGGTTTTGATGACACGGAACGCTTCAGCGTCCGCAACCGTCGCCACTTTGGGGATCGGAACATCCCACTTTCCGGCTTTTTCCTTTCGTTTCTGTTTGATCATGTTCGAGAGCACCTTAGCTCTGGACTGACCCTCTCTGTCAAGCAAGTAGACAGGCACGGCTCCGTCCTGAACGATATCCTCCTTCGTCTTCTGTTTGGTTTTCTTCTCTTCGTGCATTTTGATTGTCTTCTTCATCTGCACCTTCTCTGAATATCTCTGTTTGGCGAAAATCTTCGCCTTGATACCGCGAAGCTTTTTGGCCTTCGCGGCCACCTCGTGGACTTGACGAGCCTCCTTCTTGCGTTTACGCTCATGGTAATCGAGACTGTATCCATGGCGTTTCTGATGTAACTCGATGTGCTCGTTCTGTGGCATTTTCCTTTCTGTGTGAGGGAGTTGCTAGGATGAGAGAATCGGATCTTACAGAGATGATCCCGATTCAGCCGAGTGAAGTCGGGACGCGTGGGTTTTCCAAGGGTCTGGAGACTCCCAAGTGTTTCTGCAAGGCCGACCCAACGTTAGAACGGATTCGTCGATTTCCCGTCTGGCCCGCAATGGAGGCAAACACTTGGAGAAACCAGCCCTAGAAGGAAAATCGGAACAACGTCAAATGCTCTCGGCCTGTCCCACGGAAGGCCGGACCGAGTGTCCGTGCCGCAAGGGACGGCTGTGCCACGTGCTCGCCGAAGTCGGGGCGTTTCCGACCCGAAATCGATCGCCTCCGCTCTTCAGGCACCGACTTCAGATGCACGAGGACTCTGAATGGAGGCCGCACGAAAATGTACAGAATATGACAATGAATTCCTCAAAGACTGGTAGTCCAAGTGCCGATTAGGCCTAAGCCATGCGGGACCAAGATCAGGCGGACTCGAGTGTTGCAGCATGAGCCCGGCGTGACTCCTACGAGGACCTACAGATACGCCTGATGGCTCCGCGAACTTATGAACTCAAATCAACACGTAAATACCCCGACTTCGATAGAAATCAGCGAAAATAGGTACATACACGACGTCCGGGAGCGAACCACACGCGAAAAGGGAATACACGTTGTTTTCGTCGGCGAAGGCGTCTGCTGGGGGCGCCACGGTCAAGCTTTCCTCCTCTCTCTCTGAGCTCCACGGACCGCCGCCAAGTTCGAAAATCGGATTTCCATGAGCGGGGATGAGGATCGCGATGTATTTGCGTCTCCATTCTTTCCTCCGACAGCGTCGTATACGGAAGATATTCCCTGCTATGAAATTCGAGGTTTTTCCCCTCATAAGCTCAGGATGCTCCGGCGTGAACACCTTGAGGTCTTCTCCAACGTCCAGGTCGTGATGTAGTGGGAAGATGCATTCCCTTGATGGAAGTCAATCGAAAAGAGCGATCCCGCGCATCGAGACATACGAGCATTCTCGCCTTGCAGGAAACGTGTCGACTCATGATCTCTATGTTCGATCGTGACCATAGTGGGACAATCAACATTCAAGAATTCCAACAATTATATGAGTACATTGAGCAATGGAAGAGATGTTTCCAGAGCTTCGACAAAGATAACTCAGGTAACATCAGCCCCGATGAGCTCCACCAGGCTCTATGCGCTTTCGGTTACAGGTGGGTGCATCGAGCTCTCCCGACGAAAATTATGATCGCGTTCATTTCTACACGCATGGACCACGCTCCATTCAGAGACGAATATGATTCCAGGTTATCCCCCCGATTCGCGCATCTTCTCGTGAGAAAGTTTGATCGTTTCGGAAGACAATCGATGGAGTTCGACTGCTTCATTCAAGCGTGCGTGATGCTCAAGTGTCTCACGGACTCGTTCCGGATGAAGGATACCCAGCAGAACGGGACGATTGTCATCCGCTACGAAGACTTCCTTGAAATGGTCTTCAGCAATGCCATGTATTAGAATCAGCACGAAGTACCGAAATCCGGGTTCGAGAACATTTGTGCCTCGTGCCGCCGAATCGTTCCTCAATCCATGATTTCTGTGCTCCGTCTATTCAATGGAGTCAGCCATATTTCCGGAGCAGTATTCTGAGATAATTAACCGCAGAACTCCACTTTCTATATCTCTTTGACGGGGAGGAAAACATTTCAGCATCTAATATAGCCGTTCCGAATATTATTTGTCCCTATCCCAAATCTCCGTAATCCTCCGTGCCCGGTATTTTGTGTGGAGTTTTGTTTCATCGAGAACTTCACGGTTCCTTCTCCGGAATCCGTGTACCTCCACCGGGTACTCGCGGAAAAGCGTCGGCCTCGGATCGCTGTCTTCGGAGTCTGTGACGAAGGAGCTAGATTCTCGCTCGAGGAGACTCAGAGAATAAATGCAGGGAATGCCAAGATATCAGAGTTTATTATTTTCGGCCAAGAGAATCGAGCTAGAGAGAATTTTTCAAATCGCGACCAGTGTTCGCCAGATCCCGCGTCGGAATCGGGGGATCGCTGAAACCCCGGATGCATATAATCCCCTTGTGAAGGTGCTTGGATCATCGCATAAATACTGTTCTTTATAGCATGTGTAATTCAATTACTATTATTCTCAACGTCGTTGGGGGGCTCGCAGGTTCGTGACTGCGAAGGATTCCGATGAAAGCTTGAAGACCGGGGTCTTCGCGCGAGAGATTAGACCGCGATCTCCAGAGGCATTCACGGAATTAATCACGAGAAACACAAGTCAGACTCGAACTTCCAACTCAGAGTATAAGCGAGCAACAGTTCACAAGAAGTTCCAGGAGTCGAAAAGTTCCACACCGCATTTATACAAACGGAATGCTTGTGACTCTTGATCGTGGCAGATAGAAGGTATAAAGTATTAAGTATCATATATATGTACATTGCTCTGGGAAGGTCGAGTTAACAAGTTGTCTGCGTCCGTCGAGGGATTTTTAGTGTTCAGCCGGTCAAAAATCGAGCCTCAGGAATTCTTGGGCTGGCTGCATGAATCCCTCGGATTGTTGCAGAACGCCTCGTATACATTGGCCAAGAAATCCTTCGAGCAGGCGCTGTTCAGACTTTCCTTCACGAAACCGCTGTCCCGTTTGTAGATCTCTGTTTTCAAGGATGGCAACAGAGTGACGAGATGGCACTTCCCGTCTCCGACATAGCCGAAAGCCTTCGTCACAATAGCGTTCAGGTCTCGGAAACCGGAGCCTATCAGACGCTCCAGAACGGCTTGGCAGTCATTACATTGCAAGATGTCTCTCGTATCGGAGGTTAGTTGATTGAGGATTTCGGAGTTCGACAGCGGATTCTCCTGTGACGTGCACGCCGGCGTCCAATGGTCCATCATCAGATAGGCCGGAGCGTTCTCAATGATCTTCACGTTCGTTCTCACGAAATTGAATCCCAGAAGGAAGTCGTCCGCGGTGACAACTTGCTTCAATTCGATGGGACCGAATGCAGCCAAAACATGGATCTTGACGACCCGTATCACCTCGAGCACTCCTTTGTCGAGGAAGTTCTGGAGCATGTTCAAGTAAGCGCTATGGACTTCGTTCGCCTGGTTGGATTTCCGCCTTGAATTCGCGAGCATGTAACCGCCTATGATCCCCATCATCGTCCTCAGCGCGCAGATGAGCAAGCTTTCGGCGTAGACTGATGCGAGGCCGTAAGTCAAGACTCGAATTTTGATTTCATCCCACAGAAAGATGCGATTCTCTGGTTTCGCTCGGACTTTCTCCAAGATTTCCTCGACACCCAACTCTGCATCGAGTTTCTTGCGGAGGGTCTCAAGCAGATTCAAGACGGACTGATCCGATGTTTTCAATATGGAATTAAAGTGCTCGGCTCGTTTCATCTCGTCCATGATCTCCTTCCGGATCTTCTGCCGGTTTTCCTCCAAACTGGACAGATATCTGAGGAGAAAAAAAACCATACTAGACTCCACTCCGGCGAAATACGAAGGTATGATAGTCATAGTCGGCTCCTGACACATCGGTACAAAGTGTTTTCATGCTCTAGACCCCCTTGACATGAGTTCTCGGGCCACATATATCGCTGCCTCGTGGCTCCTCTCGGTGTCCAAATGATACCGTAGACGTTCGGGGGTAGCATTCACTCGTCGACGTATTCCACGGACCAAATCCATTCATGTGTCTATCTCATCGCTCCGTCCAAATAGAAACTCACCGGTGCGCCGCATACATGCCTCCTGCAACCAGACCGCCGAAGATGAGCTTCTTGCGATGCCTCCTAGCGAAATCGGCAACTTTCGAAAACATTTTCCTCCGAGCGTCGGATCACTAATGTCAGATCTACGGGGAAAGTCCAGCCAGCAACGCCGAGACAACAACAGGTACAGCGCAGCCGTGTTTATATCTTCACTCGCGGCTCTCGCGGATGCCGCACGGGGACCAACCGGAGCGGGTGTTCGGGAGAGCAATTGCTTGGCGGGATATTCGAAATTACTGTCAATGACCGATCTACACGAAATTGTGTGTATAATGGGCGCCTCAAATCCGATGAGATGGACAACCCTCGTTTAAGATGAGATATCCGATCTGGCACTTACGAGAACCCGTTAATCTACTTGAAGAATTCATGCGATTTGGCTCCAGGACAATCCAAACTGACTGAGCGCATTTCGTTCAACCCCGGATCCAATGGAGATCAATGTAATTGTACAGCCATGATGGCAAGCGGGATACCGGACCTGGGCGAATCGCAGTGAGGGGAGCGTGGAAAGTTCCGAACCTTTGACTGATGCCCCACGGGAAGCCAATCGCCGAGCTCGACGGATTTTTCATCGTTGCGAGCCCACAGGATTCTCTGTCCTTATCGCTACAGTCATCAGCGACTCAGTCAGGATGGACATGAGCTCGCCGTCGACGAAGCTTCGAATGCGAGAGCGTGGGGTAAAACTCCGAACGATTTATTCGTGAAAATCTGAATGGAAAACATGATGAGCTTCAGCTGAGTCTACGGAGAATCACACATTTGTGAACGGAAACTAGTGGTGTGTCCCCCAGAAAGTCCCTATCTGTATGTCCGGGACGTTCGAATCTCCGGCGTTGATAGGCATGGAGGGCGATCTACCTCCACCAGTTTGGCTTTGCGCAACGAGATCCATCCTCAAGATGTCGAAATAAAATCGGAGCAGGGACACCTCCTCTCCAGATCTGCCAGGACCGCTTATCGAGTACAGGGCAAGAGAATCACGAGAGCCACGACCAGAACGCTCCGGAGGCAAAAACTATGCCTCAGAGTTCGTATCTGATGGCCTGATCGCTCTCTACTTCTGAATAAAACCCCGGAAAGAAGTTATCATTTTCTGGTTGGATCGAACGAGAGCTTCCGAATCAGCTCCCTTCAGCCATTTCCGAACGTAATGAGGCGCCGCGAACTCATTCATGGGTCGGATCCTGCCAATCACAGGTCTTTCTTGGAATCCCCTATCCATGGATCCACAAATCGACCACATTATACCCATGTATCCATTCGAGCAGTTTCCGTCGATCGCGTACGTATCGTTCAAGTATACTGCCCTCTCGACCGCTTCCTCTGGAGACTTGGTCCATTTCATTATCTGCTTGGCCCAATACATCCTGCAATATCCGTGGATTTTTCCTGTGGCCAAAAGTTCCCTTTGGGCGGCATTCCACGCTAGTATATGCGTCTGACCTTTTTCGAGCTTCTCTAGATCGTATATCTGTTCTCTGTCGTCATCCTTGTGCTTCGTAAGAGTATCTTTCGCCCAAGGTAGGGCACCTTCGAGACTATCGTAATTCCTCTCGTGTAGACAGAAGTGCTCGGCTGTCTCTCTGAACGCGAAGACTTCTCGGAGGAAAGCATGATAGTTGTCCGACTTCTTCTCCTTGAATCTCTGAGCGATGATGAAGAGGATTTTCTGCGTGCTTATCTGACCGTTCGATATCCAGGGTGAGAGATTGCTCAGATTATCAGCATCAGGATTCTTCCTGTGTTTATGGTATGTTGGGAACCTCTTCTGCAAGAACTCTTCCAACATCTTCATCCCCTGGCTATATCCACCCTTGAAGACGTTTTGGACCACCGGGACTTCGGGGAACTCGCTTTTCTGCATGTAGGTTTCCGAGGACTTATTGTACAGATGCTTCTCTAAGACTTTGTAGTCTCTCAGAAACTTCGGGAAATGCTCGAAGAGCTCTGATCTCACGGCTTTGCTGGTTTTCTTATATACGGCAAGAATCTTACAGGGAACTAAATTATTCGCGTCACAAACACGAAGAGATATTCGCTTCTCAATACAATACGCTTCCACTTCACCTCTGTATGCCAAACATTCTCTCAGAGGCGAGAAGTCTAAGATTATACAATCGATATTCTTCTGCTTAACAAATCGATCGAGATCAACGATGAGGCTGAAATATATATTGAGCCGACGGCAAGCCTCCTCATCTTCCTCTAAGCCCTCCAATACAAAAGTTTTTTGCCTGCTATTGAGTTTCAGCTTCTCGAATTCAATGCCGATATAAAATCTCCCTTTTGAGGCGTAGGACAATTTATATCCTAATTCGACACAATGATTGTCGTAAACTCTCTTGTCCCGTCTCATGAGATACAACACATTGCTTTTGTATACGAAATCGTTTAGCTTGGTAACCCGCTGATCCATCACATCGATCTCCACAAAGCTCCCCTGTCGAAAACTCACGTATGAAGTACTCGAGGGTTATGTGGTAATCTGCGGTCACCTTCCGTTGACTCTCCGTGTCGTCACGGAGAATCGAAGGCTATCTCCTTTGACAGAGTCGCGCATACACCGAATCCGACGATGGACCTGCGCGCCGGAGGCTCAACTTGAGAGTTTTCTGTCGTGTCCGGGGGAAGATGGCGACCGACTCACTTCATCAGCCATGAGAAATTAGCAATAGGTTCTGCGCCGCATGCTACGCACGAGCTACAGCCGATGACGAACAATCATCCGATAAATTCGATCAGAACACATGACATGACAGAGATTCACGCGCGCGGGCGCACAGTTTTGTAAGCAAAGTTCACCAGACGGGTTTAGGGGAGAGAGAACCTCATTTCGAATCGATAGCCTACGCGGCTCGCCATGTCTTAGCTGCTCATTCCCTACGGCCGAGGCAGGATTAATGCAGGAGCCTTCAGGAGTTTAAGAATCGGAGCTCGCTCATATTGAGTTTTCAGGTAGACTTCGCTGAACAACTTTAGCCACACCTGGTGCGAGAATGGAATGACTTCTTAGAGTTTTGGAACTTCAGCTTGGCGCTAAGCAGAAAACTGGTCGGATGAGTATCCTTGTCAAAAAGGTCAGGAGAATGTTGACTCTTATACCGGGGATGATTAGACACTTCGTGACGGGCTTGACGAACGGAGCTTCGTGCTCCTACTCGACGAACGCGCTCCCGGCTGACCCGCCCGCCCTCCTCGTGCCGGCCATCGGCCGAGATCATCATCATCAGCTTTTCCGTTCGCTGTCTGTTTGATCTCACTCAGAGATCGGGAACATTAGCTCCGTGGTTCCATTTGTTCGAAACGGCGGCTCACGAATCATTCATTCTCAGCCAGTCGAATCTCAGAGGAAGCATTCACCTTGCCGGCACCGTCTCAATTGTAGCTCTGCCGCTTGGAGTAGCGTCCTAGAACAGTGGTCCCGCAGACAGCAAGATAATTTTCTCGAAGGAATCTCCAGAGATTGATTTTTCCTCGAGATGGTCGACCTGGTCTTGGACCGGGATATCCGAATCTGGGTTTTCTTGCCCATTGTTCTGCTCACTTTCCTCCTCGGAGTCGTGAAACATTACGTGTCGATACTTATCACAACAACGCGAAAGCCGGAGTTGCAGCAAGTTTATGACAGGTGCGTCCACCACCCTCTTGTTCAAAGTACACCGGGAACCCGGAAGGAATAAGCTCGTTTCTCGTGTCCCTCGCAATTCTTGCGTGATATATGAAAATAGAGATAGGGCCGCTGAGCGCCGGGAAGCGCTCGAGGTGGCTCATCTTTTATTCGCTTTCGATTTCAGTCAAGCTCTCATAAGAGTCCGATACCTGAGAGAGAATGGAAAATTTCTGCCCCTGAAAAGTTTCCTCATGAGGAAGCATTACTTCAACGATGAGGACTCCGGATGGTTGAAAACACAGAACCGACCGGCGCCAGCGAGTAACCCTATGCAAGATCCGGGCATGATGACTGAGATGCTGAAGGGAAATCTTATCAACGTCATTCCTATGATCGTTATCGGAGGCTGGATCAACTGGACGTTTTCGGGTTTCCTCACAACCAAGGTGAATCCCAGATGAATATGGTCGCAGAATCTCTCCCAGAAAAGCATTCCTCGATTCTTATCGACTATTATCAGTGAAGGGCATCCTGAGGAACTGACATAGCTTCGATCCTCTCGGAGCTCACGTCTCCCGCGAACTCACTCGGTCACCTTCAAATCAGGTTCCGTTTCCCTTGACTCTGCGATTCAAGCCAATGCTCCAACGGGGCATCGAGCTCGTCTCATTGGATGCATCCTGGGTATCTTCAGCGTCATGGTATTTCCTGAACCTTTTCGGTTTGAGGAGCATATACGCTCTGGTCCTGGGAGAAGATAATGCGGCCGACAGCACCGATGCAATGCAGGAACAAATGACAGGGGCAGCTATGAAAATCACCGATCCGAAGGCTGCTTTCAAGGTAAGCGTGGAGATCTCGAGATATTTTGAAGTACCACATGGAACAATAATGCCTCGAATGTCTGAATCCAATCATCATCATTTTCAGGCTGAGTGGGAAGCGCTCGAAGTCGTTGAACACAAATGGATGCTGGCGAACGTCGAAGAGGATCTCTGTTCGAAACCGCTCTTCTAAGTCACTGTCCGCGGCTTACCTCTCTATTTATTCTGTGGACCCCCTGGATGGATTTCAATGTTTCAGAGAACGAATTCCTATAGATCGATATTGCGTATTCCTGTTCCCCATGAGGAGACGGTCTGCTGCTCACCGATGATGGACTCAATCATATTGATTGAAGAAACAAGCAGCGATGGTGGAGAAACGAGGTTATGGCGTTAATTATTTTCAAAACAGAAATGAAACACCTGGAGGGCGGAGAATCCGTAGAAGCGATCTCCGAAAGTCTATGCTGGTGGCCTGATCGAAGACAACAAGTTAATAAAGTTGGTACTCTGTTTTATTGGAACTCGCTAGTTTCTAATGGATCGTGCACTTCCTCGAAGCTCAAACGTGGAAACTTCAATCTGATTGATCATCTCGCCACAGATATCATATGCTCGATCAAGTTGATGTGGATTTTTTGCTCAAAATCCCCCACAGTCCGCGTTTGAGGAGCCTCCCGCTCCCCCCAGGGCCACCTCTCTGTCACCCCTGGCGTAGGCGATACCGAATTACAAGATGGAGAAAGTCCGAGAAGCCAGGTTCCGATGCTTCTTTTCAGTGCGACCGCCTCTCATATTGGAGTTTTGAAGGTCAAATCACAGCGTCGAATTTTCCGGAAGGAATGGCCCCGAGAAAAAGAACAAATCGACGAACCTCGCGCTCTTCCTGCCCCCCACCCCTACTGTCGGCGGAGGCGCGCAAGACTTGCGTGAAATTTTCCGGATCATAAACTGCCCTCGATTTCGGCTCGGAAGATTTCAGAGAGGAGGAAGAAATGATGAGCAGCCTTGGGGGAATTTTTCAATTCGTCGCCATAAATATGTTTATTAGAATTTCAGTCGCTTAAATCGATAAATAGATTTAGTTTCCAGTTTAAATAAACAATGGGAGATTACCAGCAACGAAGCGTAATCAATCCCGTCCAAATACACCGGTACTTCGCTTCATGAATAATAAATATCTCCAAAATTCCAAAATATAGTATCTGTGCTCTCCATTCATCCCAAACTGTAACTGCATAGAACAGCCACTCCTCGCTCGTAGAAGCTTTGGGCTTGCTTGACATCCGTGGCCTCGAGGTCGACGGTGAACAGCAGTTCCGTCCTACTCGAGTTCAGATAGACTGGTAGCGTTACGACGGACTGCGCCTTCCTCTCGTCTTCGGTTGCCCTGTTGGAAGAAATGCATCGCATTTTACTTGGAGCTCGATCAAAAATTCTGGATACAACTGAGTTTCTCCCTGGCCAGACATGTTCCCGACTGGCCGGCTGAATGCCACGGGCGTCTTTCTGTTTAGCAACGAACATGTCTGAGCCCATCGTTGAGCTTTCCTTGAACTGCGAATTACGAAGCTGTACTCACTTGACCCACGTCAGAATTGTCAAAGGAAGATCTGAGAGGATGTCCATCGATAGCATCAGTTTCGAGGCATTTGTGCATTCGGCGCCTTGTAGTTTCAGCGAAGAAATCGCGAAACTGCACTCATCCAGCTGAGGATTGGTTTCCGCTTGGGTTCGCATTGTCACCGAAAGTGTGAGTTCTTCCAGGGACCATTCGTTTGCCTGAGCGACATACTGTCGAGTGGCCGTGATGTAAGCTTCAGGATTGAATAAACCACCTGCGGAAAAGGAAACGACTCAAAATCACTGGAAATCTTCCGCGCGATGGTTCCGAAGAGATTTATTCTTATCGAACTGGGGAATCCGACGGAAAAGGTCAAAATAGAAAAAATTCTCATTCCGCTGAACTTACCGAGCCACACAACGAGCGCTTTCAAGGCAGCGGGTCCTCCTCCGGTGCAGGCCTTCGAAACCTTCGCCAGCTGATTGACACGTTCGTTGAAGTCCGTTATCCACTGTATGACGGTACACGCGGGCGGCGGAGTGTAGCGACCCTTCCAATGGGTCGGAACGCCGCCCTTGGCCAGTTCGGAAATCATTTGTCGATGCAGGTTCGTCTGTTTCTTCTCTCCCTTGCAGATAAGTACAATGTCTTCGAGGTCCCGCCTGATGAGCGATAGCAGCTGAGCGCCAACATTGACTTCGCGCTCGAAATAGCGGTAAAGAGGATCTCGGATGTTGTCTTTGGTCCGTTTCAGTGTTTGGAGGCTGGTCGGTACGAGAGACAGCCACGTCGAGGCTGAGTTTTGGAGGGCCACCATCCAGGCGGGACGCGCCAAGGAGTCGAGAGATCCTCGCTTCTTGGATTTTGCAGCTTCGCCGAGCTGAGCCTCATCTTCCGAGTAGACGACCTCGTCGTCGTCGTCCTCGAGAAGCTGCATGCGCAGTAATTTCGCCAACAGATCGCTGCCCCGATTGGTGAGCAGAACTTTCTCAGCGTTGTTGGGAAGTCCAAGCCACGAGGGTTGTTGGAGTTCGGTGAGTTGTTCGACCCAATGCAGGAACTGATCGCGACGTATTCCCTCGGGCATATGGATCCCAGCGGAGCCCTGGCCGGCCTCGACCAGCATGAAGTCGGCATCGAAACTCTTCTCTGTGAAGAGGTTGGTGAGGAACGAGTTGAGGAGTCTCTGGTCGAACTCGTTGTCGATTTTCCCACCGTATATGCATTGGCCGAAAAGAGTTCTGAGAGCCGTCCAGGGAACTTTCTCCGGCGGCAGGTTCGTTCTGCCCATGCTGGCGCTCTCGATCCAAACATCCAAAGTATCGCAAGCGACTCTGAGATCGCTCTCGTTGAACTCGTAGTGTTTCGACCAACCGAGGGGCACGTACCTCAATCTCTCCTGGACGATCGCGTGGAACCAGGCCAGGAGGAAGTACATTCTGGCGCGTTCGTTCGGAGTTTTCATCACTCGCTGTGCGGGGACGGTGGAGAACGTTCTCAAGAGGTTCGATCTGATTCCCGGCGGGGGCTCGAACACGAAGCATCGTCCGGCCCTAAGTAAGTTGACAGGAACTTTCGGGTGGATTTCCAACGTGAGAAATAGTCGGAACCCTGGATGGGCTTGAAGGGCGTGGAGTTTCTTCTCGAGTTGCACCAGCCACGCTGGGGCTAGGTGCACGTTCTTGAGCATGACCCAGCGACCGGTTTTCGAAGCGGAGTTGATAGCTTTCTCGGCTTGTGAGAAACCCTCGGCCGACCCCATTGCGATCGACGACAGGTTGGCGCTCAGCTCGGTGGCAAGGTCGTCAACCCGTCCCGAGGCATCGTAACCCGGGACCGAGCACATCAGAATCGGAGTGTTGGCTTTCACTTCGTGCTGGACGATATTGACGAGGTCGAGTTCTGAATATGCCGATGACATGAAAGCCTCGCTCATGACAGCGTTCACGACCTGGTGGGCTTTGGCGATAACCCGGTCCGGTCGTAGAGCTTGGACCAGCAGTAGCTGCAGCATGTGCTCGTCGATCTTCGAGACGTTCTGACCGTCCCAGATAGGAGGAACTTGGAGCTCGGAATGTTCAAGTCGCAGCCACTCGTCGACGGAGGCTCGCTGTTGGTCGAGCTTCGACTGCAGTTGCGAGAAATAGCTGAGCTTGAGCAGCGCTGAGGCTCCTTCCTGTTGTTCGGTGGTGAAGCCCTGGAAGTTGATTGAGCCCTTGCCGAGCATTCCTTCGCGTCCTCTGAGGAAGTGGTTGAAGAGGTTGTCGAAGTGCGGCTCGTTTGAGAAACCCTTCAGATGGATTTTGCAGAGCAGGATCGCGAACGCAAGGTGGTCGTGGTGGAGCATTCCGCGGGTGACTCTGTTGAATACTATCTGGAAAAGATCTTTGCTGATCACACCGAGTCTCTGGGTGGGGTCGGTCATTCCTTGCAGATGCGAGTTGTTGGTCAACACGTCGTTGTACATCTCGAGGAAGAAATGCAACGAATACTGGTACAGGAAGTGGGCCTGATTCAGGCCCTCCAGCGTGAAGTAGATCGAAGAACAAGCCGTTGCGAGCGGCATGTACTGCTGGGATACAGTCTCGACCTCGGCGATGACCTTGTCGGTCTCCTCCACCTTGCTGAAAATTCAATTCCAGTTCAGTAAATCTTCTCCCACAAAGCAATCGCAGTTCTCCTCTCGGCAGAAGAGAATGACAAATGGAAAAAGAAAATGGAGAGTGAAGAAATATTTTTTTTCACGCACCGAGATATTTCCGCTGCTTCGGTTTTGAGTTTTTCGAGTGTGGAAATAACGCTGTCGTCGTCCAGAATTCTGCCCTTCGAGTCGTTCAGGGCTTGGAGCAAGGACTTTTCCAATTGACGCAGACGAACCTGGAATTCGCCTTGTAGCTTCAAGAGATCCGTTCGTTTTTCGTCGATGTCGGGACGCTCGGACCTCAACACCTGGTTGAGACACTGACTCTGCAGTGAGCTTCGAGTGACGGTGAAGTTAACGAACGTGACTCTCGAGCAGAGATCGGGCGGGAACTCGACGGTCGGATCACGAGTCGACAGGAAAATCGAGAACGTCGGCGAGAGATCGATGTCTTGGTCGCCCAGCGTGATGAGAACCCGTCCTCCAGTCTTGCGGACCTCCCGGTTCAGCACCGGATTGAGGATCGGATCGTAGCTTTCGACATCCTGTACGAGAAGTGGATTACCGAAACGAAGAGCTGATTCGAGATTTTTGCGGAACGAATCGTCGAGGAACGAGGTTTTCGTGATCTTCTTATCCTTGAATTCCTGCATGATGTATTCCGTTGCTTGACCGGACGGATCGATGATGAGCGGGTATCGATTGAACCGCTTGAGCATGATAGCGTTCTCCGTACAGAGATGATCTGACGGCAACGAGTTGGCCTGCCATCTGAGCCGCTCATCCGCCGTAGATAGGTACTCCGTCCTTGCGATGTCCTGACGGAAATTGATTGCGGCTTGTTGGAGATGTATGCACCAGGTGTTGAACAGGTTGTGCCGGTAGGACTGATCAAAATATCCGGCGTAGGCCAAGAACGCCGACCCCAGTAGCACATCGCCCGAGATCGTCGACATCTGGTTCTTGAACGTCTCGCTCGTGAGCTCCCAGCGATCTTTTTCTCCACCAAGAGACTTCAGGAGATTGATCGAACGATCGACCTTGGCCTGAACGTTGGCCAGGTCGCTCTTGATGCTCTGGGCCTCGCTGACGAGGTTCGCGTACTCTTCCTTGTAGGCAGCGATGCTCTTCTCGAGCTCGGCGATGAGCTTGTTCATCTCTTCGGCATCTTCCTTGTTCTTGTTTGCCGACGACTCCAAACTGGACAGCTCGTTCCGTAGCGGCTCGACACGTTTCAACATGTCTGCGTAGTTGCACTGCGCGATCGCCCATTTGACGAGAGGGCCGCAGGCGACCGACGCCCGGTTGATTTTCTCGTAATTGAACTCGGCGTTGTCCAAGTACTTTGCCTTCATCTTCGCCCGGCTTTCATCGCTGGAAAGGAAATTCGAAGGTTGGCACTCCACTCGGGCGTGTACTCTGGCCGTACGAAATCAATTCTCTGTACCGTTTCCCCGGACCGAGCGAGCGTCATTCGAACCGAATACTTACGTGATAGACTCTGCGTTGAAGTTGATGATAGTCGATATGAAGTTGTCCCGAATTATCACTCCACGGATTGCCTTCCAGTCCGGAGCTATTTCCCCGAGGATCAGACAGATCGCCTCCAACGTCATCTTCACCGGAGGTGGCGGGTTAGCCATGGATCTGATCTCGACCAGATTCTGTTTCTTGATCGATTTGACAGCTGAAGAGAATTTAATTTCGTTGATGAATTACGCATGAGAAGCACCTTTATCGCACGTGAGTCTCATTCTCCGTCGGACACTCCACGTCGGGGTGGAGCATCCGAAGGGATCGTGCATCGTCTCACCTGTCTGAGCATCCTCGACGGCGGGCTCGACTTTGGAAAGGTCTTCCATGACACTGGTACGCTTTTCGGCGATGACGGCTTCTTGCTCCAAGAGCGCCTGTTGTATTCGTTGACTTTCGACTTTCTTCTTCTCAGCCTCCTGTTGTCCTGCCAACATTTCCTTCAGTTTTGCGTTGGCGGCCGTGTTCTTCTCCTCGAGTTCTCTTGACTTGAGAGCGAGGGACTTCTGCATCTCCTCCACCTGATCCACTGTTTCGCGGATCTTGTGCAGACCGATATTCAAATGAAGTTGTTCGTCTTCGAGTTCGGACCGTTTCTCATTGAACAGCTTCACATAATGAGATATGAAGTCCAAGTAGTGACGGGGTGTGATCGTCGTCTGTCTACCGCCGCGTTTTGCAAGTCTCGTTGATGCTTTATGCAGCGTCTGATGGACGTAAACGAAAGCGTTGACGATGGCCTGTCGGTAGTTGACCGGGGTTTCGAGTTGGCTTACCGCGACCGGGAAATAGTCCGGCTGGCGATACTGAAAATCCGAGAACCTCGGGGTTAGTCAAAACTTCCAGAGCATTATCAGGCAACGTTTGCAGCATCGACCGCTCACGGCTCCGAAAGATACGTACGTCGAGACGATCGATGTCGAGTCTCTTCGTGAACTCCAAGCCCACTTGATAGAGCGCCTCATCGGACCAGTCTCCGAACCAGTTGAGGACGCATCGATTGAAGAGAGCGGGTGAAGTCGCCGCTCGATCCTTCAGACCGTTGACCGATGGGTTCATGGTGAACACGACGTGCAAATTCCGCATCACCTGACCTGTGAATGACAAACAGGGTGAATCGTTAGCCGGGAAAGCGATCCATACCGGGGTGAACTGAACACATATAATACAGCGGTCTGACGATCTCTTCTCGTCCACGGGTTCTTTTCCGCCGCCCGAATGTCGATACTCCGGACTTCGGATCAATTGGTCTGACTATGGTCATGCGTAGGTGCTCCTTACTTATGCGGAGGACTTACCCGTAAACCACTTGTAGAGTTCTTCGTTCGAATCGAGCATGAGGCCTTCCCGCTGCGAGCCTTCTTTGCACTGCGTCATGAGCGTCGTGTATTCGTCTCCTTCGAAGAGTCCAGGAACTTCTCCGTTCGCGAGCAGGGTGTTCATACGTTCGAGGAACGAGGAGTCCAAGACGTTTCCTTCGTCCAAGATGAAAGCGATTTTCTCCCCCTTGCATCCGGAACGACGGAGTACGTTCCGGAGGTCTTCATCAAAGTCGGCGGCGTTGTATCGGTTGTGGACCTTGATCTGGAAGACCTTGAGTCCATTCATCCAGGCGACGAATCGGGACAGTGTGGTTTTTCCGGCGCCAGAAACTCCAATCAACAAAAGATGTCCCTGTGGCTGTCGGAAAATTCGATCGATTCGCAGAACATGGTCGAGAACTTCGTTGAAGAGAACCAGTTGAACGTCGAGCTCTTCCTCGTAGAATATTTTGAGCCGGGCGCGTACGTAGTCCCGTAGTTCCTCTCTTTTGACCGGAACGTAGTCTTTCGAGAGCCAATTCGAGTAGAGTATCGGCCTGGCCAGGGCTTCGCCAGCATCGACGCTGGGGAAATATTTCATGGCAACGGCATCAATATTCTCATCGGTCCACTGACGTTCCTGGTCCTCGACCAGGCGGTCCTGGAACAAGCGCAGACCCTCGTGGGCCCACAATCGGACCAGACCTTCCACGGAGAGTGTCTCTAGCGGTCTCACCGCTTCGCAGATACCGCGCACCCATCTGGTGAGCTCACGCGGAGAGTACACGTAATGCGGCTGCATGTCCTGTGTGAACCTCTCCTGCGATCTCAGATAGAACTCGACCATGGCCGAGGTCAGCGGCTCCGAATAGGACTTGAGCGAAGACACCATCCGGAGCATGGCTCGGTTGAATGTGCCGTAGATCTGCTTGAGAGAAGTTTCCCCAGGATAGTCGACGTATACGATGGGCACATGTCGCAAGAATCGGTGCGACAAGGGCTTTCGGCCCGGATCGGTGGGCGGATTGCAGGCGCCCACGAACTGGATTCGCTCCAGCTTCACCCATACCTGGTCGACTGTCCTGTAGAAACCACCGTGTTCGACCATTTGTCGGAGGAAAGAGATCACTCTCATCGTTCCGTATTTGTCCTGGTCAGGAAGATTGATCTCGTCGCAGAACAGAACGAGCCACTTGCCGATCTGGATAGGACTCAATACCATGCCGTTCGGGGTTTTCCTGTACTCGCAGTAGTGATCGAAAGTTTTCAGAAGGAGCTCGGGGGTGGTCGCCGACGAGAAGTTCAAACCGACCACTTCCATGTCGGGTAGGCACCGGAGCGCTGAGAACAACGTCATCGTTTTTCCCGAACCCGGCGGACCGCACAGCACCAGGGGCTTGTGCTCAGCCAGCCAAGTGTAGAGGAGACTCTCGTGACGTACGGTGTCCATCGTCGGGATGACGACGTCCGGAGCGGCCACCTTGTGGGTTTCGACTTCGATTTGAGGAACTTTGGACGCCCATGGAGTCCATTCGCAGGTTTGGATCGACACTTCGAAGTCGACGATAGCTTGGGCCGGCGGCAGGGGGATCGACGTCACCGACCGTAGATAGTCCCCAAGGTCGGTTCGAGCCTTGAGTTTCCCGTCCCCACTGAAACTCCACAGCAGTCCGTACACCAGACTCTTGGACATGTATTTTTCCAGGGCATCGTGCTGCATTGGAAAGTCGGGATGGGTGGAATTGTACTGGATCACGTTTCGAACGGATTGGTTCAGCATCGAGAACAACGCCGATAAGGCCCGAAGTCTCGTGAAGTCCATGATGTGGTCGAGGTGGTCTTTGGCAAACTCCATCGCTTTGGTTACGAGGTCACCCTCGGCAAAATGCGGTAAGAGAATGGCGGCCATGTCTTTCTGTAGGGTCAGGATCGGCGATATCGTGTCGTTGTCTTCCTTGTTTTTGCTTCGAATCGTTTTGTTGTCTTCATCTTCCTCGAGAGGGATCGCCCGCAGTTTGTTGAAGTAGTTTTGGCAGATCATCTGGGTCGAGAGAACGTCCTCCGAGAACCAAATCATGCCTGGACAAGAGCGTCAACAATAATTATTCATTTATCGATTGGTGATATGATTTCCGGCGTCTCATACCCTGGGACTCGATGAGAAGCGTGAAATCTCCGATTGCTCTCCGAGTTTCATGATATTATTTCGGGACTGTATACTTATTTCTGGGATTATACGATTACATGAGGGGAGGAGGAAATCAGAAAGGTTCGCGAGTCACGGATACTTACCACAACGTGAGACGGTGGCCAACGTGGCGTATTTCAGGTCCTGCACCTCGAACATGATCCGCACGTTGGGAGGGATCGAGAGACGTTCTCCGTTCGGCAGTGTCAGTAGCTTGTTGTCGTCGAGGACCGAGTTCAGGTTTTCGACCCATTCGGGGTCGACGTCACCATCGAATATGATCCATTGTCTCTTGCCGATTTCACCGCGGACGTTGTCGATGATCTTCCTGAGTATATGAGTGAAGAGACCGTCCGTCCATTCGCGAGTGTTCGGATCTAGGACCCCGTAAAGCGATTCTTTGGAAATGGCTTTTGGATCGATGACGTGCGCGACGCCTTCCTGTTCCTCGTGTCGTTCGAGCGCTTTGAGGAGAACCCTCCAGGCCATGGATTTCCCGCTACCGGACGGACCGACCATCATGAGTCCGTGGTTGAGATTCGAGATCTGATAGAGTTGCAAAACCTTCTCCATCCAGCTGCCCCCCATCTCGTCGCCTTCGCCGGAAACGAGGTACATTTCCCTGCAGACCTTATGGATGTGGTTCTTGAGTTTTTCCATCTCGGCTCTCTGATATTGGACGCCGGGGAACACGTCGGACATGAGCGAACTCAGCAGCGGGATGTCTTCCGCCACCAATTTCGGAACCATGGTCTCGCAGACCGACTGGATGAGGATTTCCTGTTCCGGCAATTTTTCGGCGATCTGACTCTCTTCCACCGCGTCGCCGTCGTCTCTCCGGCTGTCTTTGATCTTCTGGATACGGTCACGTTTGATGTTGCCCGCGCTGACGAGCACGCTTTTCAGCGCACGCAGCCCGAAGTCGTAGTGACTCTGATTGGATAGCTGCTCGTCGCACAGTTTGAAGAACGGCACGATTTTGCTCGCGAGTTTCTCAGCTGATCGGAAACCTTGGGAAAACAGCATCACCTGAGCAATCAGCTGGCGATCGGGTTTTGTCATTGCTAGCGATCTGAAGAGCTTTTTCAGATTGTCCGGGAGGTTGGACCGTCCTGCGTATCCCGGATTCATCGTGATGAAGATCGCCATGTCGGTCGAGACCTTCACCTGCTTCCCTAGCAGTTCTACTTGCAGCGTCTCTCTGCTATCTGGATTGCTCAATCGACTCCTTAGCGTTTCCTGGATCATTTGAATTTGCTGAGAAACGGCCGACAGCATTCGCTCCTCGAGACGATTGAATTCGTCGAAGCATCCCCACGCTCCGACCTGACAGAGACCGACGAAAATGCGTCCCATCGCCTGGAAGTCGAAGGTTTCATCACAGTTGAAAACCAGCACGAATCTTCCGAGCTGGTTGCCGAGCGCTTTCACCGATTCGGTTTTTCCCGTTCCCGCCGGACCGAACGGTGAACCTCCGAGTCTGGCCTCGAGGGCTTGTGTCATCGTGAGATAGCAGCGATCGGTGAGAGGGGTCTGCACTAGTTTTTCCTGAACCCCGAGGTATTCAAAGCCGTAGTTGAACTTGGCGTTCGCCATGTTGATCGACAGCTGTTCGAGAACGTTGTCCTGCTTCGGATCGAAGTAGAATCTCATCTGCGACAGCCATTGGAAAGCCTTCGGTGAGCTGATTTCGTCCCGGAGCATGCGTCTCGTGACATCTCGTTTGTGCACGAACTCGGTGATCAGATGTTCCAGTTTCTTCCTGCGGAGAGGAGGTTGCTCCTGCAGGACCGAGTCAGCCAAGACACCCAGAGTTCGCTGGACGCTATCCAGGACGGCTTGGAGCGGTCCGAGGTGTTTATCGTTGTTCGCGTGTATGGTCTGGAGAGCGCTCTCGACGTCCTCCGACCAGGAAATCTGCGCCGCTAGAACAACGATTTGGCTCTGATAGTCATCGCACCAATTCATGAAGGCCGCTTGATCGATATTGCCGTGTTTGAAGGGAGCGATCGTGGCTACAGCCCGGGCGAGCATCCTGGCCAAGGTGACCCGCATTTCTTTCTCGACCTGAAACAATCGGGGTTCGTTATCGGGAATGTCCGATGACGAGGTGGCCCGGGGCAGTGATCCGGAGAGAATTTCGAGACCGTACGAAGTTATCCGATTTGGAAATCCTCCTTAGATCGAACTCATCTCACCTCTGTGAGCCAATCGTTGATCTTCGGGTGTTTGGCGATCGAAACCGGGGTCACGAAGCGCACCTCTTCGGCTTCTTTCGAACACAGGCCCAAAACGACGGTGTTATCCTCATTGAGGATAATCGAGGATACGCCAGCGAACATTTTCTTGAAGTGTTTCTGGAGGCGAGGAATGTTTTTCGAGTTACCGATGATTTCCAGGAGGTCCTCGTCTCCCACGAAGTAGAATCTGGGGAAAGACGATCTCTCTCTTTCAAGGTACTCTCCCAGAGCTTTCTGAATTTTGCTGAGCCTCTCAGCCAGGCGCTCGAGGGATCGTTGGACCTCCTGGATGTTCAATACGTCCATGACCAGCGGGGACTTCGACACCTGGAAACCGTGAGAAGAGGGGTTTGAGTCAGCGACCGTTCCTGTCAGAGTTTCGGGCACTTCCTGTCTCGAGGATCGGTGATATCATCTATTCAATAACTAATCATAATTATCGATAGATCGACGAGCTCACCTTTTTCATGAGCGTCAGGAACTCGCTGGAAATACTGTGGAATTTCGATGTTTCGTTTGGCAGCAGCGTCTGGATATCGGCGCTACCGCTGAAGATACCCTCGAGATAGACCCAACGTCTTTGTACGTCGATCCAAACATCGAATATGGCGTTGATCCTGTTGAGTTTCTCCTCCCACGACAAGGCTTCCTCCTCGAATTCTTTGTAGTACGGCGAGAGTTTCATTGCTGCCACCGAGTTGATGTGCTCTTTGACTTTGTTGAAAAGATCGTCCCATCCTCGGATGAGCTTGCATTTGTTCTGATAAGTGATCAGGTCGAGCTCGTACGTCTGCCACGCCTCTCGAACCTGTTTGAGGAACTCTTCGAGGGCCATTTCTCCTTGTGCTACTAGAATGACGTCTCTGATGATGCCTTCGTTGGCTTGTAGATCTACGTCCCAAACCTGTCCCAACGTCAACTCCGAGAGCACCCAGTTCACCCTGAGCTGCCTCATGAGATTCTTCCAGTGTCGTTCCTTGAGAGCGTCGCTCTTCAATTCGACCACGAGCATATTGACTTTCGTGTACGCTTGAATCATTCTCTTGACGTAGTCGTACGAGGCGTACTGCCGAAGGCGCGCGGGCAGCTCTTTGAGCTGGTTGAGAAGGCCGTCGAGGCTTTGGCGTAGTTTACGTGCGTGTACCGAGAGCCAGGGCTGCTCTTTCATCTGGTCGATTTGCTCCCAGATCTTGGCGAGCTCACCCCAGACACCTTTCAGGTCGCGGAGTTCCTCGAAGGCAACTTCCACTCGTTCGTCGCTCCCTGTCTGCAATTCCAATTCGAGAGCTTCTTTGGCTTTGTGGAGCTTCTCGCGGTCTTCCCGGAGGCGAGTGAGCTTCCCCTCGAATATCGCCAGCTGTTGCATGGCATCCTGAGGTTTGAGAGATCCTTGAACCGGTTTGCTCTTGTCCCATTCAGTAAGACACTCGTTGGTCCTCGATTCCACCGCCTTGTCCTCCTGAACGACCTTCATCTGCAGCGATGCCACCTGGGTAGAGATGGCGGCGTCTTTCCGGCGGATCATCTCGTTGAACGCGCCCCATTCCCCTTCGACGTTGTCGACGTGCAGCCAGCTGTTCGGGAATTGGAAACGCTGACGTTCCAGAATGCGTTGACCCTCCTTGTAGAGCTCGACTTGTTTCTCCCACGGCCTCATCTTGCGCTTGAGACTCTGGACGTAGGTGATGAACTGCACGGCATCCGAAGTCGAGGCCGTGTCGATCGATTGCTGCTCGAGTTCGTTTCGCGACTTGGAAATCGTCGTGTGGAACTGTGACATTTCGTTACCGAGGAGTTGCCCGAAACGGCCGAGAACCTCCTTGTGCCACGAATCGTATTTCAGGCTGACCTTGCTCTGGACCTTCGCGTAATCGATGATGATGGGACCGATTTCTTTCCTCGTTTCCGAAGTGTCGAACGTGGAACGTGATTTTCTGATCTCGACGAGAGTATTCATCCAGAGGTTAATGTCCTCGCCTAACTTCGCGTACAGCTGCTCGGGCTGCAGATCCCATAGGGACTGATATCGTAGCCATTCGTCGACGTATTCCTTCATTTGTCTCACCGTCACTTCGATGGCCGTATACGCGCTCTCCATCACCACAGCCCCGTCTGGAATTTTAGTGAAGATGTTCCTGTAGGTGGTGGCCGACTGGGGCTGCTGCTCGAGACCCACTTGGTACCTGCTGGATTGGATCCTGTTCTGGGCGAGGACTATGTTCTCCCAGAGGAAGAACTGTTCGAGGAGCTTGCATCGGCTCTCTTCGACCGAAGGCGAGACGTACATGATCTGATTGAGCATTCGGATGTCATGCATCAACGTCTGGATTTTCGGTTCGCCTCCGAGCTTGCAGGTGTCCGGGAATTCCGGCGCGGTCTCGGTCGTCGGTGTCGTGCTCTGAAGATTGTCGTGTTCGGGATTCTCATCGGCTTTCTTGCCCTCCAGAGCCAGGGTCCAAGCCTTGATGCCTTCACCGAGTCTCTTCGCGAGACGGCTCTCGACGTCGTCGTCGAGTCGGCCGACCCACAGAGCCAGATTTGAGTATTGCTTCAACGATAGATCGTCGACGCTTTTCTGAATGCGCGCAAGAATATCGGCGAAATTTTGCTGCGTGTACGGACTCGTTTCGATCGCCTTGACTTCAGCGTCGACGCACTCGTCCACAACCAAGAGATCATCGACTTTTTCTTGAAAGACAAAAATTATTTCGGCCAACTTCTGTACGTAGGGATCGAGTCGGTACGACTCCCAGTTCAGCGCGACGCCTTCCATGATGAGGCCCTGAACTTCTTTCTTCAGACCGGCGATCAGAAGACTGATGTTCATCCGATCCTCGATCTTATCGCAAGTTCTCTCGTAGGTCCGCATACTTTCAATGAGCGATATTGCGTACGGATAGACTTGATTCGCTTGGTGCGCCTTGTTGGCAATTGCCAAAGGGATCCGGAAGCCCATAGACTTCAAATTGCGCGATTCTTTCGCGAGGGTGACGACTTCCGTCGAGAAATGGACCCTGATCCGCTGGATTGACCGTGTCCGGGATCGCTGTGATTCGACGAGGAATATTTTGCTGGCGATGCCCACGTGGTGGTCCTGAACGGTCCTCACCCATTCGTCGAAAATTCCTTGGGTGTTCAGTTTCATACGGAAACTCTCGGCGTTCTCCTTGAGTTTCTGGCCCTCGACGTGGTTCTCCCAACCTTTGCCGAGAACGTCCTCGACTCGCTTCATGTAGACCGAGAGCTGTCGATCGATTTGCTTCGCCCAGATGATCGAGCCGGACACCAGGGGCAGATCACGGCCCCTGGACATCCTGCAGGCCTTCGACACGGGATATTGAACCTTGAATTTCGAATGGAGCGCCTCGATGTCGTCTTTCACTCGCTGGATGAGCTGGGTTTGATATTCTCTGATTGCGCCTCGGATATGAGGTCGGACGAATAGGGCGTTGAAGCGAGAGAATATGCGGAACATCTCATTGGCGTTTTTCGCCGTTCCCAACTGATCTCTGAGCTTGGCCGTAATTCGGGTCTCGACCCGGTCGATGCGTTCCTCGTATCGTTTGCAGGCGGCGTCCCATGCTTGACCTCCCTCGTTACTGATGTCTAGGCCGTCGACTTCTTTGACATTCTCGTAGGCGAGGTTCACCTCCTCGATGGCGTTCACATCTGACGCAAGCTCAATCGAATCGAGTTGCCCTGCGATCGGCGCTCCGTCCACCATCGGGGTCGCCTGAGGTCTCAGGACCCGGATTATGACGGTACGGAGCTGCTCGTGCTGCCGTCGGAATTTCCTCATTTGCTCCATTCGCGCTTGGAGCACCTTGTGGGCGGCGGTGAGCCTCCAGACCATTTTGTAGGTTTCCTCACGCTTTTTCTTCACTAAATCGCGCAACAGCTGGTTCAGCTTGTCGTATTCCTCGTCCCAGGTGGAAAACACTTCGAAGCAAGCTACCATGACTTTTTCGAACTCGTCCGCCGCTATGTGCATGAGCCGACGGGTGGCAAGAACTTTGAATAATTGGTTAGCCAGGTCTCTCGAAATGGCCTCGACGAGTTTCAGCGCGCGCGAGATCGGGTACTTCGTGTTGCGGATCTTCTTCAAATGATTGAAGATACTCTGGAGCGCCAACTTGATCTTGTCGAGCTCGGTAGCCGACAGGAGTTCGTTGAGCGGGAAATCCTTCATCAACGGATTGTAGTTATTCACCGTTTCGAGCGCCTGTTTCAAGCCCGTGTCGGTGTCGAAAGAAACCGTGGCAAGAAAGCGTTTGCCTTTTTTCAGGATGTCCAGAGTCAGAGCCACTTCATGAGATTCACGCTTCTCCTGAATTCTCAGCAACGCTCTCTGGAGATTCAACCAGAAAGAAATCTCCTGTTGGGCGGTACCAGATGAGGGGTCTCGCTCGAGCTTCGTGACCTTTTGGATTTCTCGAATCCACCGATTGACACCGTTCTGGAGCTGATTGAGGAAAGATGAATCCTCGACCTGGAAAAGGAGTTGTACGTTTAGCTGGAAGCTGGGATTTTCCGAGCTCAAATCGACGAGACGCATCGTCGGGACTTCACATCATTTGTGATACACCACTGCGTTCAGATGACACTCACGCTGTCACCGAAATCATTGACGTTAGCCTTTCGGTTCTCTTCATCTAGACACTTCTTGATGACCGCCGCAACCGTGGGATGGACCATGAGGGTTATTTCGGGAATGTCGATATTTTGTTGCAGATGCAATAGGCCCATTTCGAGCTCGGCGATCTTCTTCTCCACATTCGGAGCCATTTTATCGCCATCCCTGGGGACAATCGAGGATGGCTTTACCCATCAGGTGGTGCGCGACGTCCTCGAGCGGAGGGATATGGGGAGGGCGGGGATTCGACGGAATTCTTCTCTATGAAAACCCCCCACAAGAAATATGGGCATGTATATGTACCTCTCGACTCTTCCGGTTCGCCTGACGTAGCTCTTGAAGTACGGGGCAACGGCCCCGGCGACGTAGCTATGCAGTGTTTCGTATGGCGATGCATCTGATAAGTTCATAATCCGCACTTGGGATGCGATTTTCTTATCGGCTTCGATCACAGCTCCTTTCTTAATCATCACCAACGAGTTCACCTAGAAAAAGTTCGGAGAGAATGTTCCTGTTCGAGTCGCGACGATTCAAATAGCATACATAGCTTGAAACAGCGTTGAGTATTCCAGTATTTCCACAGATTACATGCGATGGTCTAAAATCGGGGGACCAGAAAAGTGGCGGATTGGAATCATACCTTTGGATTAGCGAAGTGAACTTCGTCAGATATTACATAAATAACATCTTCGCAGGAGGACATCCCCACGTCCGACGACGGTTGGTCAAGCTCCTCATCTGGAGGAAAAATGGACATTCAGGAATATTATGACGTTGATCAGATGTTCAGTTTTCTCGGGATATTCCTTGTGCTCTCGCGACTCGCGGAGATGAGATCGTTTTCTCCGAAACATATAGCTACTCCTCGCCCGAAACTCAGAAAGTCAGAGGGATGAGCTGGAATCATATGACTATAGCTCGAATCTCTTCTTTCAGCGCTCCTTCAGAGGCGAAAACTTTTCAGGCGTTCACGCTGAGAATTATCCCATTGATCGGCAATCGGTCAGCTTGCAATGACTCATCATCTGTCAAGGCCTGACACAGTCAATTTGTTTTCTGATTCTACATAGAGCACATTTGGGAGAAGTTTCCAAGAGGAAGCGTTGATGGAACCATGGGAGGGAGAATCGTTCCTCCTGGCGGTCTATTGTCAGCAATTGTTACATGGGAAGTCAGCTGCCCGGCGAACTCTAGAAATTTTTGGAGAGATTCGATGCGAAGAATAATTACCTTTCGCGCTGGAGCTCTGAACAAGGAGTGACCTTATCTGAGAATCCGAAATGAATTTCTGAACCGAATCCAGATGATTCCTGTCGCTGAGTGCCATTTCTAAAGCACTTGCGGGCTCACAGTCAAAGAGGGCGGTCACCACTTTTCTGATGTATCTGGTCACCTCTTGGGTCGGGGCGAGTGAAACCTCCGGCGGGGGTGTACCCTCGGAAATCACTTCGGTAGCCATAGCGGCTCCGAATTTTGTCTGCGGCCGAAACTAAATAAATCCAATGAAAAGTTCGGGGAACCCGGCCAGTGTGTCTGTGTTCCTTCGGGCCGTCCACGAAGACCTGGCAGTAGATGGGAACCGGACGTTGCTTTTTACCGGCAGAATTGACGACGAAGTAGATCGCGTTCTTTTCTGTCGTAAAGACCATATGGAAGAGGTCTTAGGGGATCTAAACTCCTTGATTTGCCATACGTGTCGACCCGCTCGTGATCTTTACGATAATCGCTCTCTCTATCATTTTTTTGCGCCGCATTGCCCGAATGCCTCTGCGAGAGTATCAATGCGCGATACCATTGAGAGCGGCACAGCAATTCTCCGTGCTCGGGAGAAAACATATTCAGTGATTGTGATAGATGTACCTCGAAGGGAATTAAGGCGAGGATAGCCAGAGCCGAAAAGGCGAGCGGTAGGTGTCCGGGGAAAATTGCTAAGACGGATTCGAGCGGCTCGAACGTGTGGAGCCCTGAAATCTGAAAGAGCTCGAAGCATCGGAAGCCTGCCAGTCAGTCCACCTTTCCCGAGCACGACTGTATCCATAGTGCTGACAAGATCAGATTCGATGTCGTCAGGAATTTTCGACTTTTCGGAGTATTTCAAGGGGATTTTCACAAACTCGCGAGTCCCTCAGATGAACGACATCCGCAGTGGAGCGTGACAGATATTTCGGGGTCAATCCCCAAATCTACGGGTGGATTCCTCATGCGTGAGACGCGGTCACCCTTCTCGAAGTCGTCCGTTTCTTGTGTCTTCGGCATGACTCCCCTCTCCAGAAGTACAAGTGGCAACTTTTCCCGTGTCTCACACACGGAGCGCGGGAATCGCCGAGGCGCTAGTGTCTCTGCTATTATTCGAAATGGCAACATCCTCATTAACTTATTTTCTATTCTCAATAGAAACAGTCGGGAATTGCCGTACTCCGGCGGTTCGATGACTTCTGACGCTTCTTCTCATTCCGATTGCATCAAAGCGTACGAATTCTCCCCATTTAAGGCGCGGCCCACGGTCTCTCTCATTCAACCGATAGGAGAGCCGGCAGAAATATATATTGAAACGTCGAGTTTCGGGGGTGGTCTCACGAGCCGGCTATGCGTTCGCTTTCGTAGAATTCGCCGTCGTCTCCTTGAGGCGTCCTGCAGTAGTTTTCTGTTCCTGGGCGGAAGAAGTCATTTGGGTTCGAACAAGGGGAGCGCGGGAATCCCTCCCGTGAGTTCTCGGGAAGGAAATGTTGAAAGAGAATATTTTTATCCTTTCAGAGCCGGCGCACTTGGGAATGGATGAACGGGGTTCCATTGAGGACGTTAGTGATAAAAATGAACTTGAAGATATCGATTTGCAACTTGCTCGAATCGAGCAGCGTATCGAGAAACTCAAAGCCAAAGAGAGTGAGCTGATCGAACGCCGGAATCGTATAAAGTTGGAACAAGCTGCGAAAGAAAATGAAGTTCCGGTCGAGCAATTCTACGGAGTTTTTCCGTGGACGGAAAAAATACGGCACTTGGTTCAGAAGAAGTTCGGCCATTCGACGCTGGGCGAGACACAGGAGGCTGCCCTCAATTGTATTCTCTCAGGTATGTTGATTGCGCTGTCTCCTCGATGATCGACCTCTGCGCTCAACTTACGGTCATCCTCGCCAATAGATGAAAACTTTCGTTAACCTGTCTCGCTCATCCTCCAGGAACCGACAGCATCGTGGTGATGCCGGCCGGAAGTGGAAAGTCCTTGATTTATCAATTGGCGTCCCAATACCTACCGGGCTTGGTGTTGGTCGTGACGCCTTTGACGTCCCTCCTCGAAGACCAGGTGGCTGCAATGGAGGCCATCGATCCGCACTTCCCGGTGTTCGGCGTCCACATCAATCTCCTCAAGGAGGATCTGAACCAGATATTCGTGAAAATGTCCTTCCAAGCCCACCATCAAAGTAAATTGATGCTCTTTGTGACGCCAGACAAGCTCAGCAAGAGTAAGCAGTTTATGGCAAAAGTGACGAAAACCTACGAGAAGAAGAAACTATCCCTGATCGTTGTGGACGAGGCTCACTGCTGCGCCTCGAATGGGAATGACTTTCGTTCGGATTATCAAACGCTATCTTCGTTCCGGAGTACTTATCCTGGGGTGCCAATCGTTGCGCTGACATCTGTCGCTAGCCAGCTCGTCGTACTCGACATCGCCAACGCGCTGAATCTCGGCAAACGAGCGGTTTTTCGAGAGAGTTCGAATCTACCGAATATTTGTTACGAGGTGGACTTCGTTGAAATCGGGCGACCAAATGTAATCGGTGAGATCGCGATGCTCATCAAGAAAAATTATCCCGAACAAGCCGGGATCGTATGCTGTTTTTCGGTGAAAGACGCCGAGGATGTGGCGACCGTACTCGTGAAGGATCACGGCATCAAAGCGAAACCGTACCATCATCAATTGAAAATGAATTACCGCAGCAAAGTTCATAAGCAGTGGTTGACGGATAAAATTCATGTGATAGTTGTAACTTCAACCTTCGGGATGGGCATCAACAAGCCGAACTGTCGTTTCGTTGTACATTACACGCTACCGAAGAGCCTCCAGAATTATTATATCGAGACGGGTCGAGCGGGTCGGCGCGGTCAGAGAGCCAACGCGCTCTGTATGTTCAAGTTCCAGGATGTGTTCCGCCTGTCGTCGATGGTTTTCACCGAGAAGAACGGGCTTAAATACCTCTATCGGATGATTGCGTATTGCCTGAATCGTTCGAAATGCCGGAGACAGCTTCTGCAGGAGTCCCTGTCTGAAGGCTACGGAGAATGTCCTGTGGTCTGTTCGACGGACAACCTCGAAAGCATGTGCGACAACTGCCGCAATCCTCAGAAAAGGGAATTAGTTGATGTGACCGAGTACGTGAAGTTGTTCTCCACGATATTCGAGGAGCTCTCGGCCTCCGGTCAACGAGTGACCGGTTGGAAACTGATGGACGTTTTCCGGAAGCGCCTCAATAAAGAGAACGCTCCTGCCCACATCAAAGAGCATGTCGGCCAGATAATTGTTTGGTCTCTGTGCGAGGGCTATCTCGAAGAGAAATTCCACTTCACGCCCTACTCTACAATTTCTCATTTGGCCGAGGGATCTCGAATGAAACGGCTAATCGAAGGCTCAGAAAAAGCTGAGCTCGAAATGTACGGAATCCAGAAACGTTCCATCGACATGGTTGACGGTTGCGCGGATAGCGATGAGACGCTGGTGCCCAATAAAGCGGCTAAACACGATCATCTGGCGGTGGAGAAGTCTGCGTCTGGAATCATGGATGTAGAAGCCCAGCGTCAGCAGCTGCAGCAACATCAGATCCAGCACCTTCAGCAGCAACAGCAGCAACAACAACAGCAACAGCAGCAGCAGGAACAACAACAACAACAACAACAACAGCAGCACCAGCACCAGCAGCAGCAACAGCCTATGCAGGTTTCGATAGTTGTCAGTCAACCCTTGCAGCAAGTTGTTCAAATTCACCAAATGCCTCAACCTATGCATCTCTTGCAAGTTCAAGCGCAACAGCAGCAGCCCGGTCAACACATCTTAGTTCAGTTAGTACAGGATCAACAACAAATGGAGTCGACGGGCTCTACTCAACCATTGGACCAACTTGCAGTGGCGGTACAACAGGTTCTCCAATGAATCGCTTTCTCGCCTCATGGCTCGCGGTACTGTGGTCTCAAAAAGTCGTCATCGATCGTTTAAATAAGCTCGACAGGAATTCCGGGTTTCCGGAGTACCTCTCTCATCCCAATCTAGCCCGCGAAGGAAAGGATCATCGAGTCCTGCTTGGCGTCACTTGACATTATCGCTATACTTCGAGAATTTAAGGAGGACGATATCAGCAAAACTCACGCGCGTGCCTTGACCGATACTGTTCGTTAATTTTCCAAATGAATACTCGTGTGCGTTCCGAGAACTCGACAGTTTTCTCTTTATTAGTTCGAATCTTCCGAAGAATTTCTTCGTAGCTATTCGCGCGAGGAGCTTCTTTTTTTTTGGTTCATTCTGGAGACAGGCGGTTTTCCGTGAGAATGATTGACTGCAAGTCTCCGAAGCATGAAGATCCCAATACTTCTCTCTGTTTCCGACTACTTGCATGGATTGGTCGGCCCCTCTTGCGTTTACGTATGTACAAAAGCAGTCATACATCAACGGGGTCGCGCAGGTCTTCGCAACCCCATCCCTCTCGGTCCTCGGTGTCAATAAGAAGCGAATAACGGGAACTATCAGACTGGAGAAAACCTTCCAGATGGTCGTTTTACAATCATCCTCCACATCCTTACCTTTACAGATAGAGCGAGGCCGCGAAGGCGATATCTCTCTTGATCAGACGGATCGCTGGAAAGGTGTCGAATGAGCAGACCGCGTCAAGTTGGAAAATGAGGAAAAATATAAGTGCCCGAATCCAAAGCCTACCCTCGCTGAATTTCGTTTCCAGCTCCGTGTTCCCTATGCTTTTCGCCGCTTGGACCATTTGACGTAGGAGCTCCTCCAGCCGGCGCATACAACGAATGATGCTGCCTTCGAAAACGTCCGTCATCTTACAGATTTGAGCGAACGAGGCACCCTTGCTCCAGCCGTACACCACGTCCATCAGATGCGGTTTGAACTGATCGATGTAGTCCTCTTCATTCACTTCCAGTTTCGAATCATGCGCCACCTTAACAGAACAGAGAAGAGGAGAAAACGGAGAATTGTTTGAGGACGGAGGTCGGGATGGATGGTGGCGAAATAAGCAATCGACTCTGGATGAATCTATCGAGCCCAGATATGATTCCATCGATCACGGGTCACGGCATGTGAAATGAACGAATATAAAAGTTCCACGACGTTGGAGTTCGTGTTCTACGGAGTTCCCGAAAGACGAGTGCGTCCAAGCAGAAACACTTCCATCGGTACTTCAGTCACCTGGGCGATCCTGCGGGCCATGTCCTGCATCATTCTCAGAGGTTGCATCAGATCCTCGGTTAATTTCGGCATCTCATTGCTCTTCTCCTGAAAAACGAGACAGGACAAGAGAGCGTTGCATTGGGCCGGATTCAAATCGTTGAAAACGTTGTTGAAGATCATTTCTGTCAGAAGAAGTTCGTCCGCACTGAAATAAAAATTTCGCCGGTTAAAAGAGTCAATCGCCTGCTCGGAACAATATGGAGAAAGAGGATTCGAGGCTGCCTGGAGTTCATCGACCGGGTAGTCTGGGTGTATACGAACGTGCTGATTTCGCAAGCGATGCGACCCTTCACATCGATGATATCTGCGTTGTTGCAATGCCCGAGACGTCGAAGAACTCTCTTCCGGCATTTGAGTTCATCCATTTGCAGCAGACTTTTGCCCCGCTTAATGTCGTTCTTGCACTGCTTCACCTGCTCCGCGACACCTTGCTTCGCCAAATAAGCTTTGTATAAACTTTGCAGGTCCGGTTCCGTGTGCAGAGGCAAAGTGCGTAGCCGTTCATCCAGAGCGGCGATTTGCTGAAGAGAGGATAACCGGTATCTAAGCAAGTCGTTCAACTCGATGACGCTCTTTTGCTGCCCTTCAGAATAAGACCACGGACCTTCACAAGTTCTTTGGCTTCTTTTTCCTTGATACCAAGATCATCGATTGGGTCGAGTAAGGGAATTCCTCGGGGGAATCGTTTTTCGACCTCATTAATGGACTTGAGCACACTCATCCTGTTATCAAGCGGTCGGAGATCGGACGGATACAGAAGGCGGACCGATGAGATCTCTTCAACCAAGTCCAGACGGATCGGAACGACTTGCATCTCTCCCCTCACTCCTTTTGGCGCTGGTTTGATGGATTCCGCTTCCGTTGCTCCTGGACTGACGTAGATCAGAGCCTCGACGATCACCTGGACGTCTTCTTGGTCGAGAATGCTTGTGGGTTGCTGTGGGGGAAACGTTGAGTTGGCGCTCGTGGATTCTGTTCCGTTTCTGACCGCGAAGTTCTGAATGTAAAGATTCCATCCTCACCTTGCTCTGTATCCTCTTGTTTTTGTAGTTAATAACGATACCCCATCCGAAATCGTCCTCTTTATTCCTGACGTGAATCATCCGTCCAGCTTGAAGGAACGGAACCACGTACTGGGGCTTGAAGATGAAACTCCGGAGTTCGTTCTTGCACTTGCTCAGCTGCTGATCGACTTTGAAGTAAGCCGCCACTTCGTCCTCTCGATCAACCTGCATACTGTCGTACTGTTCTTGCAGTGCGTCCAGACCTTGAATCGAACGGGAGAGCTATATGAAGACCTTCCAGTGCGATTAGGATTCCACAATGTCGCATGATATATTCTACGGAAACGCAGAAGGCAAAGACCGTCTCGAGCGATCGCTGGACTCACGCTGGTACAGCTGAGGTATCGAAGCATAGTTTTGAAACTGGAAGAAACTTCTCTCCAGCATGTATTCCGGATTGATACCTTCCACACGCAGCAAGTTCAATACCATGTTGTAAGTGAGATGGAAAGCAGAATTTATGGCGTCTGGTGCTCCTTTCACTATGTCTTTGGCAGACTGGGAACTCATTTTCTCATCGATCATCAGGATGACGATACCTTGAAAAGAATAATTTCAGTTTAGTGCCTCTTAGATCTCATGACAGTTCAAAGATCCGTACGCATTTCGGACTATATGCCGCGGGAGGAATTCATTGCGGATACCTAGAATCCAGTGCAGCTGTGAACTCACCCCGATCGTCGAGTCCTCTCCTGCCGGCTCGTCCACTCATCTGGATATATTCTCCTGACGTAACCCAACGGAAGCTCTGCCCGTCGTATTTTCTCGCATTCGTGAAGAGAACCGTCCTCGCCGGCATATTTAGCCCCATGGCAAAAGTCTCGGTGGCGAACAATGCTTTTATCAATCCTTCACTGAATAGAATCTCAATCGTTTCCTTGAGAATCGGCAACAAACCGCCGTGATGGATCGCGATCCCTCTCATCAATAATGGCAAGACGTTCTGCACTTGAGGAAGCTCTCTGTCTTCGTCGCTCAATGCTTCCATGGCATTGTTGAAAACTTCATTGACCAATTTCTTCTCCTCCGCCGAATTCAAGTCCAATTTGCTCATCTGGGTGGCATACGCTTCGCACTCTCTCTTCGAGAAACTGAAGATGATCACCGGACTGTAATCTCTCTCCATGATCATCTTGACGATCTTATAGCAGTTGGTATCGGACCGGAAGCCGCCTTTCTTGCCCCTCAGTCCTGCGTCGCCCTTGGCGTTACCGGCGGCACTCTGTAGAGTTGTCATGACCAAGTTGAAGTTGTCCTCTTTGAAGACACCCTTCTCGTCTACGACCAGATGGAGACCGTCCCCGCCAGCGGGGAAGATGTAGTGCTGCAGCGGTACCGGTCTGTACTCGGTATAAACGACATGGCACGGCTGTTTGTGGAGATAACAAATCCACTCAGCGAATTGCCGCGCATTGGGGATCGTAGCCGAAAGGAACACGTAATGGACGTTGTCTGGCAGCAGGATAATTGTTTCTTCCCAAACGACTCCCCGTTCCTTGTCCCGCATGTAGTGGATCTCGTCGAATATGACCCAACCGACCTCGCGCATGATTTCGCTGCCTCTGTAAAGCATACTGCGGAGAATTTCAGTTGTCATGATGAGACACGACGCCGTCGGATTGATGGTCACGTCCCCTGTCATCAGACCGACATCTTTGAATTCTTCGTAGAATTCACGGTACTTCTGGTTGGACAACGCTTTGATAGGAGTCGTATAGATGACTCTCTGTTTGTTCTTCAACGCCAACGCGATGGCGTACTCCGCGACTACCTGGAGCGGGAAACAGTCGGGTTGTGAGTCGGGATCGTCGAGCCGACAGCCTCAAGCCGCCATCGACGACGAGCGGTACTCCGGCAGATGTCCGGAGAAGACGTGGACTCAGGCGGAAGAAAGGCAGTACCGTTTTTCCAGCGGATGTGTGAGCGCTGACGAGAACGCTCTGCTCGTTTTCGATGCACAGAATCGCCTCCTTTTGGAATGGATCCAGGACGAACTGGTATTCTCGAGCTGGGGCGCCCACTTTGACTTCGAGAGGCGTGAACTCCTGACCCGAGGGCACGGCAACCTCGTGGGAACACGAGTCCACGGTTTCGACACGATGAATCGTGCAGCGAGTCGCGTAGTCATCGGGGCTAAAGAATAACGGAATCAGGGGGAAACGTTCCTAGCATGTCTCATTCGTGTCGGGGAGATGAGCGACCGCTATTTTGTCCCAACTCACTTGTACTCTTGCAGGATCTTAATTCTCTTTCTGGATACTTCCTCGGTCTCGTCCGATTTATGCTTGCCTTGCAAAATCGCATTGACGATATCGTCCCTAGAAATCGAATGTATCGTGTTGTGGTCAAACGAACGCTTGTGCCACTCGACTCACATTTCGTGATTATTTCCTTTTCATTCATTTGAGACCCGGAGATCGAGCAGCATCACATCCCCAATGATTTCGATAGTGAAACTCCTCAGAAGTGGGGTCTGATGGCGGAATTCTGTGGCACTTGTTGCTTATCAAGTACCATCCCACGATACAGTCTGAAATTTTCTATGAGCATTCTGGAATGCTCGGCAATTTCGCCCAGGAAACCCCGGACCGACAATTTCCCGGGGAGTCGACAGGGCCCAGAAAAGAAAGCATTTTCACAGGGGTGAACGGTGTCAGTCAATACTCCGTCTTCACCGGTTTGGCTCACGGCTCCCCACGGGGGAAAATCGAAGCACGGCGGCGGAAAACGTTCTTTTCCGGGAGAAACATCCGAACACTCACGTTGTCTTGGAGGATGACTTGGACGGAGCATCATTACCGTCCTCAGACTTTTCGGCAGCGCCCGTACTCTCGAAAACACTGAATAGCTCATCCATCTTTCATCTAAACGAATGCATTCACTGCCTGTCGGCGCGATGAACACTCTAAAGAAATACATACAACATCCGACACCGTCGTCGACCAAGGTAGCCCTTTTTTTTTTTCTTCCGTTTCATTCGAGTGATCATTAGATTCTTCATCACCATTCATCCGGATACACAAGCCCTAAACTGACAGGTCTCAACTTTTCCTGCGAGTTCAAGAGAATCTGCGAGGAGTTATTGCGAGAAACCCGCGAAACGTGTTCACTTTTCAAAGTTCCGCGCCGCCGGAAACGACAATGTTTAGAAACTGAATGGCTGTCGTCTGCTAGGTCTTTTTCTTGGGACGTGTGCGGTGAGTGCCGTGCGATTCTAGCTATCTGTGTGAAAATCCGCAGAAATCCACTAGAAAGCGTCGGATTCCAACTGAAATTCGAATATACATTCCAGCGTTGATCTGTGACCATGCCGCCCAAGTTCGATCCGAACGAGATCAAGATCGGTAGGTCCCTTTTCAGCTCGATCGAAGTTTCGCGGCTTCACGAGCAGCTTTCACGCTTGCAGGAATCGAGCGATTGAACCGTTCATGCATAGATAGAATACATTATTGCAATCCTACCTTCCGAGAGAAGCTCCGCAAGATCGAGTCAGGGCAAGCGGCGGGTCGGTACTCGCGGAACCACTGCTCTGAATCAAACGAACCAGTTCAAAACAGTGAACACATGCTTCGGGGAGCCCGGCTGTGCTTTCACTGAGGGAGTTTTTCCCTTAAGATCGCAACTTATCCAATGCACCTCTCTCACAATGTGACTTATCCTCGACAGTGTGCCTCCGAGCCGTGGGAGGCGAAGTCGGTGCAACATCAGCGCTCGCTCCCAAAATCGGTCCTCTGGGTCTCTCGCCGAAGAAAGTCGGAGAAGACATCGCCAAAGGCACCGGAGACTGGAAAGGTTTGAAGATCACTGTGAAACTCATCATCCAGAACCGTCAGGCGAAAATCGAAGTCGTTCCCTCCGCTGCCTCGCTGGTCATCAAGGCTCTCAAGGAGCCTCCCAGAGACAGGAAGAAGGTCCGTAAGCGCCGGTTTTCTGCAGCAGAGGCACAGAGAAAATTCACGGAGATGAATAACTCGTGCTGGATGCTCAAGCATCAGAATCTCTCACCAGCTATGATAACTTTTCCCTTCGAGGCCGCGATGGGTTGAATGACGTAGCTTTTGTCGGTTGCAGGTGAAAAATGTCAAACACTCTGGTAATCTGACGATGGACACCATCGTGGACATCGCTCGGCAGATGCGACCTCGTTCGATGGCTCGTGAGCTCAAGGGGACCGTCAAGGAAGTTCTAGGCACCGCGCAATCTGTTGGATGCACCGTAGAGGGTTGCAACCCCCACGACATCATCGACAAAGTGAACGATGGTGAAATTGTCGTCCCGGAATCCTAAGAAAATAAAGCCTCCCGACGGTGTCACCAGTGGCTGTGATTGTATTTCGTGAGAGGTGCTCTCCTAGAAGTATAGAATGACTCCTTGGTGGATGATATGTGTGCCGCGACTCCTCCCACAGGGCCTAAAGAAAAAACAACGCCGGCTCCCGATTCACGACCGAGGTGGGGTTGGAGAGGAGATGCAGTGCGGGACAAGGGGTCGGGTTATCGGAACACTTTCGCTTCATCAGGGATCAGGTCTCACCAGCAGACGGCACGGAGTCGATCACGGGTATCGAGATACTCTGCTTGGCCTCAGCCCCCGCCTGTGCTCCCAATTAGCTCGTTCTCTCGCCACGGTCTCGCTCCCTGCGCGATATCCGATCAGAGCCGCATGTAATGGGATCACCTACTAACCTTCTTGACTCTGTTTCAACGAGCCAGGTTAGATTCGCATCAACGTGTGTGGGAGCGGCAATCGCTTGATAGCTTGTCGATCTGGACTCAGTCGGTGTTTCTAGACGTCAGGAGGAGAAGGTCTCGCTCTCTGAGAGTAAATATCGGAACAAGTATCCATGCGATTCCGAAGCTCAGAAAGGTGCGGAAGGCTATGAATCCGATACCCTGGCCGTATGTTCATTCCGGACCATAGATCGAGAGTAGAGCTAGAGGCCAGATAACGCGAATCTCCAACCCATGTGCTCAATTTTCGCGACTGCCATCTGCGTGAAACCAGAGACCTCTCCGTGATATGATTCTTCGACCTCCGACGAGCCCTATGGCAGCGCAGCCCATTCTCATCACCCGGAACCGAATGCGATTCTTCTTCCCCTCTGGATTTTTTCTCTCTCTGATGAATGCCGCCGCCGCTGGCACATCCGATTCTCCCAAGTCATGGTGCTCTGGGAATCTCAGGAGTCCGTGAGAGCGGATGACTGAACTGAGCTGCGAATCCCGCGCTGAGACTCCTCCTGGAGGGTCCATCCTTTAGTTCATTGAATTTCATGCTCAGAAGACGTGGAGCAGCATCCATTCATCACCAGTGATCTATCCATGACGGGAGCCACGAATAGATCGTGATATCGGAATATAGTGCATAATGCCTCATGATTTCGGGATCCGGGCCTCACCTGACCGTCTATAAGCCGATGAGCTGCGAATGGCGAAAAGTCGAAAATTGTAGACAGGCGCTCCAGCCACCTGCTTTCAGAATACAATATTATCCCATCGGTCCGTCTGAGAAAGATATTTCGCGAGACGTACGCCCACTCGTCGGTGCTAGGTGCGTCTCCTCTCATACGGCACTCATCGGGCACTTATCGCATAACACACATCCTCGGGGAGAGTCCGACTCTTACGGCGACGGAAGCCTCGAGGGCCATCGACTCGCTCCTGATACAAAGTTCGCGTAACCCTCTGAACATCGGTCTCAATGACAATTGTCCCCCTCAGCTCGCTCTTCCGATCAACAGGCTCCGTAGCTCTGATTGAATGCAGACGTCACACAGACTTTCGGTCAAGGTGCGTCTCCGGAAAGAAGCTGAATAATCTTCTCGGCTATGCATGACGCAACCCACGCGCGGCTTCAGCCTTGCCGTGCTCGATTTTTCATGTCAGTGGAAGCTTCGGATCGCGTGGGAGGACATTGGCTGTACGAGACTACGCCAGACTTCTGCCAACGGTTTCGGGTCGCAAGTCCTCAGCTCGGACCCAGCACGCACTGCTGTTCTCTGGAAACATCGGCTCTCGATTGGAGCTCGTGAGAGAACCTGTTCCCGTGCCCCGCTTCGCGGCGGGGAAGCGAGGACGGAGAATGGTGGCAAATCTGAAAAAGTAGAATCACAGTATTTTCCGTTCCAGTTCAATGACAGGAATAAGAGGACGTATTCTTCGAGCTAAGGGACGGAGCTCGTCTCCGCAACCTGAAGTCGGGAACCTTGGAGCTTCGAGGACTCTTGGAAGCTCCCAGAGCTTTCTGTCTGACGTTCGGCCTCAACATGCTCAGAGAGAACGCTAGTGCCGCACGCCTCGTACCTTGAATTGCAGTAGTATAAACTCCAGGAGGCGACTCACCCAAACATATGAATGCATGCACTGATGATCTGATAGGAATTCTATCTTTTTCCGTAGAGAAATCGCGTGATATATCGCACAATATCCCGCGATGTATGGATCGCACGATTGAGTTAGGTTAGCCGCGACGGCTTCTCCTTTATAAGCCCTCCTGTCTTGACGGGAGCCTTGCTTCTTCCTGTTCCCGACCACCAAACAATCGTCTGTCGCAATGCATCGCTGGTCGTGCGTCCATGCCACGGAGGAGACTGCCGCCAGCGGGACGAGGAAGATATATTGGAAGAGCGAAAAGCACCACGGTCAAGCTCACACTGGACTGAAAGCGGTCAACCAAGAAAGCAGGGAATTGGGCTTGACACCGGTACGTTTTCGAAGATGTATAAATCTCTCCGGAGGGGTTCGCTCAGCCACCTTTGGCCAACCCGGTTTCGCCCACCACGGAGAATTACTTCCGTGGAATGATCCACGAAGCAGATACTGGAGCGTGAATCACGGCGAGGTCCTGCATACATGTTTGAATTCGGCCATCGAGTGAAATTCACGATATATTGCGGTGCGAAACTTCGACACGGTAGATACAATTATTCTACGATGCAACTTGTTCCTTGCGATTGTGATTTGCCCATTCGGAATCACATAGGTGCCAGGTGAAATCGAATTGGGTGTCCACAGGAGAGCTAGCCACCCAGCTGATTTCCCCGATGGTCCCTTACTGGGAGCCTCTCCCGCGATGAGCCTCGAATGCCTTCTCCGCCTCTCGACATCGATCCTCTGCCGGATGGGAACTCGACCCTCGACGGCGCTGAGCTCGATCACAATGAGGATCAAAATATACTCTGGGTGAGCGATGGCTCGCGTTGAGCTCGTTCGTCCCCGTCGGCCCTGAGAACGGCCGCGAATTCTGTTAAGTTCGGAACCTGCGAAAATATCATTTGGGGAGGGTTCAGGCTAGATGCTGTAGGCAGCAAACTCTTTCGGCATCGGCTAGTGTCTTCCTCTCTCTCTCCCGTCACTCGAACACCATGGAGTTACGTGGAAAGAGCTTGCTACGAGTTGAGTTCCTGGAAGGGATCGCGGACCTTGACCTGCCCGAATGTATTCTTCACGCGGAGAAACGCAGAATTTCCAGGACGGAGCAAATCAATATCACCGAAAGCGATGGGAGGATTCTCCCCGACCGGTATGAGGACATCCTCGAGAAGTAATCACCATCGGCGAAATAGAGTCGGATAATGTCAATTCGAATCCCCGAGCGGAGCCAAGTGGAATCCGTCAGACTATCTTTTCGTTCTTCGTTTTTATTGAGGAGTCAAAAGGATAACTCCGCAATTTCGTACCGTGATAGGACCACGCGCCCACTCCGCCTTCCCGCTGCATAGAGGAGGTGCTCAGTGGCGCAACGAAGAGATCTCCCCGGAGAAATGTTCCCAGCCGGATTTAGTTCCCTATAAAATTTGTCGTTGAAGAATGGAGAGCTCGGAGCTCCGGCCCGCTGAGTCATCAGCTTCAGATGTCTCCGACTCCGTCCACGGACTGAGATCAGCCTCGTGGCTCTGTTGTCGACGTCAGTGGTTTCCCAGCCGAGAAGATCCGAGAGACTCTGGGGATTTTCCCCTTCCTGATGGCATAGAGATGCACGGCTGAATGCAAATTATAACGGATATGACGCAGAGAGTGGCAATCGACTCGAATCAGGATACTCTTATTAGATTCGAGACGAAGTCAAGAAAGAACGAGGGACGTGATGGGGACGGGGCGAGAATGAAACCGGCTCGGGTCTCGGTCGAGTCTCTCTGTGGGAGAGTTTCTCCGGAGCACTCAACCTTGTGCGAGAGTTTCATCCGGATTGAAATTATGGGCATTCCAGCCAAGAGGTGACCTTTCTTCCGCCGCTGCGCCGCCCACCAAAACCCGGCATGGGATTTACCAGCTTGGGTTCGGCTCTGAGGAGCCCAGCATCCAGTCACCGAAAAGGCACGTGGCGGAGAGCCTTGCAGGAATGTAGAGAGCCTTGGCTATCCGAGATCCGAATCGATGGATGGCATGAGGTTGAATGCGGATAATCAGATTTGCGTAGTCCTCCAGGAGCTAGCCTGTAGCGGAGACAGTGAGGAGTGAGTCGATTCTCGATTGAGATTTCCCTCCACACGGGCGCTAGCATGTTGATTCTTCTCGCAGAACCTCCCACAACTTCGTCTCGTGAATAAGTTCGACTAGCCTTCTCTCGCGAGTCGCCAATACGAGTTGCGATTCTCGCGATCTGATCGACAGCGGCCCCCAGCAAGTCCGCGATTGCTCTGAGGGAAAAACTAGGGTAGAAAAGCGGAGGGTTTATACGTTAAGAGAGGGTTCAGAGACGGTGAGCGCATGCGTCACCCTGTTCCCCACTTGTTGCATCTAAGTATCAGTGGGACGAGGGAGCAGCTCACAGGTGGTTGCGCTCCGTGCGGCTTTCCGATGCTGTTCCCCAAGGCGACGCAATTTTTGGTGCCTTGAGGTGTTCACCGACGTGACACAAAAAAATAACGGCGAGCCACTTCAGGTACGTGCCGTCATCAACGCTTCGGATTGTGTCCCGCAGAGATTCAATGTGCAGAAGGATAAGGTTCGCTCGACTCACCATCTCTGCCTGCCGTGAGGCCGGCCGTGTCACCGGAGCATAATTCACTGAGGGACTTGACTGTGCCGTAGAAACAAGATCACTACTCCTAGAGGATACCGTATACGTCGGAAAGGGTGGATGGGCTGCGTCGTTAACGGCTCGTAACGAGGAAATCCCTGTCGAGCGTCAGGAAAGTTTTTCCCCGGATGAGCTCGGGTGCATCTGCGAAATTGCCGCAGCCCAATCAAGGGATGGAATGCATCCGCTGAAATCGTTTCGATCACGATCGACCACAGCCTTCCCCGAGTCGTCATAAAGCGAACCGAACTGCGGCACGTGCCGAGCCCCAGCTCAGTTCCAAGCTTCGGCTCGAACTCCTAGAGGGGAAAATCGCCGAGGGAACTAGCTAACTTCGACGTTTCCCCTCGTATGGGATATGATTCAGAAGTCGAACTCATGCCAGGTGGAACGAGTTACGAAATATCCATCCCGAAGAGTAAATTCGGTTTCGCTCTCCGTCGTATCTATCTTGGTCGCCCCTGAGCCTATCGGAGACATTGAAACTTTCCAATGGAGGTCTAAGCTCTCGCGAGTCTCCTGCTGGAATGCGGCATTCCCCGGCCTTCGACTTAGATTATGAAGCCGTCCCTCGGGGATTTTTCTATAAAACGTCACTCCGGCGATGAATCCCTGGCAGACTCGCCGCACAGCTGAAACCTTGTCGTGTGACGTCCGGTCGCGGCTCTTGAAAAAACGGAACATTGTCCCTTGCGTCAACCAACACTTCTTAAGTGCGACTGGTGCGAGGAACTCCGACGAATGTTTTGTCCGACGGGAAGACGGATCGTCTGAGCTCGATCGGCTAGCGTGCTCGCTCCGAGCTTTTTTGCTCTCTTTTCCTCGGCTCGGCCATCACCGTCTGTCAGGTTGCTCAGCGAGAACGCAGAAAGGAAGAGACGTCCCAGACGGGGGAAGACGACCATTGACCACGGCAAAGAACTCCACCGAGTTTCTGAGAACCGTTCACAAATCAAAACTCGCTGGAATCTCATCTGCTGCGTCGACAGAGTCTAGCGGTGCTCTCCATAGGAGCAAGATTTGGCGGAGGTATCTTTCGCGGAGTATGGAGAGGGATATGGATCGGAATTGCGAATTAGGTGAAGCGAACAGCTACATGGAAACAATCATTCGTTCCCCGAAGCCGAGGGCTCGAGGCGGCTCCCGAGTGCTTTCCCACCTGCCGAGCAATATCTCCGAGGTAGATGTCGCCGGAACGGAATTGCGTTCGCGGAGTCCACGATGAGAGCCGGGTTGAGGTTGTTCGAGCTTCGCGTGTCGGAATCAAGTGTAGGCGAGCATACATAACTCGATTTGATTAGCATGGCCGAGTGGCTCGGTCTCGAGACAGCTGCGGGGTTCAAAGCGCGTCGAGGGAATACTTTTTTTCCGGCGAGATTCGGAGTGCTCGGAAGGGCATCCGACCAAGCTTCCAGAAAAATTCCCGGCGGGGAAGGGTCCGATGGAAATTATCCGTTTCATCTGGAAGTCGTTTCGATCGGACTTTGGAACTCGAACGGGTTTCTTTACGTTTCTGTCCACTCTAGGAACACGGGCAACCGTAGCGATGATGGAGATCATGTGTTGCTTGTCAGAAGAGGCAAAGCTGCAACGCAAGGTCAACGATGAGATCGAAAAGCAACTCAGTCGAGATAGGACAGAGCACAGCAGGTGGGTTCCACGGAGATAACGATAAGTGCCAGATGATGAAGCCGTCATCGAGAGCGAGCAACCTCGAGACGATGGCGATAAAGCGGCGGACGATTCATCGAGCTGCGGAGAGCCGATCACAGTCAGTCGAACTCTAGCTCGGAAGTCTCTTTAAACTCACTCAGCCGGAAATTTTCCACCAGGGAGACCAAGTTCCTATTGTTGGGCCCGCAGGACGTCGGCAAGACGACTTTCATGAAGCAGTTGCGCATCATCAATTCGGTTGGCTACGAAGAGGATTTGTGCGCTCATATTTGTGCTGTGTTTCAAGAACTGGTGCACGCAATGCAAAAAATGATTCACGCTATGGATTCTCTGCGAATCAAATACACAAATTCCATGAGTGCCGAATGGGCGACGATCGTGACTTCAGTACGGATCCAAGAAATAACCACAGGTGAGTGAGTGCATTATCACAGCCGAGGACTCGAGCGGCTCCGGTATGCCCCGCCCGAGCGAGTTCACCTTTCGGTGATCCAATCCTGCGAGGAGCAAAGCAACGAAGGCAAAGGAATTCCGCCTTCTTCGGAGAATATCCGAGGAACAGAGGGGCATAAGGGGACAGTGAGTTAGCGGAGCATGGGTCTATGAGGCTCCTTGATTACTCGCGACTTCATTGGCCGGTCGGCTGGAATGTGAGTTCGCCGCCACGTCGGCGTATGCGTTTCCGATCGCGTGTATCTCTCGGTGCAACTCCTTTCCTCAGAGCGCTCATGCCGTCGCTATCGTTCTGTGTCAACCCTTCCTCTATACCCCTACCGTCCTTTTCGCGTTCCGAACACAGTCGGATGACGTCAGTTCGTTGACGGAATACGGCGGCCACGTTCCTCTGCTGCTGTCGTTGTTGATGTTGTTGTTGGCAGTACTGCTCTTGGCAGGTGTCGTCGCTGGTCGCGGCGTTCTTTAACGAGCATTTTCTTATCTACGTAGCCCTGCCATGCAATCTCGCCGAGGCCTTGCGCCGCCTCTGGGAGGACGAGGGGATTCAGGAGTGCTACACGCGCAAAATCGAGAGCGGACTCGAGGAGGCGACCGACCATTTTTTGTCGAATATCAACCGAATCACTTTACCTGGATACGTTCCGAGCATGGAAGACTACTTGTACATCAAAACACCCTCGAAAGGTGGGTTCGAGTCGGGCAATGCTTCCGCGAACGTTTTTGTCGTGCGGAGAAGCCTCGGATGGCCGAGCTGGTCGCCGATGGCGGTCCCCCATCGCGAATCATCGGCTGCGTGGAATGGTAATGAGAACGCGACGCTCCTGTGCGCTTGCAGGTATAAATGAATACACCATCACGATCGATAACGAATTCCCGTCTCGAATCGTCGATGTCGGAGAGCAAAAGTCTGAAGCGAAAAAGTGGATCCATTGTTTCGAGGACGTGAGCGGTGTCATATTCATGGTGTCTCTATCGGATTTCGAAAGTCAGGAGAAGATGATCGAAGCGCAACGCCTCTTCAAGCTGATAGTTACCTCAAACTGGTTCACCGAATCTCACATTTTACTTCTACTCAACAAGAAAGATGTTTTCGAGCAGAGGGTGGGTCGCGGTCGTTCGTTCGGGCAGATATATCCAGAATTCAAAGGGCCCGCGAACGATCCGCGCTGTGCTCGCGAGTACATGCGTGAAATTTTCGCACGGATAGACCCCAGCAGACCGGTTTACTACTTTTTCACCTGTGCCACAGACACCGACGACATCAAGTACGTCATTCCAACGTTACGAGAGATCGCCAGCGTTAAAACGGGCGCTCGGAGTCGAGAACCGTCGGACGCCGCGGCCTCCACCGCGGCTATGGCGGCCGTCGCGGCGGCGGTCAACGGTGTAGGTACGGCAGCCGCCGTCGGAGCGATCCCTGCTCCAGCTACAGCTCCAACGATCGCCCTTACTGAAGCTCCGGTTCTTGATCTACCGAAAGCCCCAGCTCCTCTTCCCATCGGGGCTCCGGCCCCTGCGGGAACTCTTGCTCCTGGCGGAGCTCCAGCTAGAACTCCGACTAGTGATTCAGCCCCAGCGAGAATTCCGGCTAGAGCTCGAACAAGTATTCCATCAAGAATTCTAGCGGAGGCTCGAGTCAAAGTTCGGGGGAAAGCTCGAGCGAAAAGCATTACCGGCGCCACAGCCGAAGCCTCAGACGATGCTGCGGTCAGAGTTCCAGCGATATCACCCGCCAGCGCCCCGGCTCCCGATACGCCTTCGACGTCCGCGTCTGCCCCAGTGAGCCCTCCGCCGCCGGTCGCCACCACACTCATCATTCCCACTCTACCTGAACCTGAACCTCGCACGGGTTTCCATGACTGACCTTCGCTCCAGCCTGTAGGGCTGTGTCGCGAGCGTAGAATCCACTTCATGGTTCCGGAAAAGAATCCTCTGGAGGACTAGAATCCAATCAACGGTCGGCACGCACGGCTCCCACCAAAAGCTGTCGGCTCCGTGACGGTAGAACACATTGAGCGTGGTTTTCGTGCTCTCAGGATGAGTGGATCGCGCCCAGTACACGATGTCTCGGAGGACGAACCAATGAATCTGCATACGTCGGCGTCACCGAGCTTTATCCTCCGGGATCTCGGCCCCGGGAGATTTTCCCTTGACGCGGTTGCCATTCCAGCGATCACGTGACCGAGCATTCCTCGATCGAGATCGAAAGAGGCCCATTGCATTGAAGAAAGCGCTCAGGATGTCGAGCTCCCTCCACTCCAGCCATGGCCGTTCCGGGAAGATTATCCGTTCCAAGCGAAAATTCTCGTTCCCTTCGGCGAGCCCGAGACGTGGGTCAACGCTACTTCATCCGTGGAATCAATCTCGGAGGTTCCGGTGGTTTTCCTCTACTCGGTTTGTTATTCTGCCGCGAGCCCGGCAACTTTCCGCCTCCAGGGATCTTTTCCTATTTGGAATACGCCTTGAGCCAAGCCTCGAAAAAAGCCCCGTCAGACCGAGCGAGACATCCTGCCGTCTGGCTGGCTCTTTTATTGTATGTGAATAGTTCCAGGGTCTTCCACCTGACCGACTTCGCGAGGACCAGACATATGTAGCGTGGTCTGTCTCGCAACTGCTGCGGCTCTGAGGGACGGCTAAGGAGGAGCGCTTCACGGCGGAATAGGACGATGGGGAAGAAGACAGTCACCTACCCACCCGCCCACGAGGCATTGAACCAATTTAATCTTCTCCTCATTGCTCTCTCCGATCCCATTCGGAATATGCCAGAGAAGCACAAGGCGATGGAAAAGGAGCTCTTGCACAATATGTGAATATGATAATTACTCCTATCGCTGAAAGAAGCTCTCCCGGACTCATTAACCGTAACGACATCAAGAACTCGCGAGCGAGGAGCCCTCGTCAGTTTACACTTCCACACACAATCAGATCGAGCGCAGAGTGTATGAAGAGTGATTTTCGTGTTCATTCATTCCTGAGGCTGCTCCGCTTCCTGCCCTTCCTGAGTGTTAGTGTACTTCTATACCGCTGCGAGAAGCGTTGCCGCTTTCCGTTCATAGTTGTCGACCAGCTCCTTTCATTTCTCTTTCATACGACGCTGCTGTAGCGCGGCGGACGTAGTCTCTTTCAGTCTCCAGAGTGTTGCGTACGCTCGCCCATCCTTCCGGCGGAATCCTCAATTGACCTCCCTGTGGAGGTCCATCACAGGGCAATCGCTCGTTTACGGTGGACATTCCCGATGACGAAGAAAGCTCCGAGAATTCTATGATACTTTCTCCCGTTTTCCTTCAACTGGGGAGGCTTCCCGCTATCCTGCTGGCAAAGGACCTATAAGCAGACCGGTACAGAGTGCTAAGTCAGGATCACGACTATACTGACTGGTTCTGAATGTAGTTTCCGCTTTATCGTGAAGACAGAATGAGAGATATTCTCAGAAGGAGAGTCTTAGTTGGGACATGAGATGGGATGATGAACGGGATGAGCGGGATCTCTGTATTGGAACCATCCACTCAAAATGAGAAATAGACACGGTCATGTTCGAAACCGGGGGGGGGGTGCTGGGCTATTATTGGAAAGAATACGGTAGATATACCACAACAACTGATTTTTCGGCATCCGTTGCGTGCTGCGGCGTATCCGACTAATAACACCGCATAGGACTTTTGAGCTCGGAGCGCTGTCCCTTGCGATTTTCCCGGAATACTCAGCTCCCTCCGCATCATTGCACGTGGATATCTCTTTCTGAATCACAGATGTACGAGTGCGAACATGAGTTGTGTAGGCTGCGTGGTGCGTTCTCCGTGTATGTTGACCTCAGGTAGTGATGACTGAACAGAACTCCACTCCCGTTTCCCCGAATACAATTACTGGATCGTGCTCTGAGGATAACGTCAATTGCTGTAGTCGCCGAGAGGTGCAGAATTTCTGGGGCGCTCCCCTCCCAAGATGGACCCCTCCGGTAGTCTCCAGCATCCAGGGGGTCCGGTGACTCCAATCACGAAGAATCGGCAAGAACCCCTCCTCTTGAAAGAATCGCTCGGAACTGATTTCGCAGCTGTTGAATACGTATAATCACAGTACAATCGCTCGCCCGCCCGTGAGCCCTTGTAACTACTTGCAAATGGAATTACTTTGAAAATAAACAAATGTTACCTCTTATGTACAAAACCTGCCAACCCATCCTGTTTTCCTTTCCGATGTTGAAATCGATTCGCATGGTGGAGCTCAGCGCTATTGGAATGGTTCCAAGCGAGATCGAAATCGCTGTCGATGACAGATTTGAAAGCCAGGCCTCCGTTCGAGGAAAAATATTTTCACGCGGAGCAGCAACCACAGGGTGATAAGGATGTCGGTCTATTGCGGATTTGCTCGATGTCCCCGGAAGCCGAGAACAAAGCGAGCGTTGCTCAGCGTCCCAACGTCAAAAGGCTCTTATCGAAAATCTCTTCTGACTGAGCGAGTCGGGGCGCTTGGTCAATTCCGGCCGACGTCCCTCGTTGTAGTAGCTCTCGTACTAAAAGCAACGATGACGGGAGAAATAGTCGCACAAGCAACTGAAGCAGTGCGATGTCAGGCCGGGCGCACCCTCAGACATCGCTCATGCCGCCGCGCCGGCCGAATACCGCACCTCTATCCCTCAAAGGCTCCTCCCGTGTGACCTCTTCATATCGTCAAGCCTTTCTATAAGAGATTACTGCACGCCTGACGCTGCACCCGCTTGACTGACGGCAGACGCGTCCACAGAGGGGGGCTAGGGGGCTATAGCCCCCTCCCAGATTGAGAGCTCGTAAAACTAAGGTATAGGAGCGGGTCGCCATGTGGGAAATCAGCCCCAAGCGAGAACCCGATCTAGCCCCCCCCCCGCCAAGACGAATTCTGTGGCCGCAACTGACTGGCGGATCCATAGGCGGCGGTTTTCCGATCCTTCCTTATTTTAGTCTAGTAGACAGTCGGGAAGGCTCGCGTACTGGTTCGATTTCCTATATTCGAGGCTGCTTTGGGTGTCCGCTGTCCAACTGTGAGCCCTCTTCGTTACTTACTCCCTCATGACCCTAGGCCTCCCGGCCGGGGCAAGTCCTTCGTTGTACATCTACGTCTCTTTTTACCATCTTTCCAAGAAACTCCCATCCAAGGAACGTTCTCCCATTCCTCCCGATCAGGGCAGAACGCTGCTATGTATCCTGGCCCATGGAAAAATGGACGCGTAGGTATTCATTGAAAAGAGTCGGCATAGTTGTTTGATTGCTCGCGGAGTCGACGAGTTCTGGCAATGGAGTCCTTCCAGATTCGAATGCCGACGTCGGTGACTGCGACTCAACCGAGAGATATGATTTTTCCACCGGTGAGAATCATTCAGGCATTCCTCACAATCATTGCGCCCGTCGATTCACGCACCCGCTCGGACGGGAGAACGTTCATTTCATGAGTCGAGATGAGCTCACAAAGAGAGCGACGCGCGGTGGAACGCTCCTCTCTTCTTTTTTTCTCGTTCCCGGAAAAGACTGTGACACGTCTTGACGCTTCCACGTCCATTCTTCCCGGATGGAAAAGCTGTGGCTCATCAGCAGTGGTGGCCCCCGTCAATCTCTCACGGTGACGTTCACGAATCACGGCGAAAAAACAGATGAGAGGGCAGAGTCTCTCATCGCTGTAAAGATTTTCTCCGCCGGGCAGACAGCTCGAACGCGTTCCGCTTCCTGTCGAGGCTGCCTGAACCACGATACTTTGAAACGTCCGGAACTCCTACGGAAGCGATAGCAGTATATGTGTGGAGGTTACCGCGCCGACTTTGATCGAGCGAGCTTTCAGGAGGACCGAGCGCGGGTCTGGGGAGCAGACTCCTATCTGGTGAACTTTTCTCTTGTCGGAAGCCACAACCGATCACCGCGATGAATTTCGCGGTAATCCTCGTGGGACTAGTCATGGTTGCAACGATCTCAGAAGCGACCGAGAAGATCGCCAGGTAAGAACTTGGACCAACACTCATTAGGGATTTTCATCTCAAAATTCAGCATATTCATTTTGCCCGCGTCCTGTCTCCTCCTTCCACGGAGAATTTCTCCTCGTCCGCTCAAAGGAGCTACTGGCCGACCATTAAATGTGACCTTCACCTGAGAAGAGGACGCGAGTCCGATGACCAATTCGAATTTCGTCGAAGACTCATTTTGCGGAAAGTTATTGTCCTGGACTCTGAGATCTGATGGCGGAGTGTGCGACGGCCATTTGACTTTGGGGAAGCCGTATGCGGAAATCCAGGACAATACCGGAAGGGCGATGAAGTCTTTCGCATCGATCGGAGATTCCTCACCGGAAAGCGCTCCCCTCGCTTCTCCCGTCTGCCTGAGCCACAGATGGTTTCTGATTGAACGCAACGTGTCCATGTGCGGATGGTCTCCCTTCATGCTCAGAGCTTCTGCTGATGATGTGCTCGTAGGCGGTTCGCTCGTTCGGTGCGTCCTTCCGCTTGGACCCAGATTCACGGTTCTAAGAGGAAGGGAAAAATTGACGAAAACCTCCTGGTTCTCAAGTTGTGATCGACCGAATTCGCGCCCCCAGAGAACGGTCCCGGGGTGACGCGCTCCTTTTGCCCTCCCCCGATGTCCGCCACTGTCGTAGGGGACTTGTTGCTACTCTCGGGGTGGAAACCGGGGCCAGATGCCGCTCTCCGAAGGCGCAGGTTCGATCGATCACAACTCGAAAACCAGGAGGTTTTCGGTGACGTTTCCGTTCCGAAAATCGCGATTCTTGGAGAACGCTCCCGAAAAACAGACATTCGTCGAACAAGGGACGGAGTTATCGCGACGCGCCCCGGGCGTGGTTTGGGCATACGATGTCCCTAGTGCGTCCCCGGCTTCCGAGCCCATGTA